AACTGATCCGATGTTCTTTCGAAGGTTTTGTGATTTTGTCTGTGACATATCTAGCTCTATCAAATTCACAAGACTACTAATTGAATCTAAGAGATTTTCGAATTTTGTACCCTGCAAATTTAGATGTTCTGACTTCTCAAGTGATCTGATGCTCGTTGGAAGGTTTTCTAATTTTATCTGTGACATATCTAACTCTATCAAATTCAAAAGATCACTGATTGAATCTAGAAGATTTTCTAATTATGTACATAGTAAATAAATATGTTCCAACTTTTCAAGTGATCCAATGCTCGTTAGAAGGTTTTCTAATTTTGTATGTGACACATTTTACCTTCTCAAATTCACAAGATCACTAATTGAATTTGAAAGATTTTGCAAGTATGTGCCTTCTATATAAAGATATTTCAACTCTACAAGTGATTCGATGCTCTTTGGAAAGTTTTGTAATTTTTTCTGTGACATATCTAACTCTATCAAATTCACAACACCACTAATTAAATTTGGAAGATTTTCTAATTATGTACCTTGCAAATTTAGATGTTCTGACTTCTCAAGTGATTTGATGCCCATTGGAAGGTTTTGTAATTTTTTATGCGACATATCTAACTCTATCAAATTCAAAAGATCACCGATTGAATCTAGAAGATTTTCTAACTCTGTACCTAGTAAATAAAGATGTTCCAACTTTTCAAGTGATCCAATGCTCATTAGAAGGTTTTGTAATTTTATATATGATACATTTCATCTTCTCAAATTCACAAGGCCATTGATTTAATCTAGAAGATTTTGTAATTTTGTATTGTCTAAATAAATATATTCTAACTTCTCAAGTGATCCGATGCTCGTTGGAAGGTTTTGTAATTTTGTCTCTGAAATATCTAATATTAAAAAATTTAAAAACCACTAATTGATCTGGAAGATTTTCTAATTCTATACTTTGTAATTTTAGATGTTCTAGCTTCTCTCGTGATCTGATGCTCATTGGAAGGTTTTCTAATTTTCTCGGTGACATATCTAACTTTATCAAATTCAAAATATCACTGATTGCATATGGAAGATTTTATAATTATGTACCCTATAAATAAAGATGTTTCAACTTCTCAAGTGATCCGATGCTTGTTGAAAGGTTTTGAAATTTTGTGTGACATAGCTAACTCTGTCAAATTCACAAGGTCACTAATTGAATCTGGAAGATTTTGTAATTTTGTATTGTCTAAATAAAGATGTTCTAATGTCTTAAGTGATTCGGTGCTCATTGAAAGGTTCTGTAATTTTATGTGTAACATATCTAAGTCTAGCAAATTCATAAGATGACTGATTGAATCTGGAAGATTTTTTAATTACGTACCTTGTAAATTTAGATGTTCTAACTTCTCAAGTGATCCAATGCTCATTTGAAGGTTTTGTAATTTTGTGTGTGACACATTGAACCTTCTCAAATTCACAAGACCACTGATTGAATCTGAAAGATTATGCAAGTGTGTACCCTACAAATTTTCGATGTTCTAACTTCTCAAGTGATCTGATGCTTGTTGGAAAAAAAATTAACTTTGTCTGTGACATATCTAACTCTATCAAATTCACAAGACCACTAATTGAATCTAGAAGACTTTGTAATTTTATACCTTGTAAATTTAGTTGCTTTAACTTCTCAAGTGATCCGATGCTCGTTGAAATATTTTGTAATTTTGTGTGTGACACATTTAACCTTCTCAAATTCACAAGGCCACTAATTGAATCTGAAAGATTTTTTAATTTTTTATTTTCTAAATAAAGGTATTCTAACTACTCAAGTGATCCGATGCTCATTGAAAGATTTTGTAATTTTGTCTTTGATATATCTAACTTTATCAAGTTCACAAGACCACTAATTGAATCCAGAAGATTTTGTAATTCTATACCTTGTAATTTTAGTTGTTCTAACTTCTCAAGTGATCTAATACTCTTTGGAAGGTTTTATAATTTTGTGTGTGACACATTTAACCTTCTCAAATTCACAAGACCACTGATTGAATCTGGAAGATTTTGCAAGTCTGTACCCTACAATTTTAGATGTTCTAACTTCTCAAGTGATCCGATGCTTGTTGGGAGGTTTTGTAATTTTGTCTTTGGCATATCTAACTTTATCAAATTCATAAGACCACTGATTGAATTTGGAAGATTTTGTAATTTTGTACCCTACAAATTTAGATAGTCTAACTACTCAAGTGATCTGATGTTTGTTGGAAGGTTTTGTAATTCTATACCCTACAAATTTAGATATCCTAACTACTCAAGTGATCCAATGCTCATTTTAGAGGTTTTGTAATTTTATGTGTGACACATTTAACCATCTCAAATTCACAAGGCCACTTACTGAATTTGGAAGATTTTGTAATTTGTACCCTACAATTTTAGATGTTCTAACTTCTCAAGTGATCTGATGCTCGTTGAAAGGTTTTGTAATTTTGTATTGTCTAAATAAAGATATTCTAACTGCTCAAGTGATTCGATGCTCATTGGAAGGCTTTGTAGTTTTGTGTGTGACACATTAAACTTTGTCAAATTCACAAGCCCACTGATGGAGTCTAGAAGATTTTCTAATTATATATCTTGTATATCAAGATGTTGTAAATATACAAGTGATCCAATGTTATTTGGAAGGTTTTGTAATTTTGTGTGTGACACAATTAACTCAGTCAAATTCACAAGGCCACCAATGGAGTCTGGAAGATTTTGTAATTTTGTACCTTGAAAATCAAGATGTTCTAACTGCACAAGTGATCTGATGTTATTTGGAGGATTTTACAATTTTGTGTGTGACACTTTTAACTTTATTAAAGTCACAAGGCCACCGATGTAGTCTGGAAGATTTTGTAATTCTGTGTTTTTAAAAAAAAGATCTTCTAACTATACAAGTGATCCAATGCTATTTAGAAGATTTTGTAATTTTGTGTGTGACACATTTAATGATAGTAAATTCACAAGGCCACCAATGTAGTCTGAAAGATTTCGTAATTATGTATCTTGTAAATCAAGATGTTGTAATTGTATAATTGATCTAATGCTATTTAGAAGGCTTTGTAATTTTGTGTGTGACACTTTTAACTTTTTTAAATTCACAAGGCCACTAATAGAATCTGAAAGATTTCGTAATTCTATATCTACAAATCAAGATGTTGTAACTGCACAAGTGATCTGATGTTATTTGGAAGGCTTTCTGATTTTGTCTTTGACACAAATATTTCAAATTCACAAGGCCACCGATATAATTTAAAAGATTTTTTAATTTTGTATCTTATAAATCAAGATATTGTAACTGCACAAGTGATCCGATACTATTTGGAAGGCTTTGTAATTTTATCTCTGACACATCTAATAATAATAAATTCACAAAGCCACCGATAGAATCTAGAAAGTTTTGTAATTTTGTATTTCGCAAATAAAGATGTTGTAACTCTACAAGTGACAAGATGCTATTTGGAAAGCTTTGTAATCTTGTCTCTAACACATCTAATAATAGTAAACTCACAAGGCCACTAATAGAATCTAAAAGATTTTATAATTTTGTATATTACAAATCAAGATGTTGTAACTTTACAAGTGATCCAATGCTATTTGTAAGGCTTTATAATTTTGTGTGTGACATTTTTGAACTTTTTTAAATTCACAAGGCCACTAATAGAATCTAGAAGATTTTGTAATTTTGTATATTACAAATCAAGATATTATAACTGCACAAGTGATCCGATGCTATTTGAAAGGCTTTGTAATTTTATATTTGACACATCTAATAATAATAAATTCACAAGGCCACCGATACAATTTGGAAGATTTTGTAATTCTATAATCTCCAAATAAAGATGTGTTAACTACACAAGTGATTCGATGCTATTTGGAAGGCTTTGTAATTTTGTGTGTGACATTTTGAACTTTTTTAAATTCACAAGACCACTAATAGAATGTAAAAGATTTTGTAATTTTATATATTGCAAATCAAGATGTTATAACTACACAAGTGATCCGATGCTATTTGGAAGGCTTTGTAATTTTATATTTGACACATCTAATAATAGTAAATTCACAAGGCCACCAATACAATCTGGAAGATTTTGTAATTCTATAATCTCCAAATAAAGATGTGTTAACTGCACAAGTGATTCGATGCTATTTGGAAGGCTTTGTAATTTTGTGTGTGACATTTTGAACTTTTTTAAATTCACAAGACCACTAATAGAATGTAAAAGATTTTGTAATTTTATATATTGCAAATCAAGATGTTATAACTACACAAGTGATCCGATGCTATTTGGAAGGCTTTGTAATTTTATATTTGACACATCTAATAATAGTAAATTCACAAGGCCACCAATACAATCTGGAAGATTTTGTAATTCTATAATCTCCAAATAAAGATGTGTTAACTGCACAAGTGATTCGATGCTATTTGGAAGGCTTTGTAATTTTGTGTGTGACATTTTGAACTTTTTTAAATTCACAAGACCACTAATAGAATGTAAAAGATTTTGTAATTTTATATATTGCAAATCAAGATGTTATAACTACACAAGTGATCCGATGTTATTTGGAAGGCTTTGTAATTTTATATTTGACACATCTAATAATAGTAAATTCACAAGGCCACCAATACAATCTGGAAGATTTTGTAATTCTATAATCTCCAAATAAAGATGTGTTAACTGCACAAGTGATTCGATGCTATTTGGAAGGCTTTGTAATTTTGTCTATGACACATATAAACATTTCAAATTCACAAGGTCACCGATAGAACCTAAAAGATTATGTAATTTTGTATCTTGTAAATCAAGATGTTGTAACTACACAAGTGATTCCATGCTATTTGGAAGGCTTTGTAATTTTGTATTTGACACTTTTAATATTATTAAATTCACAAGGCCACCGATACAATATGGAAGATTTTATAATTCTATATTCTCCAAATAAAGATGTGTTCACTACAAAAATGATCCCATGCTATTTGGAAGGCATTATAACTTTGTCTATGACACAAATAAATATTTCAAATTCACAAGGCCACCGATAGAATCTGGGAGATTTTGTAATTCTGTATTTCGCAAATCAAGATAGTGTAACTGCACAAGTAATCCGATGCTATTTGGAAGGCTTTGTAATTTTGTATTTGACACATTTAACTCTATCAAATTCACAAGGCCACCGATAGAATCTGGGAGATTTTGTAATTCTGTATATTGCAAATCAAGATGATGTAACTGCACAAGTGATCCGATGCCATTCGGAAGGCTTTGTAATTTTGTATTTGACACATTTAACTCTATCAAATTCACAAGGCCACCGATAGAATCTGGGAGATTTTGTAATTCTGTATATTGCAAATCAAGATGATGTAACTGCACAAGTGATCCGATGCCATTCGGAAGGCTTTGTAATTTTGTATTTGACACATTTAACTCACTCAAATTCACAAGGCCACCGATAGAATCTGGAAGATTTTGTAATTCTGTATATTGCAAATCAAGACGGTATAACTGCACAAGTGATTTCATACTATTTGGAAGGCTTTGTAATTTTGTATTTGACACATTTAACTCACTCAAATTCACAAGGCCATCGATAGAATCTGGGAGATTTTGTAATTCTGTATATTGCAAATCAAGATGATGTAACTGCACAAGTGATCCGATGCCATTCGGAAGGCTTTGTAATTTTGTATTTGACACATATAAATATTTCAAATTCACAAGGCCACCGATAGAATCTGGAAGATTTTGTAATTCTCTATATTGCAAATCAAGATGATATAACTGCACAAGTGATCCGATGCCATTCGGAAGGCTTTGTAATTTTGTATTTGACACATATAAATATTTCAAATTCACAAGGCCACCGATAGAATCTGGAAGATTTTGTAATTCTATATTTCGCAAATCAAGATGGTGTAACTGCACAAGTAATCCGATGCTATTTAGAAGGCTTTGTAATTTTGTATTTGACACATTTAACTCACTCAAATTCACAAGGCCACCGATAGAATCTGGGAGATTTTGTAATTCTGTATATTGCAAATCAAGATGATGTAACTGCACAAGTGATTCGATGCCATTCGGAAGGCTTTGTAATTTTGTATTTGACACAAATAAATATTTCAAATTCACAAGGCCACCGATAGAATCTGGAAGATTTTGTAATTCTATATTTCGCAAATCAAGATGGTGTAACTGCACAAGTAATCCGATGCTATTTGGAAGGCTTTGTAATTTTGTATTTGACACATTTAACTCACTCAAATTCACAAGGCCACCGATAGAATCTGGGAGATTTTGTAATTCTGTATATTGCAAATCAAGATGATGTAACTGCACAAGTGATCCGATGCCATTCGGAAGGCTTTGTAATTTTGTATTTGACACAAATAAATATTTCAAATTCACAAGGCCACCGATAAAATCTGGAAGATTTTGTAATTCTGTATATCCCAAATCAAGACGGTATAACTGCACAAGTGATTTCATACTATTTGGAAGGCTTTGTAATTTTGTATTTGACACATTTAACTTACTCAAATTCACAAGGCCACCAATAGAATCTGGGAGATTTTGTAATTCTGTATATTGCAAATCAAGATGATGTAACTGCACAAGTGATCCGATGCCATTCGGAAGGCTTTGTAATTTTGTATTTGACACATATAAATATTTCAAATTCACAAGGCCACCGATAGAATCTGGAAGATTTTGTAATTTTGTATATTGCAAATCAAGATGATGTAACTGCACAAGTGATCCGATGCCATTCGGAAGGCTTTGTAATTTTGTCTCTGACACTTTTAACTTTTCTAAGTTCATAAGGCCACCGATAGAATCTGGAAGATTTTGTAATTCTGTATATTGCAAATCAAGACGGTATAACTGCACAAGTGATTTCATACTATTTGGAAGGCTTTGTAATTTTGTATTTGACACAAATAAATATTTCAAATTCACAAGGCCACCGATAGAATCTGGGAGATTTTGTAATTTTGTATATTGCAAATCAAGATGGTGTAACTGCACAAGTGATCCAATGCTATTTGGAAGGCTTTGTAATTTTGTCTCTGACACTTTTAACTTTTCTAAGTTCATAAGGCCACCGATAGAATCTGGAAGATTTTCTAATTCTGTATATCGTAAATCAAGATATTGTAATTGCACAAGTGATCCGATGCTATTTGGAAGGCTTTGTAATTTTGTGTGTGACACTTTTAACTCTTTCAAATTCACAAGGTCACTGATAGAATCTGGAAGATTTTGTAAATTTGTCTTCTTCAAATACAGACGGTGTAACTGCACAAGTGATCTGATGCTATTTGGAAGGCTTTGTAATTTTGTATTTGACACATTTAACTCTATCAAATTCACAAGGCCACCGATAGAATCTGGAAGATTTCGTAATTCTGTATAGTGTAAATCAAGATGTTGTAATTGCACAAGTGATCCGATACTATTTGGAAGGCTTTGTAATTTTGTATTTGACACATTTAACTCTATCAAATTCACAAGGCCACTGATAGAATCTGGAAGATTTTGTAATTCTGTAAAGTGTAAATCAAGATATTGTAATTGCACAAGTGATCCGATGTTATTTGGAAGGCTTTGAAGTTTTGTGTCAAATAAATCTAAATATCTCAATTCTTGCAAGAAGCTTATGTCCTCTAAAATATTTGCCAACTTACAAGATTTTAGTGCCATGACTCGAAGAGATTTTGTCTTATGTAAGAAACTTATTGGAATTGACAATTCTCCAAAGCGAACATGATTTAATAATAGTGTCACCAAGTTTGGACATATTTCTGCCTCATTTTGGTGTAAAAATTCCTGACAAGTCACTAAGTCACACAATGATACTCTTCTTACATCATTCCAACTTTTTAAATCTGAAATAATATCAATATTCCTTCCTGGATATAGAAGAAATTTTCCATACTTGTCAGACTCACTTGATGTCAGCCACAAACACATCTCTCGCACCACATCATGTACCTTCACATACTTGTCTAAATCATCCACACCCAACAAATAATGTCGAAAATTGTCATATTTATCTCCCTTCTGTAACAAGCTAGCTGAAATGAGGGTAGTGATGATTCTATTTCCCCTATCTTCAGCTTCACTCATGCTTTTAGAGTGTGGACTATCAAGGAATCCCTCTGCAATCCAATAGTGAATCAATTTATGTATAGAGATGTTCTCATCTTCCTTGAACAAGCAACAATAAAGGAGGCACTGTTTCGTGTTATCATTTGGTAGTCTATCAAAGCTGAACTTCAACAAAGATAAGACTTTTTCTTCCATGTCTTCCAATAAATGGAGATTCCTTTCAGCTTCCCGCCACTCTCCAGCAGACACAGCAGTTGCCATAGTACGACCAACGATTTTTAGGGCAAGCGGGAGGCCACCACATTTCTTTGCTACAGCCTTTGCGTGCCTACATATTTCCTGATCACGTTGATCGAGATCTACATCACCACCCACGTTCTTGTTGAAGAGGATCCATGCCTCCGATTCGCTCAAGGTCTCCACTTCCAATAACTTTCTAGGAGTGCCCATTTTACAGCACACCGATTTAGATCGGCTCGTCAAAATGATCTTGCACTTGTTCTCAGCACAAGGAGTAGGAACTCCCACATGATGCAAATTCAACTCTTCCCATACATCATCTAACAATAGTAAGAACCTTTTATTTGACAAAAATCGGAAGATGTCCGTACCGTATTTCGTTGAAGACGTTGACTTTATATCAAGCCGCCTTAGGATCTGCTCCTGGATCTCGAGGATGTTGGGAGCACGAGACACGGTGACAAATATAACATAGTCGAATCTTTGAGCGGCTCGAATATCATGAAAGTTGTTGTTGACCCTCTCAAGTAAGGTGGTCTTCCCAACACCACCCATTCCGTGAATCCCCAAGGTTACCAGATTATCGTCGTCAAGAAAATCCCTGATCTGCCTCATATAGCCATCGATTTGCTCCACTCCGACCAGATCTGCAGTGGAGACGAGGACTGGCCGAACGGGGTCTTCTCTGAAGCACGGGACGAGATCCCTGAGCCACTCCACGCCCCTCCCCAGTAGGAATGAGAGGATATCGTCGGCTACCCTCCCCACCACGCCATACAGAGATCCCAGTAAAGCTCCGCCTATTCCCGTGAGACATCCGGCTATCGTCATGCCTGAAGAACGGGGCGCTGGCTCCTGCGGTTTAGAGGAGAGAAAGATAGGGTGAGAAAGAGCGTAAGAGGGAAATGGATGCCTCTGGTGTATGCCTATGGACGAGAATAACCCAGTTGAGACTCTCCAGTTCAACAGAGAGAGAGAGAGAGAGAGAGAGAGAGAGAGAGTCAACGCTGACGTAGAGACAACGCGGGGAGAAGCCTCTGCCACTCATCCTCCGGCTGCCAAGAAATTCCCCAATTGTCGGCCTTCATCTGAGTGGTAGCCGCCACCACCGTCAACGCTTACGACGATACCCCAAGCTGGACAACACAACGCAGGCCGCACACGTGGCAAGTGGGACCGAATTCACCGTTCACCACTAGCACTACCCCATTTAGAAGGGCCCCATTGCATCAGAAAAGTAGAGAAATTCTTTAATTGGAAAGCAATGCTGCGTAGTGAATATTGAAGGAGATGATGAAAAAACTTGTCTCACACGTATTGATCATGTATTCTCTATTCTCTAAATTTCACTGGGTTGGGTTAGAACATGAAGAAGAGGTAGATAGGGCAGCAAACTCAGACAACGGGAATGCCATCCGCAGTTGAGACCTCTTCTTGGACCAGCTGGGGTTTTGTGTCCAAATCGATGAACTGGTTCGACTTGCTAGCCAGGTGCGAGATGCTGACTCGCCCCATGGATTTGATGTAGTCAGAAACCGCCTTCATCTCCTCCGGAGATATGTAGATGTATTTGCCTCGATCGTCCATCACACCTGAAAGTCTACCTAAACATAACATGGTCCCACAGACCCAGTCATCAATAAAATATCCGGACGGCTATGAAAAATGACGACCCAAGGCTAGGAACCCAGACAGATCAGATTGGAATGACCAATTAAGGTAAGGTCAACTCAGGTAAGGTCAGAGGACGTACCCATGCTTTCCAGAGAAGTTATTCGATTGATGCACTCCTGCAGATGAACCATGCAACTATTAAGGTGCAAATCATATGAAAATATCAGCATCATCGTTTAAAATATTTTGCACAACTTAGGTGAGGTAACTTTCCATATAGGCACTGCATTAGTCCTCATAACAGGACATCATGCCATGAGGGTGCTATGTAGCCATGGTTCTTAAGTATTTATGATATGGGAGTATATCTTTTCATTGAATGGATGTGATGTCCAATTATGTTAATAATGTCCATGATCAACTCACATAAACATACCTTTGAAGGTGATTCCTATCTTGCAACACTATCGAATGACTCATCATTGACATTGGTATATGAACTATTTCATATAGTACCTTCAAACTATGGAAGATACACATAGTTCATGAAACAAATGAGAAAGCACGAACCATATTATATATAACAAATGATTGACTCCAGTGAGGAGGGTTCTTTCTCTATCTCCATACGTAATGATCTGTGAATTTCAGAAACTATTAATGCTGCTACTCTTCCGGCCCTTAGGGTGCATGCAAAGTGAAGAGGCACAACTCCAATGCTAGCGTTCAACGAATATATATATTGCCATAAATACCTGGGTGCGTAGCTTGAATTCTGCTGCAAGATCTTCCAGAGGAATGCATTTTTGTTTCTACAGGAAAGAAGAAGAAGAAGAAGTAAAGGTTAGCACCCATCTTTCCACTTGAGTAGACTACACCATCTTCCATCTGACTCCTTGTGGACTGATGCACATGAGAGATGATGCCAAAGTAATGATTTTATGAGACAAATTCATGCTATTATTAAAACCTAGAGTACATCCTTAAAACTAGAACCTGCAAGTTAGATCTGTTTAGCCACAACCATCTCATATTGACGAGAAGACCATATTATCCGAAAAATATAAACTGATTGATACAAGGAAAGAATCCATAAAAATGATACGCCATAATTGGTAAGGAATTCTTGCAATTATACACCATTATAGGGAAGTTACATAATAGGGAGTTCTTTTCTTTTTTTCTATTTTAGTTGTAATGAACTACACAAGTCCAGTCCAACCCTGTTCACATTGTTACTAACGGACTCATGTAAAACCCAATCTCGTGGAAAACCTAAATTGAGAACAAGAAATAGAATTTTAGGGATTCGGCCTGTTTCCCCCTTTTCTCCTCCTCTCTCTGTTGCTGCTGCACCTGGAGTTTGGAGGAGATCGATTTTTGATTTCAGGCGTACGAGAGGAGTCAACACTATTCATCCAACATCAAGACAATCACCAAATCTCAGCATAACTTATCTAAATAGTCATTTGCCCAACTCCCTTTCTGGCACAGACCCTCATTAAACACATCTAAATATAGCTGGGTTAGTACAGTGAACTTCATGTACATCATGTATACATCATGGTGCCATGCCGATCTATCCATATGGCTTTTACCCAACCTAAGCTAGTTGTAACCTCCAGTATTATACCAGCCACAATTTACAGTAAGCCAGATTTCATTCGTAAGTAACAGCATGCCCCAAGATGGCCCATGTTACAGGCAACTCAAGAGTGAGAAGTAAACTTCATTTTAGTTGATCTGAATAAGGAGGTTGGGTTAATCCTGAGCAAAAAATGATGAATTGTGCGTATTTCTGTCATTCAAGGGATGACTGATTTTAAAGCAATTTTAGTTTTAAAGCAAACGTTCAAGATGACTTGGTTTAGGAAGTTGACTTGGCCTAAGATGATTGAGGAAAAGGCATGAGTAAGGCAACTGTTGGTAAATGAAGAAATCCAAAACGAGAAACCATGATAACGATCCTGATTGTTCTGCTCGGGAGGCAAGTGTACAAATATGGGCGCTGGTTGACAAACAGTAATCTGAAAGAATAATAAAGTCTCACCTTTCAAAATTTTGCCAGGATCTGCTAATATTTTGGAAAAAATATTAACTGTATGAATAATTGCATAAGGTACTAAGGTAGCAAACTTCGTATGTTTCCACTAAAGTTGACTGACTAGTCTTTCAAGCACCTATTTCGAGGAGAAACTTGTAATTGAAGAAAGCCTATAATTAATTAAGATGGACAACCAAGAAACCATGCCAAGGTAATCCATAGCTTGATGATGATAAAATTGACAAGATCAATACAAAACTAGGAGCAATGATAGTTGATAATGCATAGGTCGATGATCACCAATAAATATCTATCAGCTGTAAACCAACATTTATTAGATATGATGCAACACCATCTGCAACAATCAATTGCACAAAAGAAGTTAATTGGCTCTCTTTAATAGAGGAACAAAGTCCTAACAGATCCTTCATCGGCATTAATAGATAAACCATGGGTTGATAAAAGCAACAATCTTTCAAACAAGAGAGTTGACATTCTCTGATATTTCTTTTACCATCTCCCTCGTTAGTTACAAAGAAAGAAAAATAACCTTTATTCAGGGCATCATGCCAATATGAATATCAGCTCCTCTCTTGAAAGCTTTCAACACATGGACATCCATGCAATTTTAATTCTCTTAAACATCTGATGAATGAAGCAAGGAGGCTATTGACGGGCAAAAAGGGAAGTTTCATCAATATATTAAAAGCCAATTCTGAGGTTATAGCATTTCAATAAATAAAAGTTAATTGGATCTTGGTCTGTCAAGTGATATAGGATAAAATATTAGTTCAATGTCACAGTAGAAAATGACAAATGCCAATGTTCACCTAGAAACGAAGTCTATGAGAAAAAGCTTGCAGTATTTTTCATTAAGTAAATATATATATAAAGCATCCAAAGAGATGATTTTTTCAATGCACATTAATGAACAAGAGAATGAAAAACGATTCCACGGTTAAAACAGCGAAAGAGAATGAAAACCACCTTGATGTATTCAACAAAGTCAGAAAGCAAGTCCAGACCACCATTTTGAATATCATCTCCTGTGGTGCCCTCTGCGTCAACAGAAAATTCTCCTTTCCACTTCTCAAAATCAAGTGCAGCGGCTTCCTCCTCTTTGATCTTCTTGGCCAGAGCTTCTTCTTCCTAAAACATTAAATCAAATGCTATATCAAAGTAAGCTGGGTAACAAATACGAATCAGACACGAGAGAATAACAAGCATGCACCAACCATCAAACGTTCCTGTGCTTCACGTTCCTCATCCTTTCTTCTCCTCATCTCATTGTAATAATCTTGCTTTATGTTTCTTGACTCACGTGCTGCCTCCTCTGCCTGAAAATGGTTGGCGTCAGCAAGCTAACAGGCTGAGGAGAGAAAAAACACTGTTACGAGGGACATGAAGAAAGAGTATATTATACCTGTCGCTGTGCCTCTCGCTCTTGTTTCTTTCTTCCCTTCTTCGTAGAAGCTTGTGCAACATTGTAATTTCCGTCAGGATCTTCTTCATCACTTTCAACGGCAGTCTCTGCATCTCCAATTGCAAAAAATAAAAACCCACCGTTCGACATTCTACTCTGTGATAGGAAATTTCAAGGAATGCAACACAAGGATGTCCACACCGGCCTTGGACCAATGAATGTAAATCCTCTAAATATATAAAAGACTCTCCAGGAGAAATGGACTGCAAAATAGAGGCACAATGAACTTATCAAAGGAAAAGGAAAAAGTTATTTCCAAAACAAGTCCATTTTGTACGGCTCATACAAACTCTGCTTACCTACCCCGTGTAGCTTCCATCCCTATCGATCTCGAGATCGGAACCCCAACAATCGAAGACAAAAGGATCCATACATCCTACACCAGCCACCCAAAGTGTGTGCACCAAATGGAACAGCTTCACAAAAATAAAATACGAATAAATGGACCATGGGGTCCAGTAAAACACCACCAGTTGGCATAGTCAGCTGTTATTTTTTGTCTGAAGTAGTACTTGCTCATTATAAAGTTTTCTATTTTGATTGAAGCAAATCATCTATGACCTACCATTCCATGGAACATTTCCATATTCCAGCCGTGTGACAGGTAAGCAGAGACCCTATAGCAAATGTAGCTCAGAATATTTATTCTGGTGTCAGGAACAGCTTCAAAAGCACTAAGGCCAAACTCTCAACTCTTGAGAGAAAATATGAAACGAATTCGACAATTCACTAGCTCAAATCATCGCCTGATCAGCCACCATGTTAATCAAATGAGGCAACATGGACTTGTAAGTTTGCAAGGCAGCATTACCAGAAACCTTGATTCAACTCAGAGCAAGTTGAAACAAATTTGGATTGACACTAATCTGCTATAATTTGACAACTCACGTCGAACCAAAATCTGACTCAACCTCTCATGTTTAAAGACCACATTCTTGAAAAATTGCTCCCGTGTCCTGTCTATTTTATAATCTATTCTGAAATAAGAAAAATGGTCTGTATGAATAGGTCAGCTAACAGATTTTTACTTTAACCCATATGTTCCGAAAGCAGCACATCTCATGATTCCAGCCCAAAGATCACATGAACAAGTGCAGGCTGAAAAGACAGTCCAGATATCTGGTCGGGTGCTAAATAAGGTAAACTGGGGCCGAGGACAAAAAAGTGTTTAGAAAAATGTTGGTGAAACAGGATAATTCCAATATTGCAAGATTGATAGAGTCCTGATCGACTGCAACTTTTACTGCTTTCCAATGTCATTTACCAAATTAATTTCTTGAACAGAGAACGAGAACAAGTACAGAGTTGATATTTAAAACAAACACGAGATGACTACACATATATGATAGGAAGATAAAAACGCAAATTTAAGGCAAGTCTCAAAGTTCATGAAAAAAAAGTAGATACCTTGCAACCGGACAGCTGAAATAGATGAGCTTGCCGAACTTGATGAACCTCCAACAGCTGGCCTCCGTCGCATCCGACGTGTTGCTGCATGCTGTACTACTTGTTCCCTCTAGGTGAAAAACAGGAGAAAGTGACGAGGCCAGTTTTCATAAATGTTGACACTATTCCCATTCCCCAAAATAGAAGATTCACCAGAAAAAACTTGAATTACACAAAAAATCAAACTTTATGTTTACTGTGAAACAAATTAATAGTTTGAACAAAGAAACTTCATCCAATAAATTGTAGTCAAATTCCATGAGCAGTTCTAAATTGAATGTTGCAAGTTAAATTGGCACTCTCATGGAGTAAAATTCAACAGAGAAAGACATATTTTAACTATTGGGAATAGAAAGGGTAATATGAAAAACGTGATAAGTATGCCTTCCCAAATCTTCTACGAAGGGGAAAACATGAAAATTTCGGGAAAACAAAATCATACTCTCTGTGTTCTCTTCATTCAAGAAAAATAATAATACACTACTTTCCATACTAGACTCTCTCATCCTCTACATACCATCCTGACCATTGATCCCGAGTGACTTGATGCCGCGGCTTCTTTGAAATTCACTGAAGCAACGACTAAAATGCAAAAGCTACCCAAAAAAAATCAATACGTGCCAGTAAGTAAGGGGATCTTACAACTCAGAAGCACATCATGAGGAAAAGCAACTCGATATTTCTCAGTTTCATAGATGCCCGAAACCCACGGGCGAATTAAAACTCATTAAAAACGATTTATATCCTTTTGATACCAATTGAGGTGTTCTGTTGTACTTTCATTCATCATTCCTTCACAGAAATTTATTCAAAGATAATTTGAGCTTTGAGATTACTTATTTTAATGTTTTCTGGTTATACTGCCAAAAAAAACTCTGCCCAAAATTCACATAAAAATAACGTAACCGAAAAAATTAAACGACCTAAGACTAACCACGACTCCGAAAATTTAATTCAGACATCTCGGCAAGATGAAAATTAGGAGAGCACGGGGTTTCACCAGAGGCGCCGCATCTTCCTCCTCCCCGTCACCAGACCTGGGAACTTGGCGTCGCTTCCACCACAACAACGGGATGAGGCCAAACACGAGAAGCATGCAGACGATGGCGGCCAAGATCTCCTCCATCTCTCCCCCTCGCTCGCTTCGAAGACCTGCGACGAAGCCACCGGAAGGGAGCAAAAGAAGAGCAAAAACTTTTGTACTCCTCTACATTTAAAAACTTATTTTACTTCAAGGCCTCTGTATAAACATTATTACATTTATACTTTTATTTAACGAAATGAATTACACAAGTACTATATCTTCACGGGTACCATTTATTCGCTAAATCTAACTGACGTCTTCTTAGGTATAGAGAAAAGTTGTAAAATATATGAGGATATCTAATAAATATTCGTCACCTCTTAGGGGACAATTTTAAGTACATATACACTTATATCCTTTATAAAATTTTAGTTGTATCCTTTTCGCTGTCGTTGACCGAAGAGGGCTCGATCCGACCCGCTTGGAATCGGACCCGGATCGTCAAATCGGGGTTGGGATCCGCCGATTGCACTCATCACGTACCAGCACGTGACCTGAGGAGTTCAGGCAGGGAAGGGGATAGAGGGGTGCTCTCGGATAGACCTTCGAGGTTTCTCTCTCTCTCTCTCTCTCTCTCTCTATCGCCCTCTGTCTCTCTTGTGCCAGTTCTCGCCTCCTCGGACGACGGCCGGGGGAGCATCTCCCTCCTCCGCCTGTCCTTCACCAGCATTTCCTCTGATGGGAATTTTTTCATCTGTCTTATATGGTATGCTCCTCTCTCTCTCTCTCTCTCGCTCGCTCTCGCTTCTCTCCTGCATCGCGTGGTTTTTTTTCTTAATTTTGATCCATTTTTCTTTCATCTGTCTCTCATTTCCTCGGGGCAGCGGTGCGATTACCAAGCGTCCGACCGTATAACCTTACAATCTTCCACTGATGACCTGTTTTCTTCACCGTGTCCGTCGGTCGTGACCGCTGCATAGCCGAGTAGTGGGAGCTTGAGCATTGCTTTCTCAATCTCTTTACTTTGTTGATTTAATAAACATGGAATCGAGGAACAAATAACTTCCCACGGGTTTCATTCATCTTCGATACTGAGTGGGCATGGAAATCGGACCAAAGATGCTCACATCAGTTGAACCGGATGCGTGATTTATTCAAAAAAAAATAGCCCTCATCCACTGCTGCATTATTCGAAGTCGGCTTGATTTACTTATCTATCGCTTGTTTCAGTGCGCAGGGTTGTGTTCGTTGTTGTTTGAAGACTTCGAGAGTTGATGTGTTCTCTAAGGATGAGCTGCGTTCAAGTCAGTCCCTGTTGGACTGGTTCTGCGGCCCCATTCTTGTGTTCTTCATCACAACCATCATATCTTCGTGCTTCATCTTCATATGCTCGTCCTCTTCACGCATTCCAATCTAGGAATGGGCTGCCGAGGTTGGTTCATAGCTCACCAAAGCACCACAGATCTCCTCTTTGCCTGTTTGGTGGCAAGGGAAAATCCGAGGAAGATAATGAGGTATGTGTGGCTAGTTTTCCTGTTGCTTGGCATCTCTCCGAGTTTGGAAGCGACTGAGGAAGATAAATTGGGAAACCAAGAACTCTGCGGCATTGATTATTACTTAATTTGGTTCTGATTTTCTGTATAGGGATCAGCATGGAAAGCCCTGGAGAAAGCCATGGGAGACCTAAAGAAGGAGACCTCATTACAGGACATATTGAGGGAGCAGATGAAAGAACAAGAGTACGGCGGTGGAGGCTTTGGAAGCCCTCCAGGTGGTGGCGATGGTGGAGATGGTTCAGGCGACTCAGAGGAAGAAGACTTTGCTGCAATACTTGATGAATTCGTTCAAGTGGTTTTGGCAACTGTTGGCTTCATATTTGTGGTAATTTTTTCCTCTAATCAAAAAAAAAAATCTATCATTATTCACACTTCTATCTATGATTTGGCTGAATATCTCCTTCATTTTTTTTACTGATCTTCCAATTCTCTCTCTGTTTCTTTATCTTTTACTGGGTTTTGATGGTCTGCTTCCTGTCTGAACATATGAAGATCATCACTTTCCCTGGTTTTTAATATCATCTTAATGTCTTTTTCTTCAGTATATCTACATGATTCGAGGTGAGGAGATGGCCCGGCTTGCCAAGGACTACATCAAGTATCTCTTTGGAGCGAAGCAGAGCGTGCGGCTGAGACGGGCCATGTTTGTTTGGGGAAGGTTCTACAAGAGGATCACTCGGAAGAAGACTCTGAGGAAGGACTGGCTGGAACGCACTATCCTCACTACATCAACAACCTGGCACAAACCCAGGCAGCTGGCCCGTCTGGTGGCTGTTGAAAGCTAACGCAGAGGCTGTGATCAGACTTCTCTTCTCTGCTTCCTGTTGCCGCTGCTCGTGCTTTAGAGAGATAATTATGGAAAGTTGATAGGGTTCCTGTGGTAAGTTGAGTCTTTGATGCTGTCTCCTTTGAAACTCTCGGATAATTTCTTCCAAGTTTTTGTGTGGAATTGGTTGGTCACCACAAAAATATCTTCAGATATGAAGCATAGATGCTGCAGCAGGGCTTCTTACTGTTCCTCGCTATCTCCATTGTTCATGTTTAGGGAGCTAATTATGGCAACTCATAGGTTTCAGCAGAAGCAATGGTAGAAATGGGCTACCTGATTTCAGGGCTCTTTGGAAACTCTTGAATAATTTCTTCAAAATTCATTATCTTTGGTTCTGAGAAGATTCAGGGTGGAAAATGGTTCATTGATCAAATGTGTTCTTCTCTCTTATACAACTCCTAGATATCATGGAAAAAATGCTCACTACTCCTTGCTAGAAGAGAGCTATTTATGGTAATTCATATGCTTTTGTGGTGCCATGTAGGAGGTTGAGGGTCTTGGATGATTTGATTTGCTCATGTTCAAGATCTTCGGTTCTTACGTGATTTTGTAAACTGGGTCAAGAAATATATATATATATATGATGAATATATTAGAGAGATAGTAGAAATTTGTTCAAATCATAGCCCCACTTGTTTAGGGAGCTTAAAGCTTGAGCCTTTAAGCTCTAGGTATATGATAGGATAATAATTAGTTTCATGTTCTAATAAACACTAAACCTATAGTCCCACCTGTGAAAATCTATTGAAGACGTATATTGGGTTGTTGCATGAATAATTATGGTGTGAATTGTTGATGAAATACCAATGCCAATTTTTCCTTTTTCTGTCTTAGTTAGTTACAATACTCTCTCTCTCCTCTCTCTCTCCTCTCTCTCTCCTCTCTCTCTCCTCTCTCTCTCTAAATTAGTGTGCGTGCAAGGCCCCATGGGCCTTCCCTTCATAAGAGTCCAGTAGTTAGGAGCCCATTATTTGAGTTCTTCTAATGGGTAAATATTGGCCCATTCCTGCCTCGCTTTCTCTCTCTTACTCTCTCCCTAAATTAGTGTACGTACCAGGTCCCATGGGCCTTCCCTTCATAAGAGTCAAATAGTTAGGAGCCCATAATTTGAGCTTTTCTAATGGGTAACTGTTGACCCATTATTTGGGTGGTAGCCAGAGAGGTAAGATGACCCAACAGAAAGCCCAAGCCCAAACGCAAGCCCGTCTGTCTAGTGGAAGAAAGTGGGGACAGAAGGTGGGGATTTCTTAATTATTGGGATAAAAAAATTACTTTAAATATGTTACTCACTCACATAAGAGCATTAATAATCTGAAATTATGAAATTAAATAATTAAACTTTTTAAAAGGTCCTGAGCAATATGCGCCAACGGATTTCGGGCAGACCCCGTGGCCCAAGGCCCGAGTCGAGGAACGGGCCAGGCCCGCGCGGAATGTTTCGGGCCTAGTTGGATTTCAGCGCTACTGAGTCCCGAGTCGAGGAATGGGCTAAGCCCCGCACTGAATGTTTCGGGGCTAGTTTAACTTCAGGGATAATGCGCTCGGAGTCGCGGAACGGGCCAGGCCCGCGCCGAATGTTTTGGGCTGAATTTAGGTTCACCGTGAATGAGGCCTTAGTCGAGGAACGGGCCTTACTTAATTTCAGATTGAATGAGGCCCGAGTTGAGGAACGGCCCTAACCCAGGAGATAGACGTTATATCGCTCGGCTCTACTCCGGCGGCCACCGCCGCCGTTCCGCCACCACCTGCCCCCAAATTTCTCTCCACCGCCGCCGCCTTGGCGGCAACCATTCTTCCTCCGGTCGGTGTGATAGTTCCGCAATCCTCAGCTACCCGGATTTCGTCGTGCTCGAAGATACCAATATTCACGCCCCTCTCGATCCGCTTGCTTCTACGCCGTCGATCAATTCTCCGCGTCCTCAGCGACCGGAGTGTTCATACTTGAGGTAAAGCAGTCCATTGTTCGAAGATCTAGAAAACTGAGATGAATAGGTGTTCATTGGTGCTTAATCGTGATAATCTTCCTTGAATTCTACCGGTTTTCACGTATTCATTGGTACCTAGTAATCTTCCTGTGAATTTCACCGGCTTCCATGCTATTTGTATTATTTTCTGCCCTGTTTCCTTTAGTTGCGGCATGTGTCCGCATTGGGAACGGTGTTGAGGGTGCGAAATTGCCAGAAGCTATAAATACAATACTTAATTCACTTTTATCAGAAGCTCCAAATTTTCCTCCATTATACGTGCGTTTTATGTTTTGATATATATTAGAGGCTCATTTTCATGGAAATTTAGGATTTTTTGCCGCGTAATTCTCTGTATGGGGCTCAGTTGGATAGATTCGTTTCGCACACCCTCTCATAATGTTGTCTTCTATATGGGCCTGTTGTCTGTGTCCACATTTAGTCAAACCACCCGGTGAATTTAGCATATATATATTATTTTTTTATGAGATCAGAGCCTAGATGTGCAGACGTAGGTACCTATCAATATGAATTTTTTGAACACCCTCATTGATGTCGAGTGTCTTTTTTTTAGGTGATTTTCTCTCATGCTTCTCTACAGAGGGTGAGTTTTCTCGATCTTACTGCTCCAGCTTGATGAGATTATATATCCGAGAGCACAGAGGAGGTTTCTTCTCATTTACCTGGTTTCCCCTATCCAGTGGACGTACTCAATAATTTCTATTGGTATCCCTTCCAGACCGACCTTCCATGTGGAATGACCTTCTCATCCCGCCAAGATTTTTGTTTTAATTTCCTTTCTTCATTGAAGTTGTGAATTTCATTTGTGAACCCAATGATAAATCAATGAGCATCGCCGGTTATGTAAGAAAGAAAGCCAGAGTTGTTGTATGTGAAAGAGGTCTACGAAGTTCATTGAGTTCATTGTTCATGAAGAATCTCTATTTGCTCACAGCTAGGCATCTTCTTATCTTACATCAGTTATTATGACAATCAATCAGAAAGAGATTTGGTTTTTTTAATTAAATTCTTTTGGTTCTTCCCAGATCCATTTTCTCAGTATTTTTTGTTGTATTTCTTTCAGTCTGATGGAAAAATTGATCTTCTTTCAGGGAAAATTATAGAGAAACTGAGAGATGTCATTAAGGAAATCCACAGCAGGTCGTCCTTCCGGAACTGATGGATCTGATTTCTCCTACCGCATGGTTATTGACCCAAGTGAGAAAAATCAGTGGAATTATTTGAAAAGATTAACATAGCTTCAAGTTTTACACCTTACTCGTTTATACCTCTTATGCCTTTTTGAATGAACTAATTGTCGTTTTTTTCTCTGTCTAGGATATTTGAAAGTGGCTGAAGGCAAGTCTCGCCTGTCCAAATTGCTGGTTGCCCAGGTAAACTAAGATGGAATCATCTGAGTTTATGAGTTCAGAAAAGAGGCTTCAAAAGAAGCTTAGTGTAAAGGGGCGTTTGCTGAATTGGGGTTTTTTACTTGACCCATTCATAATATAAATCAAGTTAGGAGTCGTTGGCTGCCAACAACGATTTTGCATTTAATATAGAATATTTCCATCTTGCTAATCTCTCATGACATATTCTTCCTCCCCTTCATCTAAGTATCGGAGGGCTGTAAGTGTCTGCTGGTGAATGGTAGCATCCTATAATGTAGATGAAGACATCTGAGGGGCTGTCAGCTCTGTGATTATGATTTATAGCAGTAGCTGATGGAAATGTAACAAGCGTTGGATACATTTGCTCACATGTAGGAGAAGGAAAAAGGAAGAAGATGCCAAAGGGTATGCGTGAGAAGAGAAGGAGATTAATTGACTGTCATTGATCCTGACAGCCCATTGATATTGTTCATGGAAGAGGGAATGATTCCTTTACTATACTAAACCTAGAAGAGAAAAAGGCACATTTATAACAACCTAATGCTATTAAACTCAGAAGAGGCACTGTCAACTATGCATTAAAATGGCCTATTTTGTATCCATTCTATTTCGTGTTCCTGTACCTCTTCTTGTTGATTTTTTTTCTGAGAAACTGTTTGGTGGCAGGCTATCTATCAAGTTTTAGGAGTAGGATGGCTGTTTCTGTTTAAGTCACAGAAAATGGGCCCTGACAGCTTAACCATACTGTCCATTGTAATCGGCTTCATCTCCCTTCTGATTGGAGAATTAGGTTCTGTCTACAAACCCATTTGCCCTCCTAGAATTGGACACTTCTGTTGATGGTGGTTTTATATAATCCAACCTTAAAACTTTGGTAGGCCGTCATCGCAGTCAAGTGACTCTTTTGAGGCTCTACTCAACTGTATCATCCATGGCGACAGCACTCTCAGTGGCATGTGTGATACGGAGTGATTTCTTTCTTCAGGTAATCAAGGATTTTCTGGCAAAGCCATTTTGTTCCTTATGCTCTTTTATCGTTTTAGGCAAAAATCTAGTGCTTCTGTTGTTAATGCACCATTGTTTGTTCATCAATCAAAATAGGTATTTAAAAATTTCCCCATGGAATATAGCCCCTTGCTTATCATAATCAGAATCCAGGCGAACCAAAGGATTTTCTTAAATTCACTCTGAATAATCCTAGACTGGGGCGTCGATGTGACAGGTGAGGGCAGAGCCTGGCTGCCCTTGGACCAGCAAATCAGCAAAGACCCAGCCTCCTATTTCATTTATTAACCTCTCTGAAAGTCTTCACCTTCTTGGGAATCATTAATGAACCTCCTCAATTCATCTTCATCATCACATTGTAGGTTGTTTTACCAAGCTGGTTCTTCCACAGGAACTAGAGAACCTGGATTCTCTGCAGGAACAGAATCTATGCCTCTATCCTCACCTCATAATCAAGATATTATCGTGGGAATAACCTCTCCCATCAATTTCCATACGAAGGAAGCTCTTTCCATGGTTTTTCTTCTGGCCCAACCCGAGTCAAGGCCTTTGTTTTGTAGGAACTGTCAGTGGGCCGCAGGCCGGGCTTCATCACTTGCTTATGCCCATGCTTTTTTCTGTGTTTTCCTTCGCCCTTAACCCAAGATAAGCCTTCACAGGAAATGCTGCTGTGCCTGGCCCATGTCTTGTAATCATTTTGAGGTCACTGATCTATGTTCTTATCTATTCTGTACACTTAATCAATTTTAGTACCTTTCTAAGTTTTATGGATAAAAGTTTGGAGGAGTGTGAAAATATCTACAAATGTGATCATTTTAAATTTTAAATTTTAAAATTTTGGATTTTACTAATTTCACACTCCTATCTCCCAGGTTATCCAAGATTGGAGTGTATCGGCCATAAAAATTCATGACTGGGTTGATATCAGCTGTGCTGCCATTGGTGAGTAGGAAGTTGGTCTTAGATTTACATTTTTCTAATTATTTTCATATTTCTAAGCCAAAACGTACTAGTAGAGCATATGGTTTGTATATATATAGATGTGTTTAATGGTTCAACCTTATTACTAATTGTGGAACAGGTATTCTTCTGCAAATCGTTGTGATTGTGACCACTACCAGTCTAGTGTACAATATGTCTCCAAGAAGGGCTGCCTCTCAGTAGCAATCTCAATATCGATGATTGAAAGACTATATGACCCCTGTTTCTATCAATTTTCCCCTTTTATGGATATTTATGAGCCCTTGGTAAGCTTTTGCTGATTTAATTATCACTGTAGCTGTTGAACATTATTGATAGAGTTTTATTGCCAGATCAATTCAATGGAGAGGTGTTCATATCTTCCCCTCATTGTCACTGAAAACATATTTCTGGGTCCTAAAATATTAATGTTTATTTTTTTTGGACGATTTTTTTTATAAAGTATTGGTTGAAGGTTTCCATTGCTTGTTTATGAGATGTGTTCATTTTGGTGTGCTCCATAGTGGTCTTGTTAATGGGTTGACCCATATTATGGGCTTGGGTGTTACATAGTGATCAGCCTACCATGCCTTTGTTTGCTCCACCATAATCCAGTTTTGAACATCTTCTATGACTCCAAGCAACCTTCACCTTAAGGAACCTAGCAGAACCTTGCATAAACCTTCTTTGCTCAAGGGGATGCATATTCTCTTCACAAGAGATACACACCAAAGAGGGGAGATAACAACCAGTTGGTGTATGTCACATGAGGCTATAGATCCCCTCTATCTATAGAGAGAAACCATAAATGCATATTTTTCATTTTACCCTTGAGGATAAACAATTCCTCACCCTTAAGTGGGACATGAGGCACATCCCTTAGCCACCGTTTGGGATTGATAGTTAAGCCATTCTTCAAAAGAGGTTGATTTAATGACACATTCCCAGAATGAGCCTCATGTGCCTAGTATGGGAGATTCATTCGGTGCTCTCAACCTATTCGTATGTTAGTAGAGTCATTCACTTGAGTGTACATGTGTGTGCACATAGACATGCTTTGCTTATAAGAACCTCTCTTTTACCCAATGATGTCATCCTTCCAAGCTATGCATATAAAAATGTGGAGATCAACAAGTTTGATAAAAACGATTTCATATTCTAGCATATAGAAATAGAGAATTATCTATATCGGAAGAAGCTCTAGATACCAATGTGCTATTTGAAACCAAATGATATGTCGCAAGGAGAATAGATGTTGGACATGTAGACTTTGGTAGTGGTCCATGTGATGATAGTCATTAATGTCTAAACAAAAAGGTCACTACAAGTCTCATAATGATTCTCATTATGAATGAGATGTCGTTGGCATCAAACAAGATGTATTTGAATGTAATATCTCTTTAATCTGAAGATGTCAAAGTATACATGAGTTACAATAACGTCAATAAGTTCAAATTTAGTCATCAATAAGTTTAGCACTATCGATAATTATTTATTATGATGAAATTAGAGTATTAACTTGGTTGCCTTTCTTGTCCAAGAGTTAGGCAGCCATGGTGACTATAGTCACTAGTTCTTCAAGTTCAAGGAACTTGAAGTTAGATAATATTTATGATATGATTCTAAATGAGAAAGAATCCATGAGAAAAAAAAAATCATGGGAAAGGTTCAAGGGAAACATCTATATGTGCTTTAAATAATGAAGCCAAGGGAAAAACTTAGAAGATGAGTCAATAATATGGAAAAAAAAATGCAAATTGAAAGGGAGAGGCCAATTAAACGGTCTAAACAAAAAATGTTAAAAATATAAAAAATTGAGCCACATCAAGAAATCTTATGTGGAGAAGAAGTTAGATGTTAGTCAAAGACAGTAGTAATGGTAAATCTGTAAATTATGTGATAAAAGAGACTCAAGATGCTCTTATTTTTTAGTGTAGATAGTCTAATGGATCCACTCCTCCTCATATAACATGTATTAATAAAATAACATTCTTGAGAGGATAAACATAAATGTGAAAGAGCTAACCATGAGCAAGAGATACATGTTTGGCTATCAGTCTTTTCAGACATATGTTTTTAACAAAGAAGCCCTTCTTATACATAGGGGGCAGTTGGTGTCTACAGACCAATCATGGAGGAGTGATAGATGAAAGGAAAGTATATCTCTTTTACCTAAGAATCTTTTGATGTTTATCTTTTGTGCATGTGAATTTTTGAAAATATTGACAAGATGGTTTCAAAATCTATAAAGAGTTATTCATTGGATATGGAGTTCATGATTTTGGCTCTCCATTTTGGGAGTATTAATATTATATTCAATGAAATCATTTTATACAAGAAAAAAATAAATTCAAAATATTATATTAAATATTGCTCAAAGTAGGTAGAGTTTGAAAGAGATTTTAGAAGAAGACATACCTGTAAGAGTTGAAAATAACCTTGAAAATGAAAATGAAAGCCATGAAGACATACCATTTAGTTGAGAAGCTCAAACAAAGTAGGAAGACCAATGACAAGGTGATCTTCTATTTTATAACATTTTTCATTAATAGGATGCCAATAAATTTGAGTCTTATGTAAATGTTAACAATGCTAAAGATTTGTTGAAGTGAGACCAAGAAATGCAAGATAAGTTAGATTTTAATGACATATGTATTAGAGAAGAATTGAGAAAATCAAAATTGAGGTATAATTTCATTATTAAGTGGGAAGAAAGTACTTCAGAGCAAGTTGGCATATGTGTTAGAGAAGAATTTGATGACAACAAGAGTTACAAGTTGAGATTCATTGTAAAAAACTTTCAACAAACAGAAGGTTGGTGCTAAATATTGGGAGTACAAAAATATTTCAATTAAATCAGCTTCATGATAATTAGGGGAAGATAATCGTATGATGCAATCAAAAGAGTTTTTTTTTGTGTTTAAAAAATCAAGTATGTAAGTTGAAGAAGAAACTTTATAGGTTTAACTAAGCACCAAGGTAGTTGTATAAGAAATTTGATGATTTGTAACCAAGAATGAGTTAACAAGATGTGACATAGATCATTATTATGAGTATTTAAAGAATTATTTTAATATTATTATATCATTTATTGTTATTGATTGGTGATATGTTTATTATAGGAGCTGATATATGGGAAATCAACACACTAAAAAGGGAATTTGAAACACAATTTACTATATTAAGGACTTTGGGTCAGAAAAATAAATTTTTAAGATGAGAATTACTGCAACAAAACTGGTCCTTTGCATGATCAACATGTAGGTTTGGAAGTCCTATAAGCATCCTTTTAGGAGACAACTTCAAATTTTCATCGGACCAGCCATGAAAGACAAACAAAATAGTAGCAATATATTGAGGAAATTCTATGTGCATCTAATGTCGATAGTTTAACAGATGTTATCTAATGAATTATCTAATGTCAAACTTAGTAACACAACATTAGATGATTATGTAATGGATTATAAATCACTTGAGAGGCACCTCATATAGATATCTTTCTCTCATGATAACTTATATGAAGTTATAAGGTTTTGTAGATTTGATTTCAGAGGTGATACTGACACAAGGAGAAGTACTGACAACTACATCTACATGGTAGATGGTACTAATGTTTGTTAGATTAGATCTCTCAACTGTTGAAGATTATAGCTCTCTAAACAATTGAATCAGAATATATCACATCATTATAGAGCCAAGGAAATGATATGTTGAAGAATTTCATTATTGAACTTATGATGATCATAGAGCCAAGGAAATTATCACAGCTAGAAGGCTAATTATTTTATTTTATGATGATTATAGTGTCATAAGAGTAGCCCAATATTTGATTTTTCAATCTAGGATGACGCATATTACCCTAAGGTTTCACTACATCCACATCTTGTCAAAGGATGAAACGTCAACCTCTCTCTCTCTCTCTCTCTCTCTCTCTCTCTCTCTCTCATGGTATGAGGAATATGCTCTCCACATGGCAGTCATCTACCCACATTAGCAGCCCCTCGTCCTTGTGGAGGTTGGTCCCCTACCAACCGGGCCAGACCCGGGCTTCATGCTTAGTCATCCTTTTCTCGTTTTGGCCTTTTCTTTGGTGCCCGGCCCGCTGACATGTTAAGATATGGTTCCATATCACGACGTACTGAAAGCAACGTCACCCAATGATAATCCACCACTTGTGAGGTCCGCCACTCGCCCACCCCGGACACTGGAGGCGGGCCTGGCGGCGCTGCGATCTTCTGCAAATAGGAGAGGAATAGTCGATGCTGTTCAAGGTGGAGGCCCTGAGAATCCATGGCTGTTCTCCAAGCGCTGCCGCATCGGGGCTCGCCGCCTCTCTCCTTGCGCCGGTAATGGAGGGAGACGCATTTCCGCCGCTGTGTTCTTCCGAGATTGTTGACTAATCGATGTCCGGACATTATGTTCTTCTCTTACCCCGCTGTTTTTTCGGTAATTTATGTTGGAGTCTATCCTCCTTCTTCTCGTCTTATCTTCCGTGCTCCACTGGCCTCTCTAAGCGGTATATTTCTTTCTGGCTCAGTAGTTCTAGTCCTCTCGGCTTTTGATTCGGCGGCTGTTTCTACTGGCGACCTCCTCAGATTTGTGAGTTTTGAGTACTCCGACTGTAGCATTGCTTCCTCGTTCAGTTTCCTTCTCTCAGCCTCCTGCAACTGAGATTTTGTATGCCTACTTCCTTGTCGACGTCTATCTTGTTCTGTGATCAGTTCCTAAAGATGAACAGAATTTGCCCGTAAAATGTTGTACCTCCTGAGATATTTGAGTTGAACGGCTTCTCTCTTCCTGGTCGTGAGGAAGAATAGGAATTCAACATTCCTTTATGATACCTCTAAAAAATCATCCTGTAAATGTAGAAAAGCGCAAGAACTGTTCCCTAGGTCCAATCAGCTCTCAATTTTTTATTTTATTTCGTTTATCGTGATTAATTTGAGTTTTTTTTCAGAAACCCGCCGATTCAGCTGATTTCCTGCTTTTAATTCCCAGTTCATCACACTTCAATCATTTATGTCATTACAGAAGGGTGGCACCGGTACCTGGCAAAATAATATGTTCACTGGAGAAGACCTCAACCAGTAAAGATGTTTCCAGACACGTTTTGTCTTGTCTCTCCGCCTCTTTAATATTCTTATCTCCTGTGAACAAGGTATTTAACCATGTCTCGCTTCTGATTACCTTTCCTTCAATGCGAGTTATTTTCATAGACGACCCTCTGAATTTATTGTATATAATTGTCCCATATGGTATAGGCAGCTAAAATTAATGACCTAGTGGCTCTAATTCTTAATGAGTTTTGAATTAAATGCCAAACTCTTCATCATAGGTTTGGTGTCCTATTTGCATTATTTGCATGACAGAACCATCCCACAGAGGAGGCAATTCCGAGATTATTCAAAATAAATCTACCATAGTCATTTCTAGTTTTTTTTTAATATATCTTATGATTCTCTAATAATAGTAACTATGATGCTATATCTTATAATTTACCATTTTTTTGCAAGGATGAGTAAGCCAACACTAAAGCTGCCTTCTTTTTTACATTGATTAAATTCAAAACGAAGTTTTTTTTTTCAGGGCACAGAATGAGATAGAACCGTTCTTGCAGAGGATCAAAGAATAGATTTCAAGGCCTTGAATTTTGATTTCTTTTAAGATTTTCTGGTGTCCAATGGTGCCAGGTCGTTGCTGTAGAACAACCTCAGTATTACAACATGTGCAAACTTGCAACCATCACGGATAGTAATTTAACACTAAAACTTGATGATGTACCTGATGATGGGAGTGGAATGATGATGATGATGAGGTCTATGACTGCGAAGAATTTCGACCCTGTTAGATATTCTGGAAGATGGTTTGAAGTGGCTTCCCTCAAGCGTGGATTCGCTGGCCAGGGCCAAGAAGATTGCCATTGCACACAGGTATGATATAGCCTATAGCTCTCATAGAGTTGCTAAATTCAAGATTATTGATTTTATTTTTGAAAATGTTTAATCATGGTTTGTTGAAAATGTATAAAAACTCGTAGGGTGTCAAGGGAGCTCTCATCAAATCGCTTAATTCAAAGACTATTAATTTCATTTTCTATGTTTGGTGATGTTTTGATAAAAAACCATAAAACCTCGTTGGGTCTGCAGAGTCATCTCATAGATTCTAATTTCTATATTTAGTATTAATCAGAAAAAAAAAAGCGTGAGTTTCACATCGAGTTTATTTATTTAACCTTATTTTATTTTCTATAACCTTTGATTCTTCATAAAAATATATTAAAAGGTTCGCTGGGTGTGCAGGGAGTATACACATTTGATCCAAAAGCTCCAGCAATCCAGGTGGACACCTTCTGCGTTCATGGCGGGCCTGATGGTTATATCACTGGTATAAGAGGGAGGGTTCAGTGCCTCCCCGATGAAGAGACCGTGAAGACAGAAGCCGAACCGGAGAACGAGGGGATGACCAGAGGGAAGTGTTTCCTTCGCTTCCCCACCTTGCCGTTCATTCCCAAAGAGCCATACGACGTTCTTGCAACTGATTACGACAACTTTGCTCTTGTTTCTGGGGCAAAAGACAAGAGCTTCATCCAAGTGAGTATAGAATTAAAGATACCAGATATTGATTTAACTCAAAGTACTATTTTTGGTAATATATATATATATATTGTGTCCACTTCTGGAAATTTTTATATTTGGTATTCTAATTGCTAAAGTCAAAACACAGGTTCCCTTTTAATGATTGATGAATCTTCTGGGCATTTGGTTCTTTTCATGAACATAAATTGATGCTGGGAAAGGGAATAGAGCATTATATTGATCAACATTTCATATTAATTTCCGCATTTATGGCCCTTTTTGGGGTCCTTATGGTAATGTTTGATCCGTCAGAAACATGTTCATAGGTGTTCATCAGCATGACCAAGATTAAATTAGAAATAGGGTCTTTGAGAATTTTGTGTTTACTGAAGTTTACCTTATGATCTAAGGATTTATGTTCTTGTTCGAGGCCATTCAACACTTTTTTATATAAAAAAACATAATGAGACAATTTATTATCTTCGAAATAGTGATTTTCCTTTATAGATTCACACTTAATTAATTCATTCAAAAATGCACTCATTGACAACCATCTGATTATTCTGACCATTAGCTTTGCTAATTGACAGAACATTAGTCTCATAAGCACTAGCAGCATCAAAATTGTGACGAATTTATACATAGATGTATATATAATTGATCATCTGTAGATTATACTAATTTGGGAATATTTTTGCACATTTTTTCGATCCAGATATACTCAAGAACATCCAATCCTGGCGCTGACTTCATAGATAAGTACAAGAACTATTTGGCAGATTTCGGGTATGAACCAGACAAGATCAAGGACACGCCCCAAGACTGTGAGGTGATGTCTTCAAGCGACCTGACTCGGATGATGTCCATGTCCGGAATGGAGGAGGCGTTGACTAACAAGTTCCCAGAGCTGGGGTTGAAGGGGTCGGTCGCATTTGACCCCTTCTCCAGCGTCTTCGAGACCTTGAAGAAACTGGTTCAGCTCTACTTTAAGCAATTATTTACCTGAATCTGTTCATATTCCTAACCATATTTTATGATATTTCTCGTAGTTTTTTCCCACTACTTTTCCATCAATATATCATGATTCTCTCTCCTTGTTGTTCATCAATCTGTTTATATTTTCCTTGCCATTTTTTCATCATCAGAGTACTCCCTGCCCCACCAAGAACACTTCCTATAACTGGAAAATGAGAGATGGACAGAAGAGTGAAGAAGGCGGTGGTCAGCATATAATCTTGATTGACAAAGACTGAAGCTTATCTACTACCACTTACTAAAAATGGAGAAAAAGGGATGAACATATGAACAAAGTCAACCATCATCAGCCCAAAAGCTACCACCCCATCCTCCACTGCCCAACAGAACACCTCCTCTGCTTTCCTTCATCCAGCACCAAAGAAGAGCAAGGCTAAAGAAAACAGCCCTCCTCTACCAAGTAAAGCCACAATCTTAGAACATAAACTTTGATCTCAGATTACAGATTCAGAGAGCTTGGAAAACCCTAGTTTCTTTAGCCGGCTGCTCATGGGATTGTTGCACTTGAGATCCACAACCTCCACTAGAAAAGATGACCCTTTCTTGGTGGCTTTACCCTGGCCAGTGCTTCCTGCTGCACTGGTACTCTCACTACTTAGCATGGGGACCTTATGCCCGTTCTTGGGTAAACCTTGAGCACTGTCATTGCCATTTAGAGGGTTCCTTCTGGGTTGAACTTTCTTCGGGGTGGCTCCACAGGGGACTGAGACGGGACCCGACTGGGTCTTCCTGTCAGAGATGGCTGATGCTGGCGGTATGTGTTTCATTGACTCGAGTTCTCTGGTTATCAAGGAGCCTATTGTCCCTGTAGTCCCCACCTGGATCCTCTCTCCATTGTTCTTGGCAGCTTCACCCATCTTCCCCATTATGGTATCAAGTGGAAAATGAAGATGATGAGTATTCCCTCAGATCTTGGCGATGTCAGAGTAGTGATCTTTGCTGATTACGATTCCTGGCAGGGAATAGAACCAAAAAAAGCAAATTCATTCAAATAATTTACAATGCTTGAAACTATTCAAAATATAGAAAAAAATAGACTCATTTTCCACAACAATTTTTCGCCCAGTGCTCACATTGCGCATGAATTAGAGCACCAGACAGCTGACACTCCTCAATGTATTTTGGCATAAATGGAAAAATAAATCGCAATTCAAATATCCACACCAGTCAACAGCTGAAGATCAAACATGACGATTGAAGATCAGATATGGTGGCAATCTAGAACAAGGAAAAATCCCAAAAATATTCTTCTGATCCAGACAATGATAAGATTTCTTAGAATAGATTCAGTGATGTGATGGGGGAGGGGGTTTCGATTTTGGTGGAACTGATGGTCAAAGAAGATGAGCTCACAAAGACGCCTCCCCAACACTTGTCCCCAGAAACAGCCGAAAACAGAAGTTGCTGATACACCGATCAAGCTCCCTGTGAAATCGAGGAAGAAAGATGCAAAAAACTGGCTCTAGAAAAAGTAATCCCACCGACGGCAGATGCTTTCATCAATTGACCGCTGCGGTCATCGCTCACAATCTCCAGGCCGTACGCACATGGAACCTTCATCACGCTCGGTAAATCGAACCAGAGAAAAACATTTCAGCCATGAGGAAGCAACGGCCCGCCCATACCTCCAGAGGCTGCACTCGAACCACCATAACGCAGCATCGAACTCTAAGGAGACCTAATACTGGCGCGGAACACTCAGAGCGAGGGATTCGAAACGCAAGAAAATGTAATCCAGATCTTCCGTGGCTCCAGAAGAAATAACCAGAAACCTACAGAGCCGCATCAACATGAATTGCCCTAATCACTGAGGCGGCATTGCCTCAGAAATGTCCTCAAACATACGCATCAAGCACAGAAAACACGCAATGGAACGGATTCACGCAGAATGTTAACCCCAGACCTCATCGCCCCTTCCCCCTCAGAATCAGATAGGAGCGGAAACCCCCAATCACGGAAGCAGCCACTGAAATAGATACCAAGATGGAAACCTCGTGAAGAGGAGAGAAAATCCGCCGGAGTTCCTCCAATGCAACGGAACGCCGCCACCTCCACCGCTGCCGCCGCCGCCAGCGGCTCTCCTGCTGCCGTCGAACGCGCCGCTGTGCCGGGAAAAAAGTTGAGACCATCTTCCTTTCGAGCGAACTATTATCGAATCCTCGATAAGATGTACCCGCGGTACGTTTTAGTCGCGGCGAGATGAGACCCACACTGAAAACATCGCTCCATATCTCTCCATCCGTTTTTATCCAGCTAATCAATTCCGCAGGATCACCACCGTTCAATTTTTCGGATCCCCATCCGACGGTTTGGACGAACCACTCGCTTCGCCCAAAAAAAATCTCCACCCCATGACGTCATTAAATCATTTTAATTTTAAAAATTAGTTCTTATTACCACCAGATTATCATATTAACTGTTATTAGCGGCTAATCATAGCCATCAGTCTAAGCAAGTACAAGGTAACACTCAGAAGCAAAGGGCACTGAAAGAATGAAATGGGGTTTGACTTTTAACGGGATTGACTAGAAGCATGAAGGGGGAGTTAGCTATAAGAATGAATGAGGGTTGACTGACAAAGAATAAAAGTGGTTGACTTTTAATGGTTGGCTTGTAATAATGAAATTAGGGGTTGACTTATAGTTGTTACCTTCCAAGGCAGTTGACTTATGCCATTGAGTCTAATATGAGGTAGCTCTAGTCATAATTATCAGAGCTCAAATATAGCAAGCCTTTTTATTTTTTATTTTATCTTGCTCATCAATGATTATCTCACTACCTAGAAAATAGTACCAACTACAAAATATCAAAGTCAATCCCGAATTTTCATGAGAATTTTTCAGAAGGTCAACGGGTGAAACATTTGTGTCTTTCAGGTGCACAATGCAAGTAATATTGTAGTAAAAAATGGATTTTTATTTTTATTTTGGTATGTTTTACCAAATATAAAATCGTACGGGGCTCCAAATAATTCTACATTTGGCAAATAATTCTGTCTTAAAAAATACCAACACGTCAGCTTTCCTCTGCTTCTAAATCCAAGAATATATAAAAGTCAACTCACATTCTTGGTTCTTGAATGAATGGTCTTAATAATAGTTTTCCTAGGACTTTGGTTCGATACAAAACGGGGAAAGAGAGAGAGAGAGAGAGAGAGAGAGAGAGAGAGAGAGAGATGAGAGAGAAAGTGGGAGAGAGAGAGCGATTACGCGGAGTCAACTTCATTCTCTACTTGAAATATTATAATATATATGTAGTACCGATATGACGGTTGTTACTAAGTCAACGGGGCAGGATTTATTGCGATGTTATATTTGTGAATGCATGTGGGGCCCACTGCTTGGTGGACCCAGTCGTTTCCGGGTGAAGGAAGAGCTGGCACGTAGATTTCGTTGGGGCACGTGCTTAGCCAGGTGGTGAAGCCCGAACGGACCAGTCTGATGTGGTCCAATGAGATTAGGTTAGCTGCGTCACTGAACCCTGCGTTCTTGTACAATTTGTGAAATAATCTGCTCCCTCTCTCTCTCTCTCTCTCCTCACCTTCTCTCTCTGGCTCTCTCCTCCCTATCTCTCTTCTCGGATCTCACTTTTTCTAAGTAGCATCAAAACATTAGGGTTTCGATTAACGAACTTGCGCTGCGAGACGTTTTTTTGGGGGGCGGGGGGGGGAGAGGAGGGGTTTTCTCGCTCTGGGGAGGGGATGGCCCAAGCCGTGGAAGAATGGTACAAGCAGATGCCGATCATTACCAGGTCATACCTCACGGCAGCTGTCCTCACGACGGTTGGATGCACCCTCGAGGTTGGTGGAGGACTAGAAATGAGGGAATAAGCTGGGGAATTGGGTTCTGGCATCTCTTTCCCCTTTGAATTGAATTATAATCTTTCAGTAAGCTGCTTCCCGCTTTTTCCCGTCATTGAATTGGGGAACGTTATCTGTTCTTGCTCAATGGAGCCAAGGCATCGATTTTTCTATCGTGATATGGTGTCTCCCATATGAATTTACCCATTTTTTTCTACATTTAATGACAGGACCGTTTTTTTGGAGCAACTAGGTGAAATATGATCTTCCTTTATCCTCATTGATTTCTTTGTTTATTTTTTTCGCAGATAATATCTCCTTACGATTTATACCTGAACCCCAAGTTTGTTCTCCAACGTTATGAATTATGGCGCCTGATCACAAACTTTTTGTACTTCAGGAAAATGGGTAATTCTCATTATTTTTGGTCCATGTTTTTTCTTTTTTTTGTGGTAATGAAGTTAGATAGGCATCTGCCCCAGTTTTCATTTTCCTTTGGGAATTTTAATTTCTTTCTTAGCTTCTGTCGGATGAGCGAGACATTTTTTTTTTATTGGAAAAGGTTAGTGTACCGCAAATTCCTTCTGATAAATCGAGGAACAGAATCCATAACTCGGTTAATTACGATTCAATACACAAAGCAAACATTAGCCTGTCCTTCTCTTCATGGTAAATCGTAAGCAGCAAACTTATTTTAATTTTTTTTTCCGCTTTTGAGAATGGAGATTTCGATGATCCAGTACTTGTGTACACTTCACTCCGATATCCCTTTCCCACCTAAATATTAGTTCATGCCTTGAGCGATACCTCAAGAATATTGCACGAGAGGGATCATTAAAGAACCTTCATTCTGTGAGATCATGATCCACCTTTGTCACGTTTTTATCACCTTTGAGTTCAGGTTGTTAGTATTTATGGGTTAACTCTATGAAGATCATATTCTATATTGAATAATATGGATTTTACTATGTGCAAGGTAATAATGTTTAGTAATGTGATTGAAATGAACTTTGTTTAAGTGAATAGAAGATCACAGAGTATTCTCCATACACTCTAGTGAGTTTTTTTTTTCATTTTGATTTGTAGTGGAAAAAAGGTGTTGTTATTGTTGGAATGGGCATCAATAAAAGAATGTCATTAACTATTGAAAAAAGCATCTTTAGTCCATTTTCTGAGAATTAAATCAACAATTCTTTTTCGAGGGATATTTATGTAGGAGCCAAATGCCTTGAGACATGAACAGAATAAGACTTGGACCAAAAAATATGACACCCCCACCCCCACACAATAAATCTGTGCTCTCGTTTCCTTCAGATAAAAATAGTTGTCAAACATCTCTGGGACTCACATCTCCCCTAGAGAAGATCAATCATCAGCAAGAAGTTTTGCCTTCCTCCTAAACTAAATTTGACTAAATTTGACACCAAGCTTCTATTGCTGCTTTCCTTCTAAACTAACCAAAAAATTTCCAGCAACAACATTAACCACCCCCCCTATAAATATTGACTCTCCCTTTCCCATGAATCAATTTCTGTGAACGCTTTCTTGGTTTTGGACTTTTTGTTTTTAAGTTGTCTTGGAGATGCACTCTCCGAAGGTTGATATTAACATGTAGATATTCTTGAATTTTGATAAAATTATTGTCCTCTCCCACCATTTTATGTCTTAGCTGAACGATAGCCTTTTCTCATAACTAATCTTCTCTTGTTATACTGATTGAACGAGGGGGATTGGCCACTTTGGAAGATTAAGACCGAAGACATTTTGGTTCATCCCGAAATGATTTCTCGATTAGGTTCCGTTTGTGGCAGACATGAATCTTCTTCCCATGTTTTCCCTATTCTTTGGAATTAGATATTTTGGGAAGCTGCATGCAGAAAGGGGAGGTAAACGTTTGTAGAAATATAGATACTTTGGCTAAATATCGAATCCTCTGGGCATCAATAGATGTTGACGCCTTGGCAAGCCAGTATTATTGGTTGACTGATCTCATAATGTTATAATAAACGTCATCATTAACCAATAGTTACTGTGATTTTATATTATAGATTTGGATTGTCCTAGGATGGTAATTAACAGAGTGAAGTTCGATCATACAACAGAAGATGGCTGACCTCAAATGACCTTTGACAAAAATAGGGGTACTGTTACCAGCTTGAAAGTTGGATAAACTGGAATCCAGAATCGAAGCTAAGTTCACCTGTTTAATCTCAGCCGGTTATCAAAGCAGGGATTTAGGACCTGGCCCATGGACCTGCTTTAAATAAATAATCATATATCCCACTAATACAAAAAAAATAATTTTATTAAATTCATGGATCACCATGAAGTGAATCCATTCAATGATTCCGCAAGAGAAGGCCAAGAAAATATGGGGATCAGATGGTATTCCTCATTGTAAACATTATTGCCATTGATTTCTCCTTTTTCGGTACTTTGCAACTGACTTTTTTATTTGATTTTTTTGGCGTTTCTCTCATCGTGCAACTTATAAAAGCTCTTCAAAATGTTTTCAAGTAGAGGATCATCATTTTCATCCTATTTTTCTTTAACTGGTTATAAACTCTTCTTTTATCTGCAGACTTGGACTTTCTCTTCCATATGTTTTTCCTTGCCCGGTATTGCAAGCTACTCGAAGAGAATTCATTCCGGGGACGGACTGCAGATTTCTTTTATATGCTATTGTTTGGTGCGACCATCTTGACTGTGATCGTGTTCCTCGGCGGGATGATACCCTATGTGTCAGCATCCTTTGCCAACGTCCTCTTCCTCAGCAATTCGTTGACTTTCATGATGGTCAGTAAATGCAATCCTCCCACAGGCCATACATTCCATTTAAATCTATTTTATATCCTTCTGATCTTAAATCCCAGTATGTGCTGCTGTGTTTCCTAATTTAGGTCTACGTCTGGAGCAAGCAGAATCCTTTTGCTCCCATGAGCTTCCTTGGCCTGTTCACCTTCACAGCTGCCTATTTACCATGGGTAAGTGCCACCTGGTTATCACAGATGTCTAAGAAGAATCAATTGCTGAATATCTTCTTCATTATCTTATTTGAAGGAAGCATGCAATTCTTTCTATAAACGAGTACATGAAACGTCATGATTTCAAGAAGCAATAAATAGTAGATGATGGGTAATAATCGAATTTCTCAAATATGTTGATCTTGCCAAGTTATTGTTGAGAAATTCTTCATCCTGACTTAAAACTCTTACCTAACCCACACACTAGTTCTTCATAGGGCTCTCAGATGAGTTGAGCCCAGACCCAGTGGGCTTTTGTAAGGCCTGGGCCCGGAGAAAAAATCATATGTCTGGACTATATGAATTTTGGGGTCCACACTTATCTTTAAATTAATGGTTTTTCTTGATCTGGAAAATCAAATCTTTGATTATTTATTTTTTGTTTTCCTCTTATGGGCACAGGTCCTCCTGACTTTCTCTGTGCTTGTTGGTGCCAATCCCTGGATAGATCTTCTGGTGAGTTTCCTCCTACTAATGTCTCCAAGACCATCATAACGTGTATAAAGAATGCCCCCTATTGTTTCCTTTTTGAAGTCTGGTGTAGCTTCAATCTCCCAATCTAGGGGCTTGTTCCCATCAATGGTCCATGATCATCATGAAATCACAACAAAAAACAGTATTTAATTTTTATCTGATGTAATTATAACATGCAGAAGGTTGTTTTTATCGTGTTTTTACTTGACTGCACACTCTTTCTCTCATCTCTCTCTCTCTCTCTCTCTCTCTCCCTCTCTCTCCCTCTCTATCTATCTATCTATCTATCTATCTATCTATCTATCTTTCCATCGCTCTCTCTCTCTCTATAATATCTATCTATCTATCTATCTATCTATCTTTCCATCGCTCTCTCTCTCTCTATAATATCTATCTATCAATCTCTCTCTCTCTTTCTATCTATCTATCTATCTATCTATCTATCTATCTATCTCTCTCTCTCTCTCTCTCTCTCTCTCTCTCTCTCTCTTCCTTTCTCTCTATCTCTATTTATCTATCTAACAATGTATCTATCTGTTGGAATCTTTATATCCCAATTAAGGGAATGCTGCCATCAATGTTTAAACGCCATCACAAAAGACATGCGAAAATGGTTTTTTTTATCTTTATCCGTCTCAATTTTTGTCTTGAAAACCCAACATATTTCTGAGATACAAAAAATTCCCCTTTTTCATTTTCTTAGATCCGATTTAATTTTTGTCATCCAATTCAGGACACTTTCTCATCATTGCTCCAAGATAATCGTAAAAATCGGAAGCAATTCATATCTTCCAATCCCTTGGCCATTATAATGGATCTTTAAACAAGAAAAAAAGCCTTTTTCCCATCCATGCTCCAAATGATCGTTGACTTTGGAAATATGAGGAATTTATATGCAAAATCCGGCTGGATTTTGGTTATCAATCTTTCTTTCTTTCTATTTCAGGGCATGTTTGCTGGACACGCATACTACTTCCTCGAGGATGTCTATCCCCGGATGACAGGCCGCCGCCTTCTCAGGACTCCCTCCTTCATCAGGTCTCTCTTTGCCGATGACCCCATCGTCGTCGCCCGCCCTGCCAACATGCAGTTTGCCGCCCCTCCTGATGATCCCCATGAGGACTGATCAAGTTGTCAATCATCTCTCTCTCTCTCTCTCTCTCTCTCTCTCTATATATATATATATATTTATGTGGAGTAAGTTAGATGAAAAAGATCATCCCTTGCCTTGTAATCAGTCCAATCCTGCCGTCTGTACAGTTGGAGGTATTCTCACTTTTGACTGAAACTGTTGTCTTATCTTCTCACCCAAATGGACTAGCACTTGCCTGTTACAAGGGCATCACAGCCACGTTTCTCTCACTAAAAGAGAACTGCAGGCGATGTGGGTAATTTTGGAAGATGAAAGCCCCTCACCCCTTCTGTCTCTCTCAAGTTTCTCTCACTAAAACGCTAGTTTTCAACTCTCTACCCTACTACCCAAGAAAAACACAGAGTGGGGAACAGTAGCTCCTGGTTATGTACAGCATGGGCAGCCATTATCAGCCTAAAACAGCAACATCATACCGAGGGGGGGGGGGGAGTTTCTCTCTCCTCCATCACCAGGGGGTGCTTATCTTGGCCGAAGAAGCTGGGCCCCATAAGCCACTGACGACGCCACAGTCGTCGAGGCCACCAACCAACTGCAAGAGAGAGAAACGAGAGAGCAGAGGAGGATCATCTCACTAGAACAGGCAGCCAAAGGGTTCAATCATTTAAGATTTTCTAGTTCTGATTGAATAAAAAACGGAGTCTAGAGATCCTAGAGAAGATCTGTCCTCATAGGAGCACCAATCAGTTGACTTGCCCAGAAATTATTTAAATTTGCTTACTCCTGACTGAGTAAAAGATGAACTCTTTAAGTTTTCGGAAGAGCAGAAGATGCTCAACAGGCTACTTACTAATTATAGTAAAGCACTGAGTTCTTGAGCAGATACTATCTAAGACAGTGACTCATGAGATTCGATGCAGAGATTGGTACCTCAGGTAAGTTATGTACAACTGGGTTTGCTCTGAACCAAATTCCGGTTGAAGAAGTGCGGCAGCAACTAAACCCAATTGGAAAACAGTGTTAACCTGCAATTGTCAAGATCCATACTCAATATATTTTCTCATTAATGATAGAAAACAAAGCATCTGTAGTGCAAATAAATGCAATACCTTGCTAATAAAAAGGGGCTCCACCTTTTCTTGTCTTATCTTGTCGAGATGGACAAAATCGGATAAATTCTTCCACTAAACAAACATTAAAAATGGAAAAAAAAAATGAGAGCATGAACAAGATCCATACAAGAACAACTTCTATTTATGGTAAGAAATCCCACCTCCCAGCCCATGCTGGATGCTCTTTTGTACACTGCACCGCCTATGAGGCCAATATCCCTGAACACTATGAGCTCAACCAGTCCAGCTGTGGAAAAAAACAACGAGATGGATTCAAATCCGAGAGAAAAAGTCTACCCGGAAAGGGATTACTCGATGAAAGTGGATAGTGATATAGAAAAAAGGATTTTGGGCTCAACAATACAATTGACCAGGGTGAAAAAAACATTCTTCGAAGATGAAGATTGAGGACTTCTGCGATTACCATGCAGAAGATCCTTCTTCACCATAGCTAAAGCAACACAACCAATTAGAACCTGAAATAGCAAACCACGGAGCTGTTGGACCAAGATAGGGGAGTTCAATACAGAAATAGCTTTTGGAGTGAGAGACGCCAGGGAGCTGAGAGAATGGTCCACAGGCTAGAAAATGAAGATGCTTCCACCTTGTCAGCCAGGGGATCGAGGTATGATCCAAGCACCGAATTAATCTTCAATTTCCTTGCAACGTAGCCATCTAACTGCAAGATAATAGGGAATAAGTGAAAATGTGCGTACACATGAACGCTAAGCCAGAGCCCAAGAAGGAAAGAACGACCAAATGTGACTGTAATGCAGTTCCTACCCAATCAGTCAATCCAGAGATGCCCAGCCCCACAAAAGCAGGAATATACCATTCGCTCAAGATCATCCTGCACGAGTATTAGCAATATTAATATACTATATCCACAATAATACTCAAAAATCAGTAAACTGCAACGCAAAGAGTTTTTTGAATCCGAGGATGTTATTCATTAAAACTGAAACAACATTGCACCAAGAACACTGCGGTTAATGAAAAGCCCTGCCACCTAATCAGAATATGGGCCCCTCCTGGACTATTTAGGAGGTATATGAGAAGAAAATCGGCAAAACATTTTTTAACATATCATATCGGATCTCAGCCTTTGACCCATTGGCGGTGGCTCCTCCCCAATCTTATAATGATCTTAACACTTTGCCACATGAATAAAGATACAGAATGGGTTTTTTAAGCTACTCTTACACCTTTCCAACCAAAGAACACCTATTTCTAAGTCATGTAGAAGAACTCGCCACCAAGCCAACCTGCAGTAAACCTCATAAAAATTTCTCCGCTAGATGCACAAAAAATTTCTAATTCTTGATAGTTCTACCACAGTCCAAAATTTTGTCCAGAGTTTCCTTCAGCGTGAAAAATTAAACAAAAAATACAGTTTGCACAGGAATAAAACTTTCTAATAGATTCCCAGGTTAAGTAGCCTACTGTATCCAATTTTCAACGCACATTCAGTCATCCTGATTCACACCACCAAACTCGACATTAATCAATATTAAGGTAACATTATGATAACATCTTTCTGAAGTTTTACGAAAACCATCCCAATTTATACAAAAATAAAGAAAAAATAAGCCATCAAACGCAGATCATGCCATTCAAACAATCAGTCAGCATTCCCCTTAGATAAGTAATATCAACACTAACAAGGAAAAGCTCCCATAAGACATAGGATCTGCACTTTGTCGAGCCCATAAACACTTTATGAGTACACAGAAATCATAGATCTTCTTACAAGCAAGTCATCTCGCTGAATCTGCCTCAGCCATAATTTATACACGATATACATCATAGTCTAGAGTGGAAACATTAGGGTTTCACGGGACTTTTAGGACTCGAGGCTCGAAACTATCTTGGATACTCAAGGAGGAGTTCGTCGTCCAAGCTTGAGAAAAAGTCTAGGGTAGGAGGAGACAAGACAGATTGAGGATTCACTCATGTTACTGGCAAGAAAAAGATCAATGTCAATGGCAGGGGCAGGCTAGAGATGAGCAAAAGGAATGCAGGCTCATAGGACATGCAGCTTAGCATAGCATTGTATACGGAGGTAAACCCAAGTATCAGATTGATTCTCAATTTTCCGTTTCCACACCTCCCTGAAATAAGGAATTTAACCCCGATAAATGGGATAAATTCGTAAAGGATGGAAACCAATTAATTCAACAAGGAGACATAGTCATAAATTTTAATCCTCAATCCAATCAAGAAAAGCACCAAGTCCCAGACAAAAATCAGTTTCTTCTGAAACTGACGAAAATTGGGGAAAACAGATAGACGTACCATCCTATCACGGGGCCGGAGACCATTCGACTGATGGAAATCACATTCGGAAGATTTAGAACTCTCTCGTCACTCGCAAGTCTGGCAGCCGCCACAACATTGTCGCCTGCGGGCGGTCTAACCCACCGAACTGCGTCCGCAAGCCCAGCTCGGACTTTCCCAGAGGACCTGAACCCTAGCCTAAGCGGGAACCCCGGTTTCCTCGCCAAGCGCAATCCGGTCTCCTCCCCCTGCAAATACAACGGGGTAGCGGCCTGCGAGAGCTTCCACGGAGGAGAAGACAGGAACAGGGGCCCGGAGAAAGGCACCCGCCTCCACAGGGGAGAGAACAGCCGAGAACCACAGGACGTGAAGCGGAGAAGCGCTGCGGAGGGATCGGGGAAGACGGCGACGGGCGGGACCGACGGCGGCGGGGTGAACAGGGAGAGGAGAGGAGGAGGGAGACGGAGGAGAGTGGCGCCGGCGTGGAAATGGAGGCGGGACCTAGCGGATTCCCTCCGGAAGGGCCTCAGCAGGCTCCCGAAGCCCGCCATTACCGAGCATGGCTCGTGATCACTGCTCCAAGAGAACCAGAGAAGAGCAAGAAGAAGAGGAACCAACGTAAGAGAGAGAGAGAGAGAGAGAGTAGGGTTCTGGCAAGGGGGTGCCCCAGATACACGTGGCATCATCTAATACGTATTTATACCTGAAATTTTGCATATGCCTCTCAGAAAAATAAGCATTTATTATAATATACTTTTAAAACATAATAAAATAATTATTATTATCGAAATACCAGTTCACTCAATTATTTGTACATATATTTAGGTATATTGTATATCTACAAGCACCCATACATTTGATTTCTGGTAGTTATCTAATTTCAGATCATAATTGGTATTTTGACGTAATGCTATAGTTAGCTCGTATTCATGCATGGTATACACTATATATCCAATATGTATACAAGTCAAATTTTGGTAGATATAATAATTTAGTGAAATTTCATAGTATTGTTGGTATTTTTATGCAATACTATAATTAGCCCATATCAAGCAAGGTATGCACTACATCTATGCTAAACATGGGTTAATTTTGGTAGATACAACAGATCACTTAAATTTCAGATTATACCTGGTATTTTTATGATATGCTTAACTACCCTATATTCACACTTAGTATATACATTACATATCTATTATATGTACAGGTCAAATTTTGCTAGATATAATAATTAACTGATATTTAATATTATATTTGGTATTTTCATATAATGTTATAATTAGCTTGTATTCATGCAATTTCATAAGACTATTAGAGAGAGAGAGAGAGAGAGAGAGAGAGGGAGAGAGATATGCATACAAAATGTATAATGCAACAAGAATTCATGTTATAGTAGTTGATATTTTAATGTAATGTTATAATTAGCTTGTATTCATGCAATTGTAGATGATACTTAGAGAGAGAGATGCATATGTAGAGAGAGAGGAGGGGGGATATATATATGTTATGTTATAATTTAACCAAATTTCATATTATAGTTAGCATTTTCATGAAATGTTATAATTAGCCTATATTCGGGCAGTCAATATACTCTATGCAATCTCATACTACAGTTAGAGAGAGAGAGAGAGAGAGGGAGATATATATATATATCTATATATATAATGATATAATTCATTGAAATCTCATTATGTAGTTGGAATTTTCATGTAATGTTACATTATCCTATATCCATGCATTATGTATACACTATGTCATTTCAGATTACAGTTATGGAGAGAGAGATAGATAGATAGAGGGAGAGAGAGAGAGAGAGAGAGAGAGAGATAGATAGATAGAGGGAGAGAGAGATAGATGAACAAAGAGAGAGAGAGATAGATAGACAGATAGAGAGAGAGAGAGATGGAGAGAGAGAGAGAGAGAGGCTTTTCAGCAGTCAAGGGGGCGGCGATAGTCGGGGGGGAGGGTGGGGCAGCGCTCGTTCATGTGGGCGTAGGGGAGGACGCTGTTGTACCCAGGGAACTCCATCCGATACTTCCCCAGGACCTGGCAGAAAGGCGGCGCCGCCGCCGCCTCTTCGCACCACCCCGGCAGCCGGCTCGAGTTGTCCTCGAAAAATTTGAGACTGTATGCGTCCTTTATCTGCAATTCGTCACAAATCATAGGACTTATATGAAATACCCTATCATTTTCCCACAAACAAACCTTGAAATTAACTACAGATACTTAGCCATGCCGGAACCTGGTCCTCAAACCCGAGTCCAGGGAGAGAGAGAGAGAGAGAGAGAGAGTACGGATACTAGCCCGAACTTGTCCTCTAACCCAGGTCTTCAAACCCGGGTCTAGAGAGAAAGGTAGATAGATACAGCGAGAGAGGGAGAGAGAGAGTACGGATACTAGCCTTGCCCAAACTTGGTCCTCAAACCCAGGTCTAGAGAGATAGTTATATAAACAGATATAGCGAGAGAAAGAGAGAGAGAGAAAGAGTACGGATACTAGCCTTGCCCGAATTTGGTCCTCAAACCCAGGTCTAGAGAAATAGTTATATAGACAGATATAGCGAGAGAAAGAGAGAGAAAGAGAGTACGGATAGTAGCCTTGCCCGAACTTGATCCTCAAACCCAGGTTTAGAGAGAGAGATTAGTTATCTAGCCTTGCCCGAACTTGGTTCTCAAACCCAGGTTGAGAGAGAGAGAGAGAGAGATGGGAGAACTGACGGTGAATTCGGTGACGTGGATGGAGCTGGCGATGGGGCCGAAGAGGCCAGCGGCCTTGTACATGCCGATCACGAAGGCTATGCAGGAGGCCGAGGGACCGTCGGAGTAGACCCACTCGTCCCTCTCCGGCACCGCCAGCAGCTCCGCAAACGACATTCCCCCTCTTCGCCTCTCCACCTCCACCATTATCTCCGGGAAGCTCAGCCCCTTCACAAACCAGAACCATAAACAAAATCTCAGAGAGGAGGAGAAGAAGAAGGAGGAGGGGAAGAAGAAGAAGACGAAGAAGAAGGAGAAGAAGGAGGAGGAGGAAGAGGAGGAGGAGGAGGAGAAGAAGAAGAAGAAGAAGAAGGAGAAGAAGGAGAAGGAGAAGGAGAAGGAGAGGGAGGAGAAGAAGAAGAAGAAGAAGAAGAAGAAGAAGAAGAAGAAGAAGAAGAAGAAGAAGAAGAAGAAGAAGAAGAAGAAGAAGAAGAAGAAGAAGAAGATCTTGAACCTGGGTGCCGAGGCGCTTGTTCAGGGCCTCGTCCCACAGGATTGGAGCGTAATCCGGCTGGAGATGATTCCACACGGCCATGAACGACGCAACCTGCTCCCAACCCCGGAAAAAGGAGAAAAAAAATCACCCATGAAATACCTCATATAATTAAAGACGTTCGATCAATCTCCCACAAAGACATAATTAGTAAAAATGCATGGTGAAGTCATCAGTAAGGATAGATAGATAGAGGGAGATAGATAGATAGATAGATAGATAGATAGATAGATAGATAGATAGATAGATAGATAGATAGATAGATAGATAGAGAGAGAGAGAGAGAGAGAGAGAGAGAGAGAGAGAGAGAGAGAGAGAGAGAGAGAGAGAGAGGTCCATAAAAGCTATATAAAATTAAAGACACTCGACCAAGGCCAGGAAAAATGATATAAAATTTAAGACTTTCGACCAGGGTCCACAAAAATCATATTAAAAAAAAGACTTCTGATCTTTGTCCAGAAACCTTGTAATTTAAAAACTTTTGATCTTGTTCAAGAAACCATATAGAATTAAAAACTTTGGACCAAGTTTCAGAAAACATATAACTAGTTTGATAGCTCCTTTATTCAATTGCTCATGGATAACATATAACAATTATTGTGTTCCTTTATTTTTAAAAACACATGATGATGTTATCACTAAGGATTGAGAGAGAGAGAGAGAGAGTAGAACATTTTTTTAACACTTTCGATTAAGGTCTAGAAACACACTTAATTAGTTTTATAGCCCCCCAATTCAAGCAGCCATTAAGAATTTGATTAATGTCTTTATTTATTTTAAAAAAATTGATCGTGTGATCACTAGGAATAAGAGAAAGAGAGAGAGAGAGAGACGTAGGTCAACAAAGAGGATATAAAACCAAAGACTTTTGATCAAGGTCCACGAACACATAAAGTTAGTTTTATAAGTTCCATATTTAGGTGGGCATAAATAACGTTCTTATGGTGTCTCTTCATTTTAAAAAGCATAAGATTAAATCATCACTAAGGATAGACAGAGAGAGAGAGAGACTATGGTCCACAAAACCCATATAAAGTCAAATACTTTTGACCAAGGCCCACGAACACCTAAACTCGTTCATGCAACGCATAATAAGACGATATTGTGTTTCCTTATTTTTTAAAAAATACTTGATGTTGTCATTTAGAGGTAGAGAGATAGAGAGAGAGAGAGAGAGAGAGAGAGAGAGAGAGAGAGAGAGAGAGAGAGAGAGAGAGAGAGAGAGAGAGAGAGAGAGAGAGAGAGAGAGAGAGAGAGAGAGACAGACAGACAGACAGAGATAGAGATTTACCAGGTTGGGGTCGGCGGGGAGGGGGAAGTTGCTGTCGACAGTGTCGATCCAGCTGAAGATCATGTTGTGGTATCCGTAGGGCTTCCCCTCCATGCTCCTGGCGTACTCCCAGGCGGCGGCCTCGTTGAACTTGGCCCTCATTTCCGGGTGCAGCGGCAGGAGGGCGATGTGGGGGTCCGACCCGTCCCTCTTGACCTCGAACTCCCACCACTCCTCCCATGGCAGCACCGCAATCAAGTCCAGCCCCTGCGATTCCAAAGAAGGAGTAGGATAAGGAGAATAAAAGGAAGGAGGAGGAGAAGAAGGAGAGTAAGGAGGAGAGGGAGGAGAATAAGGAGGAGGACGACGAGGAGAAGTAGGAGGACGAGGAGGCGGAGAAGAAGAAGAAGTTCACTATGAGGATGCCCCTCACCTCGGAGACTTCATGGCCGGATTCTCCGATCCAGAGCTTCCCCTCGGAATCCCTCAGGCACACCGCCGAGTGTCCGGCGTAAGATCCGGTGACCCACTTCTCCAGCGTCTCGAATCCTCCCCACCTCCCCCGGAGCTTCGACAGCACAAACAGGTCGCCGGAGTGCAGCTTAGTAGGGTCGATCTCCGCCGCCCATGGCTGGCGGCGCGGCTCGAAGCTCGCCCCCATCCGCTTCTTCAGAAACTCCATGTTCCTCTTCTCCCCCCACCTTGTATCTGTGAAGAGAGAGAAGACGTCGCTTAGGGCACGCAGCGTCCCCAGCATCCCCGCTTCCATCTTGAAGATCGACACCCCATACTTCCTCACCTGTTCAGGAATTCCAATCAATGCCCACATATAATTCGATGATTTATTGCTTAATTGTTCAAATATCAGAATCGAAATCACATTCATCGAGTGAAAACATATAGGAGTTTGAGTGGGGGAGTGAAGCTCACGTAGTCGTACTCGGCCTCTCCCTGCCATTCGTTGAAGTCGATGGTGTGCTTTCGGGAGAAGAAGAAGAAGGTCCAGGTTACGCGATATGGAGTCGCGAGGATGTAGAGGTCCAAGCAAGTCCACCTGCATGGCATGCTAGTCTAGGAAAGGGCCATGGAGAGACGGGGGGGGTCAAGTAAGGGTAAAAAAATAGAATCTATGTGGTAAATATTTTACCCTATTAATTCGAAAGCATAATAAGTCTTGTTCTAATCAGAACAGAGAGAGAGAGAGAGAGAGAGAGAGAGAGAGAGAGAGAGAGAGAGAGAGAGAGAGAGAGAGAGAGAGAGAGAGAGAGAGAGAGATATTCCCTCTTTAGAATGATTATAATATTAGCGAACATAAAAAACATGATTTTTATTGTTGCCCAGTGCCTAATAATGTTCTAATCATTAAAAAAATATTGAAAGTATGTTTAAAAGGCATGGAAGCTGAGGGGAAGGAGGAAAGCGGCTACGGTTACTGAGATGTCCTCATTTGAAGGCCTAATATTTGTTATATTTGTGTTCATATCCCTCTTTCCTCCCCTATCTCTTTCGAACGTTTTATATACATCCCTATATCCAAAGTCAATTTTTTAAGTAATTGTTATAATACCCTTGTAGAGAAAGACCAACGCTGTTAACTTACCACAAAACCCGCAGAGGGCGTGAACTAGGTGGGAAGGGAGGAGAGAAATATTCGAGAGAGAATGAGAAATAATGGTTGAAAGAGAGAGAGAGAGAGAGAGATATTAGAGAGAGAATGAGAAAGATGGTAGAAAGAGAGAGAGAGGGGGGGCGTGATCGTCGTCACCTTGATGTGGAGCTTCCCGCCACCGAAAACTGAGGCGCTGTCATTGTGGGGCTCAACCCAGGCCAGGTTCCTGCGGAAGCAAGGGCCTTTCCACTCGAGGGAGGCGTTGGGGGAGGCGGTGGCGCGGCCGACGAAGGCGGGGACGAGGTCGGCCGGGTTCCGGAGCCGCCCCAGGAGCGGCCGCGACACCTGCCAGGGCAGCAGGGGGAGCAGATCTCCGGGGTGGAAGGGGAGCAGCAGCGGCGACGCCATCATCATCACCAGCAGCAGCAGGAGAAGGGAATTGGAGGAGAAGAGGCTCCGATCCATAGCTAGAGATCGAGGAGAGGGAGAGAGAGAGAGAGAGAGAGAGAGGGAGGGAGGGATCTGGTGGTGCGTACCTTATTGGAACAGCAGCGGAGGTTAAGAGGGCGCCGGCTTGGGGTCTTGCTTGGACAAGAAGGAAGGGGAGGAGATTCTCTGCCGGAGAGCGACCGCGAGCGCTTGCCAGGTATGTCACTGGCGACTCTCGCAGCTTTTTGGGTGCCTCTTCTCCTGTTGATTTTGATCTGTGGAGGAAGAGAGGGACATCAGGGTTTTGTCTCGTTCAATGCTTCCAGGTGCTCTCACGTCCAGGCTGACTTGCCTGGTGTCTGGTTCTCCCGGAGACTTCGGACGAGCCCCTCGCGTGCAGTGCCCCATCCCTTCCTCTTTACTTCGTTCCCTCGGTTTTGCTACCCCGAGGGGGAGGAAGGAAGAAATCTCTCCTTCCTCCAGCGGTGCGGACGACGGTCCGTGGCCTTCCCTCTGGTCTTGCTTTGTGGAGAAGGAATCGAACCGGTTAGCAGGAGTGCGCGCCGCCTGAGTCTGCCATGCCGCACGCACCTGCCACGCCGCGCAAGCCTGCCGCGCCGTTCGCGTCCTGGTGAGAAGAAGCATGTGCAGGAATCCACTCATGGCTTGTCGAAAAGATGCACGACGTGGCGGCGCCTCCGCCCCGGCGACCGAGAACTGAGAGGAGCTGAGCTCCCCGGGCTCCCTCCATTACTAAATCAACTGATTCTCATTCCTCAAGGAGACAGCCAGAGGAAGCTCAGCCGTTCCGGCACTACCCTTCCGGCTGGTCCTCCTTGCCGCGCAACATCTCTGATCTGCACGAACACCTGGAGCTCTAAAGCCCCAACAATATTAGTGAAGAATTATCACATTATCTTGAGCAGTGGGCTAATTATTTCCTCCATCAAGGCCTATTGCTCCACCATCAGCGACTAGTAATTTCAAAGAATTCTCAATTTATACCTAAAATTATCAATGGGTTCAATGGCTTGACTATTAGGGGATACTCATGCTTCCTATGAATATACAAGAAGGAATAACCAAAATGTTTGGTGAGCTAGAATAAGGAATCTGATCAGAAAATAGATCAAAGCCCATTTCATTTGTGAGCAAAACAAAGTAGAATCTCTCACTCGAGTCAATTTGCTACAATTTCTACCCATCTCAAAGAGAATTTGAGAGGATATCCTTTTGACACTTCTCAAATCTGATAACACTTTAGTTCAATACTAGTAGTTGTTGATTAATCAAGTATATTTTTTTCAAATCTCAAACATCTACTCACAATATCAAAAAAACATCTACATATTAATCTATGACATCATACAAGGAAATGGATTTCTGACCTAAATATTCATCGATGAAGATCATATTTTATGGGCATATGTTAGGAAAATCATTCAAAAACTAGGGGACTACATTTGTTGTACTACCCACAAATTGATAGTCAAATTGAGGCGGTCAACTATGAATTAGAAATATATCTTCATTATTTTCTAGGAGATCGTTCCCATTACTAGTGTAAGTGGATCACCCAAGCAAAATTTTGGGGCAACATGAGACTTACATTCTTCTACTAGGAGGATGTCCTTCAAGCTCATGTTAGGGAGATTTCCTTTGATATGGCCCACAACATCCAAGACTGGCTGAAGTCAACTAGGAATAACAAGAGTGGGATGCCACCTACTTAGGCACTATCTTGCACAAGCCCAAGTCTTGGTGAAAGCATAAATTGATCACAAATGCCACAATCTCAACTTTATTGAAGATGGCATCATTTGTCACTAGTTACATCTATGTCGACTGAAATATCCCACTTGACATATTTATGAGAAGCTAGCCCCTTGTTACTTTGGTCCCTTCAAAATTCTGAAATGAATTGGGTTAGTTGCCTATTAATTGAACCTCCAATCCTTCTCAACTATTCACAATGTGTTCCATGTGTTGTAGTTGAAGACGCCAAAGGGAACAATCCCTTTAAGTCCATCCATACACTAGTTTTAGATGATGACCTTAACTAGGCCATGGAATCCTTGAAGTTTCTCAATATCTAGCATGACCCACATGGGATCAAGGTCCTACTCAAGTGCAAGGACCTCCTAGATTTGAAGAACACATGGGAGCCAACCTAATGCATCCACTAATAATGTTTGGATTTTCACCCTGAGGACAAAATGAGTCTTAAGGGGAGCTTGATTGCTGCATGTAGAAGTCAACTGTCAAGATGAGATGTTGACTTTGATAGAAGGTGAGGCAGATGTCAATATGGACTGATGACCCACTAGATGTCACAAAAACTTAGTTTTGTTGTGTCTTCTAGTGGCAAAGTTGGAGATTGATCATCTCAAATTCTCTCATGCTCTCTCTCTCTGAGTGTTCTCTTGTTTCTTCTCCCTTTCCTTAGCCTTATATCCAAGTAGAATTTTCTCTTCCAAGAGTCCACACTTGATCTTCTCTTATGTTTTAGCCCAATATCATACCATGAGTTAAGGGGTTCTATCAAATCCCTCTGAGCAGACTTCCAAGTGGTTGTGTAAGATCTGATGATCCACCTCTCCAAAGACTTAAAGCCATTCTATCACCCACAAAGCTTGGATAGGATTAACATGTCACTTGAGAGCAAGTCTAGAAGGTTGACCTTTGCCACCCACATCCAATAGTACTGCTCAAAGGTTGCCCATAACATGTTTTGCTTCTTGTCCCACTAGATATCTAAGATGAGAGTGAAGATATCATGCAGGGCACACATATCTTGCCCCACACCTCCTTAACTATTTAGCAAGTCCAATCAGTGGCCATATATATTGACATATCCATTTATACACAATAATTCATTTTTTTAATATGAAAAATCAAATAATTCACTTTTTAAAAAGTATACATATGTAGCGTATTTTTTAAATTAGTAATTATTTGATTTATTTATACGTAAGTTAGGATTATAATCTCACTAGTTTTAAAAAATAATGGAATTTGGGTGGAGGGTTGAAGCTTAGGTAGTGATTCTCTATCTCTCTTTGCTAGTGTGCCCTTGAGAGAAGAAGGTCCAAGTTGTGAAGATATAGAGATCCAAACAAGTTCACTTGCATTGCATAGCATTCTAGTAACCATGGAGGGGGGTGGGGGTCAGAATAATGTTAAAAAGATAGGGTGGATGAAAGTATGTGGAATAAAGTTTTTACCCAATTAATTGAAAGTATTATAGATATGCTCAAGCGAGGGGGAGAGAGAGAGAGGCGCGATCATCGTTCACCACATCTAAAGCTTCCCGCCACCAAAAGCTGCGGCGCGGTCATTGTGGGGTTCAACCCAGCCAGGTTCCTGCGGAAGCAAGGGCCTTTCCGTTCGACGTAGGCTTGGGGGAGGCGGCGGCGTGGCCGACAAAGGCGGAGACGAGGTCGGTGTGGTTCCGTAGCCGCTCCAGGAGCGACCGCGAGACCTGCAAGACCTCCCCCACTGGATCCAAATCTCCGAGGACGTCGTCGTCAGGAACAGCAGGAGGAGGTCAGAGGAGGAGAAGAGGCTCCGTTCCATAGCAGTAGAGCGAGGAGAGACGGAGATCCGGTGGCTTACCTTGGAGTAGCAGCGGAGCTAAAGCGGACGCCGGCTTGGGGTCTTGCTTGGAAAAGGAACGGGAGGAGATTCTCTGCCGGACAGGTACTGCGAGCTCTTGCCAGGTATGCCCCCGGCGACTCGGAGCTTTTTTGGTGCCTCTTCTTCCGTTGATTTTGATATGTGGAGGAAAAGAGATACATCAGGGTTTTGTCTCGTTGAATTCTTCCAGGTCCTCTTACGTCCAGGCTGACTTGGTGGCTGGTTCTCCTGGGACTTCGGATTAGCTGACTGGTCCCTACTGGGATCACAATTGATACAGTAAATTGGTTGGTGGAGAATGCCGTGGTGTAAGCATTGCCAAGAGGTCTGTCCGACAGTGCGAGATGAGGACCGTGGTTACATGTGAGCCTCCTCTTCTTTCTTCTGAATCCTCTTGCAGCAATCTAATGCGAGATGAGCCTCCTGTTCGTTTCGTGTTCTATGTCAGAAGTAGCATTTTTCATTTGTTTACTCATTCTTTTCAATTTCTCAGATGCTGTGAGGGTTGTGGACGTGTTCTTGATCAGGACATATATTATAGCGGGGTTACTTTTGTGAAAACCAGCTCTGGTCAGGTATATGCCTCGTCTCTCATGTAGATTCTATTTGACATGGCTGAAGTATCTCCGGCCTAGTTATGGCATCTTTTTATGTAGATCCCTACCCTTTGTTTAACATTTAGCTCTTTCTTGACAGAGCCAATTGGCAGGTGCTTTTATCCGAAGTGTCCAGAGTGAGTATTCTTTATCCCACGAGAGAACTTTGATGAAAGGTATGTGTTGCAGGTTCCTCTATCCTTTTCACTTGTCCTTATTTATCGTGCCTATGCTTTAACTTACTTTTATGAGGGTATTAATATGATGTTTATTTTTTACATAATACCTTGTATATGAGCTGCATCAGTTTTATATGATCTAAAAGCTGAGTTTGCTTTGTCTAGGAAATGTAGAGCTCAGGTTCTTAGCAATGTCTTTGGAGAATTTTCAAGGGCATCTTGAGAATATTTGTTATAGAGGAGTCTTATCAACAGTTTAGATGATTATAACGTAGTCTTAAGGAGATGACAGAAAGTGACAGATATAAGGGTAACAATGGACCATCCGAAGCAGAATGAAGAAGTAATCAAACAATAAGTTGAGGAGGATTGTCTTTGTTGCACTGGAAATATAGGCGCCATGAATACAATGCAATTATTTCATCCCTAATGCATGGTTATTAGCAATGCATGACCATCTTCTCATCAGCACTAAATTCATTCATCCGCTATCCTCATAACTTATATTATGGTTATTATGTTTAATAACCATGTTGTTGATCATTATCCCGCTATTTGCAAATATTTTAGAGTTGTATTGTGTTACTTAAAAAATAGGTTTGAACTGAGTGTTGTTCGGTTCAATCCGAATATATTATGATCATTTCATCAATTGTCATTTATAAAATTGGATTGCTATATAAGTATTATAACACATTGTATGATCTAAACCAGATGGGGATTTAAGTGAATTTGGGTATGTCTGTACATGTGATTTATAATAGTCAGGGCACTACTTAGTCTTTTAAATTGCTTAGACAGACAAGTAATGAAGGTTGGATGTCTTGTGCATTTTTATTTGACATTGAAATCTCTAATCTAGTCCTTTATGTTCTCACGCAGTCTTTTATTTGACATCTATTTGACAGTGCATTCCGAAATTCAGAGTGTTTCAACTTCCAGAAAAAAGGAAAGAAATGATTAGTTGTTAAATTAATATTATATTGCTAGTAACCAATACACATTAATTAATATCTAATTTCCCTTGGAGTTTTTTTCATTTATGAATTGAACATTCACTGAATATGGTTGTATGCTTTTTTTGATATGGGTGGCGCTTATTTTTATCATACATTTCTTTGTCAAACATTTTGTAGGAAGGGATGAAATCAAGGGCATCGTAGTTAGTCTTTCTGTGGCCGGTGGTGATTCAATTATTGATCAGGCTCATGCTTTCTATAAAGTAGGCCTACTTCTCTCTTACTTTGTGGCTCTTTTAGCATCGTTTAGTGATGAGGTTAAATCTTTTTTGTGTTATGAAGATAGCAGTTGAGCGAAATTTTACCAGAGGGCGTCCAACATCACAGGTTGCTGCTGCTTGCTTGTACATAGCTTGCCGGTAGTGACTCTTGCCCTCACTCATGCTTTCCTTACTTTATAGCCTCTAAACTTGGTTATTCTACATCTGACAGTACTAACCTTTGAAAGATCAACCCGCTGTATTTCGAAACATCTTGTTTGGGATTATGTAGTTCCAAAGAGATCAGAAAGAGGCACAAACTAGTGACTTTATCAACGTTCGATAGGTGATGGTATGAAATATATAAGGTTGTTATTTAAACTGATAGACAAGACAGCAGTTGATCAATTTTGAAAGAAAAAATGAGAAAAAAATGGTTATGATCAATTATGTGCTTTTATATATATTTTTCAGAAGGCTAAGGTACCATTTAAAGAGCATCTTGAATGGTCTACTAGTAGTGGAGCGATTAAAAATTGTCTTTGAAGGTAAACATGCCGTTTAGATGTCTTACTAACCATTCAGCTTTAGTTTGTTTGAAGTGGAGTACAGCAGTTGAAGAGGGTTCTGAAGGCCTTTATGGTGAAGAGATGGAGACCTTTTCCTAATTAATGACATTTGTAGGGGCTAAAACTAGACAACCCTATTTGTTTTCTGTGTTTGAATTGGTTTATTGTTTTGGTCCACAGAAGTGCTTTTAGATAGGAAGTAAGTATAGTCAACGCAAATCTAATGATCACGGAAGAGGGTGCATGATTGAATGAAAGTGTAATTTATCAAATTGATTGATATACTTTATTTTTAATTAAATATCTATTTAATAGATGGCTCGTGGTTTAGATCAGAGAATGTTGACTTAAGGCATAAAAACTTTTAAAGATATAGTGGCTGAGTTCTCTTTTCCAGCTTTTATTTTTTTATAGTAACCTTTCCCGACTTGGTCTCCTTTAAGGCTGGTGGTCTAGTTCAGGACTGATGAAATATCAACTTGAATTGTGGATAAGTTGATTTACAACATCTGGATAATGTACACAGGTGATAAACCATTTTGGACATTCTCTTAAAGTTGATTGAGAATGTATACATTTAAAAGTTTTTGAGAATATTGGCACTAAGAGTATGGCTGTTCAAGGATGCATACTTTATGAAGGTTGTGGCTTTGGAGTTGTTTCCAAAAGGGAAGATGCTTGGAAGTGTGTGCACAATAAGCAGCTATGCACACAATAAGTGTGTAGGGTGGTTCTTTCTTTGTCACAATCCAGCTATACGAGATGGATTAAAGATATATAGGATGTCAGGATTTTAGAGAATCCAGGGGCTTCTGTGAGATTGCCATTGCATTCATAGTTTGTTAACATAGGTTCTTAATGCAGTTTTGGAGGGCTGCTTCAGATGCTATCTCATTATGAAATAAAACTATGATAAGTTTCACGTTGGCTCCCAAATCTATAGCCTTCTTTCAATGCCTTTCTATGTTTAGTGAATTGAATCCAAGAATATGTGCACAATTTCAGTAAGTCTCTTGTCCTGCTTAAGGAATTTACAGGATTGAGGAACAATCCCTGATCCAGCAGTGATTGGGGTTTAACTCCATGTTAGATGAAAAGGCGGAATTTAGTTCAATCATGTTAGGAAAAACGCTGTTTCCCAAGGTTTTCACTGTAGCTTGCCACCTTGGTCTTGGCATAACTAACTCCAACTGTGAAACATGTTTATTGCAGTAGTTTATCTGGGGCTTGAAGGATTGATAGGTAGGACATTTGTAGAAGGTGGTGGGGAGGATTTTCCTATCGCCATTCATATCATGCTCTGCTACATTGTTGCATTTCCATGTTCCTCAATTTCCAGGCCATCAAGACGAATTTTGTCTCTCTTAAGACTTTGTTCTTGATGAAAAACTCATTTATATGTTACAGAGAATGCCATCAAGAGGATTTTGTTTTTTAACTTTAGTGGCATGCAGCAGACCGCATTTATAGAGATGATGCTGAATGAGTCAGCAGACCGCGTGTCTGCTTCCATCCTCGAACTAATAATCTTTCACTTATCTCACTAGTGTACTTGTTGTTATTGTGTTCCTGCAGTAACTTTATCTTTCGAGTAAAGTAGCATATATATAAAGGAGAGGGGAAGGATGCCTGAGAAGTTGGGATGTATGAGAGACATTTGCCAAACTAAAGTAAATATAGAATGATGGAAAGATTCTCAAATGATGGGAATGACCGTGGACATTAAATATGGTTGACCTTATGGGGCATGGGATTATTCTAACTGCAGTTTTAAAGATGAGTTCTCGTGCCTCTATTATGACACTCGTGATTTTAATTGACATTTTGGAAGAATCTCAGATTATGTCTCTTGATCTGAGGATGTACACTTGGAATCTGCATAGATGCAATGTATGTGAGCGAAGACGTTTGCATACTTAATGAATTTTTTATGTGGATGACATTTATTACTTAATGATAGCTTTTAGTATCTTATTTTGTTATCAGTGACAATTTTCACTCACTGCGTGCGCTTATTGACCATTAACATTTTTTTATGTATGAACAAATGCATTTAAGCTTTACATATTTGTCCATAAATATAGCTAAAAGCTATTTTTACCGTAGGTCTTAACTGCTGCCTCTTCTCCATGATAAATTAAAAGCATATTCTACACTTTTGTTTTATGGTGTCATCTACCATCCTCATCTTAAATGTCAACAGACATATTTGGAGGATGATTTGAGAAACACAACTATCAACATTCCTGTCCAATATGTGGCTATTTCCTTTTATTGTAAAGTGAAACATGTTGAAAAAAAGATGTTACTTTATTTTTTAGCAACATCAGAGGTTCCCTTTATTCCATCGATGTGAACAAACATAAGACGATGATCCCATTGACAGAAAATGCTATTTCGTCAATCCTGATCTGTTTATTCCGTTTATTTAAGGAGCTGACCCTTGCCATGCTGATTCGCAATTTTTTTTCTACCAAGGATCAACCAGTGCTTTGAGGATTAGGATAAATCATGTGCATGGTTCTCATTTTATGTTAACGTTTGCTTATTGATTCATGAGTCCACATGGAATTTTCTTGAGTAAAAGTTATTTGAAACAAACTTCGTGCTGTTTTGCAGGCAGAATATGAAGCCGTACCTTCTGATTGATTTTTCAGATTACCTGAGGATAAATGTGTATTGACGAAGCTCCTTTCCCTTTCATTATAGTGATATGTCATTGAAGAGAAGGTTGTTTATGCTATTTTCTAATCTGAATGGTTTTATCCATCAATGCATTTTTTTCTTTCAGCTATGTGCTAGGCGCCGTGTTTTTGCAGCTTTGCCTACTCCTAAGACTTGAAGAACATCCCATTGTTCAGAAGCCAGTGGATCCAAGTCTTTTTATTCATAGATTTGCTGAACGTAAGTGTGCATTGCGATTTTCATCTTCTGTATATATATTTTTTCTGATGCTAGGATCTAGCAGCCTTTTCCTTAAGAGTATAATATACCCGTAATTTTCTTCAGCCCATGAAATGACTGATAAATTTTCTGTCTGGGCATAGAGCTCATCTGGTTGAAATAAATAGCATTATGCACAGAATGCCATTCCTCATGGTGCCACTTTCAAGTTATGATGGAACAAATTAATGCCATAGAAGATAAGATGGGGCTGTCCCTCAATGTTTTTGATACTCCTCTCCAACCATGTTAAACCATCTATTGAGGGAAAGGTGATCTTCATTTTTAGATCTGTTTTCTGCCAAACGTTTTATCCGCTTTTTCTGTTAATTTACAGATTATGTGGGTAATGTTTATCAAATTTGACATAGTGTTTATAAATTAGGAACTAGACCAGCATCATTGTTTTAGAACACGATGTAAATTGCACAAGAAATTAGAAACGTGCTGCTATAATGTTAATCTATGGGGAAGACTTCCTCAAGTCCAATTGAAAGGTGATGGGATCATATTTTCCCCCATAAATTTGATCCAGTTACGGCCTTTCTAAGTTTACAATAACGATTAGCTCTATAACTGTAGTGGGGATAAGGTAATTCATGTATGGACGCGTGCGAGTATAAGTGCTTGATTCTCGATCTCTATAACTGCAGTGTCTTGTTTTTGTACTGATGTTACTTCCTGCACTTCACAATGAAACTGTGTGCTCAGTTCTTACTTATTGATACCCTTTAGGGTTCATTTCCTTGGTCACAAGTGGTTCTGAAGGAAGTGATGCAATCTCGAATGGTCATAAATACCGCTAGCAGTTGTCCTACAGTGACAATTTTCAACTTTATTAAGCTTCTTCGTAGAATTGTGCTTGACAGTTTGTCATTATATCTCGATATTTATAAGGAGTGTTATGTAGGTTTGTTGGGGGAAAAGAACTCCGAGGTAATTAAAGTCGCATTGTCTATCATTTCCAGCATGAAGAGAGACTGGTTGCAGGCAAGTTGGTTTAGTAGTATTTTTTTCTCATAATTTTTATGTTCTAAGATCGTGTTTACAGTTTTACTCATGTTGTTCTCTTGTAAGCTGATTACAACTTTGATGACTCTATAGACGGGGAGGAAACCCAGTGGCTTGTGTGGTGCTGCATTATATATTGCAGCTCTTTCTCAGGGCCTCAAATATTCAAAATCAGATGTGGTAAGTGGTTATGCTGGCAATAATTGATTTTTCTTCCTAACTGCTGGTAAATTTGTCGTTTCCCAGATTTTTCATGACAGTTTGGGAAATGTTTCTGCACTGCTTGCAAAACAATATCTAATGCTTTAAGATTATTTCTGGAAGAACTAGAGCCAAAGGTTTTGTTTTTTTTATGCTAATATATGCTTGAATGTTTCCTGCAAGAATTTCATTTTAGTGCTCTGCAAAATTCATCTCGAACATGCGAGGGAGTTCATTTCAAAGATAAATTGCACAGTACGCGGAACCCGATTTTTGCAAGTTTTTTTGGTTTTTGTGAAACAGACGACCACATATCATCGGTAGATTGCGGGCGTACATAACTCAATTTGCTGTATGCATTTACAAAGGGTTCACATGACAAGGGTGATATGGCATAGAAACTCATTGGATATAATGGCATTTTGCCATAGATCAGTAGGATTTTGATAGTATCCCCCCAGGTAAATAGCTCAAATGAGAGAAGAATCGAGAGATAATGCTCGGAAATAGACTGGAAAGTCAGAACTGAAATATAGAATGAGAGGATAGAGGGTTTCTGGGGAAACCCTAGAACAAGTTCGAGGGCGAGTTCGAGAGCGGCCTCAGCTCTCCCTGATGACTTCTTCCCAAAAAGTCCCCCAAGTTACGACCCCTAAGCGTCCTTATACCCATCCGCTTAATGGGCCTTGGCCCATCTATCCTCGGTACCCTATATCTCTCCAGCTTGTTGCGTTGATAACGGGCCTGGTGTTAAGCCTGGTAACACAAGGCCTAACAGATTTATGCAAACATGTGAAGATGGAATAGTTCTCAGTAAAGCATAAACTGCTTATAAATTATTGCATAACTACATTGATCATCATACCTGCGGCAATAAACCAATCAATCATTAATATTAACAAGCCTACAGAATGCTTCTTGGAATATCGTTTTTCTTTTCACTTTACAACCAACCAACAGACATCCATTGGTTTCGATCAATTTGTGACTGTGGCTTTGGTATTTCGTGTCATATGTGTATATACCTACAGTAGTTATCAAATGTTTATATTTTATTATAGAAATATTTTTGAAATGCTTAAGAACGTTTCATTTTGTTGATGTAATAAGTTATTGGGATATTGCCTCAAAACCTACGGTTAACTTTTTCTCATTGATTACATTAATTATCTTCATTGTAAGTGAATAATTGAACTTTGTGAAACCTAAATAAGTGACAAAATCTAATTTTCATTTTCCATGCGGTCTTGAATTTTCCTAGTTCAAAATCTTACTTTTGAAGCTTCTAAGTTTTCGTGGTCTCTTCCTTCTGATGATGCATTTCGCGGCTTTAATATTTTAGGTAAGTGTTGTTTACGTTTGTGAGGCAACGCTAACTAAGAGACTGATCGAGTTCGAAAATACAAAATCTGGTGGGCTGACGGTAAGATTTTTGTATCATCTTTTAAGTCTTTGAGTCGGTGTAAGCCGCTTATAGAATTTTTTTTTTAGTTATTAGTTCTTTCTGATAATATTTTTTCGACTCATTTGACAAGTATATAGTTGTTGCTCCGAGTATAGACGTAGAAATTGACTATCTGATGTGCTATTTGATTTTTAGGTTATGATATACTACTGCATGCAAGATGCTTCTTAAATAAGGAATATTTTGTGGATTTAAGCTTTTGGATGATCTTTCTCTTTCAAATGGAAACCATTGGTGTTCTGAGAAAATTGCATGCAATCTGGGGAAGCCTATCTCATTCATATGCCACAGAAATTATGAAGAAGGAATTTTCCTCTCATCTACCTACAAAGCTGTTAATTCATGAATAGCTATTTATGTCTGTTAGACTAGAATTGAAGACATCAAAGAATTGGTTAGGATGTTCATGTGCCTGGACATTGAATGAGAGTCGTGTTTCTGTCCCACCAGATTGCCTCGTCATGACATGTTGAGGAAATTTCCTGATAAACTCTAATTGCTGAAACACTGCATCTTATTCAAGCCTTTATCAGATATGGCATACCTATATATGTAACTATTGGATTCCAGATTTTATGATCTGCAAACATTTTTTTCTAGATAATTCAATGGCTGGTTAGTAAAGGCTGATCAATTGTCCTTCAGAACTTTCCATGGAAAACAGTGTTCACATCAGGTCAGGACTTTTCTAGGTTACTTTTGAGAATCATTTGATGAATATCTCTCGGCAACGAAATAACAGGTAGTTTGTTGTGTTCTAATCTTCCTGGAGCTGACTGAAGTACCAGAGGAACTATTCTTAATCCCATCTAATCAAGCAAAATACCTTTTTTTCTGGATACAACTTATAATCTATTTTTACGAGAAGGTCCTTGAATATGTAGCACTGTAGCAAATGTCACAGCAACAACTGCCATAACAGCTACCAGCAGTGATTCCACCAGCGGAATCCAGTATCTTCCATGGAAACTTATAAGTAGGAGAAGGATGCTACTTAGTCTCTTTGTTTCTGGGTCGTCCAGAAGATGGATCTAATATGATACGAATGAAGTATAACATTTCCATACCTATACACACTTGTTTTATCTTATCCAGAAGATGGATCTCTTTTTCAACATGATGCATGATACTAAGTTTTATAGCCTAACTCAGTCGCCCTACAACTATGCGTTATCTACTCCAATCAATATAGTTAGATGGCTTTAGAACCCAAAAGTCTTCTAACAAGCGGGACAGTAAGCTACCAATTGGATTTTTCAGTGAAAGCTTCCATCAGAAGACTAACCATAATCACCATCACATTTACTTTGATTGAGGGCTGTAAGATGAATTGCTCGAATTTCTGTAGAAAATCTCTCCGTCCTCAATGAGACCATGAGTTAGAGTGATGCCTTAAGAAGCAAAGAGCAACTGTAGGATGTGAGTTTAGACCCTTGTCAATTAACCGCATTGGTATAAATCGTTTGCTGTTTTGTGAACCTGCGTTTGACTAGAGTGCCATTTTGGTGAACACGTGAAGTGTCATGCACCGTGGGTGCAAACACTTTCATATTTTTGGAACCAACAATTGTATACCTTCTATCTTTTATTACTGTTCATCTAGTACTTTTTGCTATCATCTTATTAGAATATTTCCTATGATGACTGTAATAAGCATTTTGGGTTGTCGGCTTCAATGATTGAAAGATTTTTCATTTTAGTGTAAATTCATGTCTTGCGGATCAAACTTATTGCTGCGGATTTTCGAAAATGAATTCTTGCTTGGCTCGTATATGCTGTTTTATTTCCATAAACATGGGGTGTAACATTTATTTGCATTGTCAATTATTTGATCTCTCAGATAGAGGAGTTTCTTACAAAGGCAGATGAAGAAGAACATCTGGCAAATCAGCTTCCAAGCCGTACAATAAAGTTGTCCAAGAACACAGAACTGCTGTGTGAACATAAAGACCGGGGTGGGATTCATTTTGCTCATGGACTTTGCAAAGATTGTTATGATGAGGTCTCCCTGATTTCATTTATACACACTTTATTTCCTATAAATCTAGTTACAGTGGTAACCCAGTGTTGTCTTCGTACAGTTTATTGAAATTTCGGGTGGGATTCAGGGAGGTTCAGAGCCTCCAGCATTCCAGCGTGCTGAAAGGCAGAGAATCGAAAAGGCTGCTGCTGAAGGAAAGGTTAGAGAATCAAGCCTAATAATTAGTTCTTTTAATGGGAGAATCAATTAGTTTATCAACTAGAAAACTACTATGGGGCTCATTGTCCTACTTGGTTTGACCTATTTTCTCAGTTTCTTGTAAGTGTATCCTTGTTTCTCTTTTTGACATATCTATTTATATAGTAAGCTATATTTGATTCCCTGATTTGTGCATTGTTAAACTAAGAGGATCGTAGATGGTTTTCCTTTGTTACTCACTGGGTGATGTAGGTTGTACGTGTTGAAAAGAGACATTATAATAGGAAAGCAGTTCTTAATTAGAAGGCTACTGAAATGAAGGGGTTGACGAGAGATGGTGAGTTGAGAAATAAAGCGGGCATAGTTTTGTGTTAGCAAGTCCGAGAGAATATCCTTTAGTGAGAGATGAATTACTCTCAAGTTAAAACTAATACATAGAATATAAGTTGTAATGTAGTTCCACATTTGAACCAGAAACCCAAGGAATGAAGTTTAGGATACCAGAATGAGGCTAATGATACGTGAACTATTGTAATGTAGTCTGGCTATTACTTAAGGTGCAACTTGGAGAATATATTTTAGTAAAGACGATTTTTTACTCGAAATAAATGATGATCTCAAGTGTTCTGTTTCAGATTATACAGTTCCTCAAAGAGAACTTTGTCTGACACATAAACTGACAAGAAAGCCGTCTACGTCATCTCTTATAATCTTAAAATCTATTTTAATTCTGAGTTCACTTATTATTGATCCAGGCTTGATCCTTAAATGGCATGTTGGTTCATCTTGGAAGTGCACCATGCTGCTCTCAGTTCAGCTTTCTCCAGTTTTGTTCCTTGAAGGCTAATTAAGTTGGTTTATCGTTTAGAACTCTCTCCTCACTGCTGCTAATTTGTTTATCGGTGTTGAGCTCCGTGATGTTCCGTGTCAGCACATTCATTGGTGTATTCTGTCCGCTTAGTTCTCTTCTGTCTGATGGTATCAACTGTTGGATTAGTTTAAATCACGAATCGTCATGAACCTTTCTACTTTCCGCCTTCCCCTTGATCCTTTTTATTTAATTGATTTGCAGATTTTTAGTTCTTATTTTATGGACAAAATGGCATATCTACTTATTTTCATGTGGTGGAACTTCAATAGATCCATGTTATTTGCAATTTTATCTGTCCTGATTGGAAAAACACAATTTTGGAGAGGGTTCCTGCACATTACTCTGATAGTAAAAGAACTTCAAGTAGATGAACTGCCAGTATTAGGTGCTGATTCTGGTTTGATGTAGAATAAATGTGATCTGGAGTTGGAATTTGGAGAAGGATGACTAGGATTACGCAGTTTACAAAAAGAACTGACGTTCACTAAAAGTTTGCGATCAAAGTAGACGAAACTTTCATTGAAAAATTTATCTTCCGCAACCTTTGCACGGTTGCTATCCATAGACGCCTGAAATTAGCTACTTCAAGGAATTCTTCTCCACTGGGGAACATGAAAAGATGTCCTTTTGGCCTGATATAACGCTGAATCCTTAGGGTTATTTACCACATACTTTTGAGCTGAAAACTCTTTCAATTGGGCAGACATTACTATAGCCCTCCAGGGTTATCTTTGGAGCTTGGACTAAACTTTTGAAAAAACGAAAGACGAGAAAAACAATTAGTATTTCATTGTAAATTCAATCATGTTTATCATCTAATTTTGCTGCAGATGGGCATGCTCAGAATATACGAATATAGATAACTTACATACGTGTAGATTGATAATTGACTTGTTTTTCTGCCATATAGACTCAGAGAATTCAGTTCAAGCGGGAATCAAATGCAGTCAAAGATGTTCTTTCGGCCAAAAAATCTGAAAATTCTGGTATATGTTATATCCGTATACTTATGAACGGTAATTTCGTGATCTTAGTCTAGTGGTAAGATAAGAAAGAAATAATTTATGTTGGCATTTCAGGATCTTTCCCTGGGTTCCAGGATGTCAATAAGCACAACGACCAACCATCCAAAGATTTTGACGCGGATAGAAATGTGGCTGTTGACGAAGAAAGTCTTTCTGATATTGATGATATTGAGGTATGGTACAGAGAATTCCCATGGCTGTGTAATATCATCAGCCAAGAAGAGATTAAATGGGAAGAGAACCATCTGTTCCCTTTCATTTCATGTGGTTATCTCCTTTGTTTCATTAGGTTACCTTTTTCTTAAGAGATGTGCTTCGCTTTTGGCAGGTTTCTGGTTACCTTCACAGTGAGGAGGAGAAGCAGTTGAAAAAAATAATTTGGGAAAAGATGAACAAAGAGTATCTTGAGGTAATCAGATTAATGCATTCACTACCTTTCTCCAATGCTATTTATATTCTATAACTATGAATTTGTCTCTACCAGGAGCAAGCAGCTAAGGAAGCTGCCTCTGCAGCTGCCAAAGAAGCTTATGAGGCTGCATTCGGGAATTGTTCTGATGAGATACGCGCTGCTCAAGAACTTGCTGCTGCAGCTGCAGAAGCTGCAGCCAAAACCAGAAAGGTAAAGCATTCCATGTATTGTGCTATCCTATTTATTACCATTCTTCTCAGTTGCAAATTTTCCCATGAAAAGCATCGAATCATGTTGTTTCCAGCTCTAAATGGATCTTTCATTTCCTGGATTCTGGGGTCCTGGTTTGTCGGAATGAATGCTTCTTGAAATGATTTGTCAGATTATATTCACTCTCGTCCGTATGGCTGATACATGGAAGATGAGGCAAATTCAGCTGCAATTCACCCCTTTTTCTTCTCATTAAATCCAACATTATCTGAGACTGTTTCGAAATGGAATGGACTCATTGTATTTAGTTCTATACATGAATGGTGTGATTTGTTGGTGGGAGTTATAATCTGATTTGATTTCTTTGTATTGCTCCTGTTTCTAAATAAAGGAAAGGAGACAAAAACGAGCTGAAGAGGCCAAGAACTCTTCTCAGCCACGAAATGCAGCTGAAGCAACTCGTCAGATGCTGAAGCGGAAGGTAATGTTTCTGCTCCCCAAATCTGAAAGGAATCCCACCCCACTTTCTTAATGTTTTCATAAAACACTTAAAAACTTACCTTCTTTAGCCCTTTCTTGTCTACTTTGCCTTTTCTGGTGTTCTTCTATGCAGACATTCAGCTCGAAAATCAATTATGCAGCATTAGACGCCCTATTCTCTGTAAGTTCATTTCCTTTTTTACCTGTACATTTTTTTAAAAAATTCGTTTTTGTGTTACAACCTCATATTTCCAATGGCAATTGATGCTCCGGCATGAACATATCCGGATCTTCTGCTCATTTCAAATGGGCCCGCGGAGTGGAGTACATGGTGGTTTCATTAACGTTTCAACCAAAGTCTTTCTTCATCCAATTAATTATTCTCATCTTGTCAATAGCCCAGATAAAGAAAATAATGGAAAATAAATCCGTTTCCTAAATATGGCTTGGTGCAGTCCGATGAGGCGGGGGCAAAGAAGCAACGCCCTGAGTCGGATGATGCCAAGCAACCTGGGAAGCATGAAGAAGTCAAGAAAGATAAGTTGGATGATAATGTGGCAGCGGACCATCACGACAACGACTATAGTGTGGAGCAAGACACGGTTGAAGGAGATGAATACATCGTTGGGGACTATGACGACGACGATCGTAGAAATGGTGGTGACTTTGAATTTGAGTTTTATTGATGGTAATTTGATCCCGCTTTATTTTGATTCTATATCACAATCTTACCTAATAAGTTGTCATCCATTGTAAATCATGTGTAGTAGGGGAATCATGGCTAGTTTAGCATATGTTACTATTTTGGGCGGCACTGATGAATTTTTTGTGTCCAATGTAAAGAAATATCCTTGTTCATTGTGCACTAATTTATGTCTACATTTAGCAAAAATAATTATTGTTTTTGACCCTCTTTAATGAGGAAGTTATGAAGGAACAAAATCAGATTTTTAGTCCATTATTCATGAGATCTTTGACCTTTAAACTTACAATGAATGATTTAGACCTTTAAACTTACAACGATAAAAAAATGATGTTGGTTAAATGCACAAGAACTGCTTTAATTTATTAATAAAGATAAATATCTAAAGAGGTTTAAGTTTTTATTACTATTAAAAAAATAAAATTAGTGCATTGGTTTTTAAATGGGTTAAAAAAAATTATTCATCTCTTTAAAGAATAGAAAAAATAAAAATGATAAAAAAGTAAATTAAGAAGAGAAAATTGTACAAGCTGTATTGGTTCTATGGGTACAATACATCACTTGAACCATTGTGCTTCATACCTTCAATTATTAATTTTACATCATTCTTTTTTTCCCCTGGAAATTGCAAAAAGAATTAAAGAGGTGTGTGGGGAGTCTTGACTTATTTCTATATGCTACACTCTAAACCCTTTTTACGGGTCAAGACATATAAATTGTATTAAGTCAAAATAGATGTTGAGATTTATAATAGTTAGACTTTCTTGACCAACCCCCACTCCATTTAAGGAACTCCTTTTTTGTTCATTGAGTCTAACAGGTTACAAATTCTTAAAATATTGATCTCATTTTACACATCATCTAATAGACTTTAGTGTCTAATATTTGGCCTTTTTTGCTTCCTTTTCAAGACTCATGACTCTAGAAATTCCATGGTGTACCAAACATATTTGCTATTAGTGAAATAAATATACAACTTATTGATGTAATGAAGTTGTTTTGATGACAATAGCTAAGTACATTTTTTTATGAAGCTTCTCTCTATCTACCCTTGATTTCCATTTTTGTAATTGGAGCAGCCAATAGAGTGCCAAAATTGGAGCTTAGACAAATATAATAGATAAATCGAGGTGGGGGGACAACATTATGCTTTCAAGTTCAATATGACCAACACATGTTTTAGATATGTAGGGTTAAAAAAATGTAACTTCTTCTTTTTATTGGAAACTCTTAATTGTTAAATATTTTCTTAACATATAATTCTTTTTGACATGGAAATTAGGCCTTGAATTCACTAGGCATGGGATCCTCATTTCTCATGTCCACAAGGATCAACACGTTGAAACAATGTTTTGCTAGAATCCACATGCATGGAGAAATCTCCAAAGAACATGAATGTTCCATTATTGCTAGAACATCTTAAAGTAAAGTTATCTCCTAGTAAAAAGGATATTATAAGAAAATATAAGATTAATTGAAAGAAAAAAGTGGCTATCAAAATTAATGTCTTGTCAAAGTTTAAACTTTTAAAGTTAGATTTGGCTTTTGAACAAGTTTTGGAATTTCTTATGTGTATGCATCAAGTATTGACGTCTTGAGACTATTTTTCCAACTTGAGCCTCTCTTGTTTCTTGCAATTTATTCAAGGCATATTGCCTACCAACTAAAAACAGTATATTCTGCTAGGAGTGAGTAACCTAAAAATTGAAAAAAGTGAGTATTTATCTATAAATTCAATATATACTGGTAACATATGCCCTCAATATCCAAATAAAAATAAAAGTAGTTATTTTTTTAATACCCATTGTTATTTATAGAATTCTTGTTGATGATTTATAGATAGTAACACTAAAAATATAAGGTTAATATATAAAAAATTTAAATAAAGCCATGTCAATTTAAACTAATGTAATGTTTGGCATCCTAAATATTAGTACCACTTCATGCTAGTCCTTCTTACAATCTCTCTCTCTCTCTCTCTCTCTCATTCAAACCAATTGGATGAAAATGGAGGAGGTTGCATAATTGAAAGAGTCACAAGTGATATTGATATGACTCTAGCATTTACTTACTTCCGAAGAAGGAAAATACAATTTAGCTAAAAGGGAGATGCCTTGTTAGGGGGACTAAGACATTAATTTTAGAGACATTGAAGGGGTTATTAGGGTTTGATTAGGTAAGATAGAAAGGGGACAATATTTGGGTAAGGGAGCTATAGAAGGAGAGCAGAAGGCCTCTTTCTTCCTTCGGTGCTATTCTAGGGTGGTTCTTCCAAGGCCTAAACTAATTTCTTCTTGAATTTTTCTTCGAAGTCTAATATCTTATAGTTTACTATTGCATTTCAGTTAGAGCTATATCATGTAGTATCTAAGTACTAGTCTAGGACATATGATGCCTAAGATCAGCAATAGCCACTTGTTATAGCAATTGGACAAGATGGAGGAGAATACAATATTGGTGGAAAAATAGGGGTTTGTAAGGTAGGAAGCATCATCCTAGGAATTTGGAAAAAGAGAAACTTTTGAACTTGTGAGTTATTTGGAATCTAACTACTCTCGAAACCTCAAGGCTACAAACCAAGGATCCCTAAGTACCCTGTAGGATAGAGAGGGAGCAAGGAAATAATTTTTCCCCCAACAATCTTTGGAGCATAGTATGGATGTCTTGGTCTTTGTTGGTAAAGAGGAAGGTGAATGTTAAATCTCACCAAAGCAAAACTACAAGAACACTGGGAGAAGATGATTCTTTGCAAAGGGAAGATGATTCTTCACACTTTGTTGGTGGAGAATGTTTGAGGGAAAATGCTTCTCTACACAAAATACTCTTAGCTGCATAAGAATCTCAGTTTTGTTCATCCCAATGATAGATTCATCTTAGGTCACTATTGTAAAAAATAATTTGAGGTCTTATTGATGTAGGAAGAAGATCTTGACACATGACATTGAATATAACTAGTAGGACTTAGATAGTAAGGCTATGGGTGGCCTAGCAGGTGACCAAGAAGAGGAAGAATTCCTTATAAACGTAAAGATATCCTTCAATTTAATAGTCAAACTATCAGAACCAACCATGATGAAATTAAAAAGCTCTGTCAAGAACCAAGTTATTGTGTGGTTAGCCACAACTTCATTTAGGAGGTGTTAGGTAATGGATATTCAGCTTTCAAAGAATTTTGGATAAAAGACAAGTGATGAAGGATATGATAGATTTTAGGCAGCACTTAGATCAAGAAGAGGGAGGGAGGTTAAATAGATTAATTCCTAATTTTTACTTCAGTCAATGGCTTCTAAGATCTTTAATCTTCTCCCTCAAATTCTTAGTCCTATGATATTTCTAGATCTAAAGTTATGAGAACTTAGGGATTATTGAAGTAGTTTTGTCCTCTACCTACATCTACTACCCATGAACTCTCATGTGCTTGGGTTTTACTAGACCAAACATTTACCACACATCTGCTGATTACCACATTAAACTGACATATAATTTCATATCAAAATTCTCTTTAGATTTACAACTCTAGTTGGCTAAAAATTGATTAAAGAGTCCAACTCTTTTGAATGATTAAATAAAAAATTAATCACAAATTCATTTATATAGATAAAGAAGAATTTCACTTGGGTGTTTTTAAAATGATGGTATTGATTAAAGGTGTATGTAAAATTTGATGAAGATGATGCTGATGTAAAATTGATATATAATTTTCTTTTTTTATAAGGATACTAGAAGAATATAGGCGTCACTACGTTGATCTGCTAAAAGAAGATTACTAATTGCTTTAGATTAGTTCATCAACTGAATGCTTTTGTGACATATCACTAGTTGGGAGACATAATATTCTTTTAGGATTTTATATATAATGGATCAAAAAAGTTCTAAAGATCATGGGAGGTTTGAGGAGATTGTACTGAGGTAATGACCTGTTGGAGAGGTGTTTAATTTATAGAGAAATATCATTAAAAAAACATCCCACATTTTTTATTTTATCTCAATGTTAAAATCACAAAAATTAGTTAAAAAATCAAATGGTAGAAAAAGTAATACATGCTTCTAGACTTTCTTCTATCATAGTCAATGCATGTTGTTAAGCAACAATATCTATATACAAAGCATATGACTAAAGAAAATAATGGTTTAATAAACAATACTATCCAAATTGTTAGGAATAAAATGTAACCATTAAGTAGGCATATTGAATCACAATCTAAATATGTAAAATCATAATTTTAATGCTATAAAATATTGAAATTTATTTTTTAAAATATAATTATTAATATTAAATGAATCATTCATGACATGATAAGTAGTAAAAATTGAATCAATTAATTTGATATTAAAATCACCAAATGTAATGATTTAATATCATGAACATAGAAAAAATTGAGTAAGTTTTTATACCCATATGTTACTTCATGAATTTGGTGTGTTATTCATTATGTTCCTATAGTTATAATTTCTCTTACCACTAATGATTTTTCTAGTAATATATAAAATAATAATTTCATATCTTAAAATTCACAAACATAGGAATTCAACATAATGGGTCACGAATATACTTTAAGTTCTTATTTATGTGTTTGAAATTATTATTTTGAATTATTTTGAATTCATATATAATCATATATCAAATATAATTAGATCTTTTAATTGACCTTAAAGGTATTTGCCATCATTAAAATAATGTGTATTTAATTCTCTAATAACATCCATCTTTTTGGTGGTGACAACCATACAAATAAGTAACAAAGATCAATCAAATATACTTTGTAAATTTGAATTATTTAATATGTACATCATAGTATTTATGGTAAGATGGGTGTTCATAGTATTTGTTAATCTAATATTATTTATGCTGGAAAATTCAAACATAATAGTATTTTTCTTTTTTTTTCATACTTCTTTTCTTGTGTCTCGTTCTTGCCCCTTTCTCTATTCTCCCCTTCTCCCCTTTGCCACACTAGATTCTCATTACTCCCCTTAAATTGTACTTGTACATCACAAAACTTGTACCTTTTCATTCCCTTTTTGCCATCATCAAAAGAAGGAGAATATTTCAAACTAGAGAATAATGCTCCAATAATAAAATTTGTATTAGGTGTCTAATAGAGATGTCAAAATTCTAGTCAAAAGAGATTTGTTCAAGTAAGGCACTCTTGTTGAAGATCAAACTAATAATATTAGAGGAGACAAGTTATAACCATACTTTGAAGAACAAAGAGCTCTAAATTCAAAATATATTCTTTCATGTATAGAAGAATAAGATCAGCTAGACTCATTGGTTGACCGGGGGTAAAATGATAATCAAAGAATTGACCAGTAGTGGTCAAATGATTTTCTAGATCTGGACAAAGAAAATAGATTTTTGATAAGATATAAAAGATATATTTGTTACGATCATCCCTAGGGCTCGCCAGTTACTGCCACCGCTTCATTGGTAGATTATCCAAGTTGGTAGAACCTTTCCTTGACTTGTTCCACAAAGAAAGTATGTGGTAGTGTGGCAAGATGTGCCAAGATGCATTTGCCAAGTAAAGGGATACAGTTGCTAACAAATGGGTCATAAAGCTACTCACAAAACTCCAATAAGGTGATTGGGGGAGTACTGAGCCAAGAAGGTCACTAACTTGTGTCTTGCAACCTAGAAGTTGAGTAACGATCATGCATAATCTTCGTGTGGATGTATTATCTTTTAGATAGTCACTTCGACGTCCACATTGACTATGTGGCCGTCAACTACTTTGAATTGTAGCAGAGACTACTGCCCAAGCAAGCAAGGTGGCAAGATTTCCTCTCATGATATGACTTCACACTTCATTGTAGATGCAATGAGCAGGTGAGCAAAGCATCTAATACATGGCCACACTAACAATGTTATGAGATATCGACATGGCACACGAAGGTGATGTGGCAACCAGTATGGGTTAGGGTGAATGGAGTGATTTATGTAAAGGGGTGGCAACCCTACATTCCCCACAACAGCAGGCTAAAATAGAAGCTATTGAAGGCAATACACAACACGTTAGGGGCAGGTCACCTATATCAGCAATGCAGCCCTGCCCTCATTAGTCACTCCTTTTAGTGAAGGCTCAAGCAAGACATGGATGTAGATATTTGAGCAAGTCTCATTTGTTAGTGAGAACAAATCAGGGCCTTGCAACCTCTTCTCATTCCAAACAAATCATAGTAGATGGTAACCGTAGATGTCGTCATTAGCTTGTCGCAAGTCAAACTCTAAGTTGCCATTTCGGTCCTAGTCGATAAAGTCAAACTCTTCTCATCCCCACACAAGCCACAAGCAATGTCGAGAAAGTCATAAAGCTTTTCCTGAAGTGTGTTTGCCAAGCTCTTGGGAGTGCCATGACTAATCCTGTTTGATAGAACCCATCATTTACTGACATGTTCTTGAGAATGTTCTCTAAGTTGAGCGCCAAGCTTTTCTTCTCGACAATGTACCATCCACAAGTGGACAATCATGGGTGCCAAGCTTTGCTTCTTGATGATGCACCATGCACAAGGTACACAAGTGGAGAAAGGCAATGTGGGTGGCACTGATAATATGATATTTCTAAGCAATAAATAAGAAAAATAAATGTATTTTTCTCATGGTTTCATGATGAAATAACATACAAATAAGTCATTTTATATTGATGTTAATTAATTTCCAAATTTCATAGTTATGTTTCTATTCCTTCCTTTTTCAGGCTTAATTATTTAGTTTTCTATATACATATCAGAATATTATGGCTGGAAACTAGGGGAAATATGCACTTTGTGCCTTCATGGACTTGCCCTAGGTCAACCCATTCATTCGCTTCCCTTTCTCATCCACTTCTCTCCTCTCTCTCTCTTATGACCTCTCTCTGTCTCTCCCCTTTTCCTGTTCCTCTTCTCGACCTGGTATAACACAATGCAGGACAGAATAGACATGGTGAGGTAGAGAGTACAACACTGTATGACGAGGCACAGAACAACCCGTGATGCATAGGGGAAGCGGGCTCGCTGTGAATGGCGCAGTAGAAAACAACGATGTAGTATCGGCAATGCAGAGCAGCAATGTGAATTTTGTCTATTTTCTATTTTAAAATTTACTTTGAAGAACATTATTTTTTTAAAAAATGATGGTGCAAATAATTAATCTATGCTTTTATAAGGGTGCTAATTATATATATATATATACCTTGAGATGCTCGGATGTATAAAAACTTCTAAAATAGGAGTATAATGAGAGAATACTTACCATTATTTGGCTTTCCTCAGAGCCCGCTAGGCACCAGGACGGACAGCCAAGGAAAATGGACCAGGCGGAAGAGGAAGGAGAGGAAGACGGTGATGAACTAGAGAGAAAGGGAGGGAGGAAGGAGACTGTAGAAGCTCAAACGGAGGAAGATGAAGAAGCTCAGAAGAAGAGAAAAAATGGAGGGACTCGAAGGACCTGAGCAAGAAGAGGAGACGATGCAGTGGGACAAGTTTCATCGCTGTGATCTAATAATCTAAACAGAACATGAAAGAACCACGGCGAACTGTGAAGTTGGAACCGGGAAATAGAGAACTGAGCGATCTTCAAGAATATCACCGGCGAAAATCATGCCATTGGTCAAGGTATTGTCAGTATTCAATGTCAAATGTTACTCACGACAGAGACATTCGGCTAAATTTTTCTTCCTTCAATCGCCTCTGGTCTGCCACCATGGATTCGAACACCTCCAGCAGCTCATCGAGCCCCTCCATGCGATTGTTGTCTAGAGCTTTCAAGGCGCATACAATACTCTCAATGGTGGAGAGGCATCCTGGCCGGGGCTGATGCCTCACCTCCTTGTACAGGCTCTCCGCTTTCATCTCCAGCTTTAGCCGCGGCAGGAGTTGCAGCCACGGATTCTCGTGGAACATCCTCCTCGCCTTGTCCCATGTGCCGTCCAACAAGATCAGATGTTTCACATCGAAGTCGACGGCATCCAGATCGACGGCAGCTTTCCCTGGGAAGAGGACGGCTGTTCCAGGTGGTATCAGAAGATGAAATTCATCAACGACATCCAATTTTTTGCATCCTTTTGATTCCCTCCTCTGCAATTTCTGTACGGAGAATCCATTAGATGCCGCAGATTTCAGTACTGGTTTTGAAAGCGCCCAACTCAAATCGGGCCTTGCAGTGCGCTTCAAAGAGATCCAGACATTGCTGGACGAGCATTTAATTTTGTACAATGCGGAGTTCACCGTGGTGATCCCTTCTTCGTCAGGGGAGACACACTGATTTTTTGGTTGAAGCTGGTGATCAGAGGACATTCCAAAAGACGCACAAGTAGAAATAGATGAATCTTTTTCCTGGAGCATCGGGGATATAGAGACTCTGGTAATAGTCTCATCTCCAGCTTTTGAATTTTGTACCGCGGCCTCCCCGTTCTCTGAGTAGCAAAGCTTATCCTCTGAACACGTTCTCCTATTTGCGGCAACTGCACGACACCTTTCCTCTTCTCCAGTGATCGGATCCGGAAGCAATCCATCTCCATCACTCCAAGCGACTGCAGGATCGCGACTCCCATCCCGGAAATGCTCATCATCGTCATCCTCATTGGCGTCGATTGAATGGAGATCGATCGCCATCATAGAATCTCCTCCCGGCAAGGCCGAAGCATTCGACACCAGATCCAGGCGCCCCTCACTCTGCCGATCCACGCCGGCTAACGGATCATGAGAGCTCCCTCGACGAAGAGGGCGGATCGTGTACTCGGCCTGGAAGAGGACGTCGGCGACGGGAACGACGGCGACGTTCCTGAGGCCGAGGGACGCGACGCGAGCGGAGTTGAGGTGGTGCTTCCCCTCGAGACTGTGCTGTAGAATCGTGACTCCGATGGAGTTTTCGATAGGCGGGAGCTTGATGCGGGAGCAGAGGCAGACGCTGGCCGGCTTCGAGCACCTTTCGCAGAAGGGCCTCCTCTGACGAGGCGGCGGGGCCGGATCAGGCTCCGGCGAAGCAGACTTCTCCTCGCCGTTCTCCATAGCTCGGATATGATGAGGCCGCCGGCAGGAGAGGTGGCTCCGCCAGAGGCAGAGCCACCGGTGGCGGAGGGCCGTCGGAGCTCCAATTTCTCTCTTGCAGAGTGAGGTCTCTAGAATCACCCCAATTGCCTAAAACCCTACTATTATATAGGGTTAAGAAGAACCGCTCATCTCGAGAACTTCACGGTCAACGGCTCAGATCTCAGGAAATTATTTGCTCTAAACATCGGACGGTTAATGATTTAAAAAAATATTTAACTGATAAAAATAATCTATTGTGGAATTAATATAAAAAATAAATTTCAATTATCCTCTCTCTCTCTCTCTCTCATCTCTCTGTCCACCCTGCTTAGAATCCGATTTCTTCCAAAGCGCTTCACCAAACTACGAATTTTAAATGGGGGTGCAGCATAACCCGCGGTTTTCCAGAACACAAGCCTTCTTCCTCCCCCAGGGCTTTCGTTCGTTGGGCGGGAAACTCGAAACTGAAAACCCTCGCCTCCTCGACCCTCACTCTTCCTTGCCGCCGTCCGCTTTCCAGTCGAAGATCCGCTGCGGGACGGAGGTACGAGGTAGAGCAGATCAGAGAGGCGCCTGCAGTTCCATCCTTTGGCTTCTCCGCTCCGGGGATGCGTAATGTGAAGCTTTTTCAGTAGCCGAATTTCTTGATTCGTCCTGGTTTCTCCTCTTTGCCGCAAGTTCCAATCCTGGGATTTTGGCAGAGGTAGGCTTGGGATTAATGGCGTCTATTTGAAACGTGCGGCGGTGGTAGGGGTGGGGTTGTGTTGGTGGGTCCAGCGCGGGGGTGGAGGATGTGCTTTCATTTTACAATTGCCCGCTAGGCAATGAGGGACGAGGAGTGGGGGTCCAAGGAAGCTGGCCCTGCTGTGACGGGGTCAGGGGGCGGCGACAAGTTTCAAATGCTTCAGCCGAACCGCGACCTCGAGGTGAATTGGACGGTCGACCTGGCAAAGAACTTGGAGGAGTACCTGCTCAAGATATGCTCAGGGGAGATCGACGCCGATGGCGAGGAGTTAGGCCACCTCTCCGTCAATTTCGCGGAGGGTACGCTGGTTTCTGTTCGTGAAATTTGTCTTTTTTTTGTTTCATCGTTATATTTGACAAGTGCGTGGCGAATCATATGGGTCCAGCTGCGATGCTTCTCCAAGGTTCGATTCAGGTTTACAGTCGGAAGGTGGAATACCTATATACTCTGGTTCTGCACGCCTTGGAGTTTCTTTCACGTGACAAGTACGAATCCCCTCTCCTTTTCACACTTCTTTTAGATCCATCTCGGTCGGTTTTCTCAGTGCGCTCCGTGTCATATTTTTTTTGTTTGTTTTTTTAAATGGGTTTGATTTTTTCCTGTCAAAATTGGTGCTCCCTTTCACAGATGTGATTGCAAAATTACATTACATTTTCTGCACTTGCAAAATTACATTCCAGGTTCTCTTATTGCATAACTTCCTAGGATTCAGGATCTATTGTAAGGCATGAATTTCTGAGTTGCTTTTGTAATGCAGTTGCGGTTCAGTTTTCTCTTGATTATAAATGTACGGCCATATTTAATGTAAGAGAAGTTCGGGAAGTAGGTTCTGACGAATGCAATAAAAAAATTTGATAGTTTACTCCTCTTCAAGGATACCAAAAGCATTCAGGTTTATTAACGAATCTAGTTTACTAATCTATCAAACAGCAGATTTACGCTTTAATATTGTTGTGTAGGCATGACCAAAATGACAAATCTCCACCTCAGCCTGATGGAATGGAAGACTCCAGAGTTATTCCCGAGGATGATGAAATTTTTCTGGGTTTAGATGATGTGCCAGGTAAAATTTACCGTTGATTTTTTTCTCATTGGCTTGAATATTTTCAACTGACTTTTCTGTATGGTTCCAGTGGAAACAAAGAACTGCCTGGACGATGAAGATAATGAAGATGATTTTTTAAATCACCTTTTAAAACCCCCAGCAAACCTTAATGTGCTAGAAGGGGATTGTCTGGATACCATCTCGGAAGCTAGTAAATTTGAATCTTATCAGGTACGTAATTACTCATTGTTTATTTTTACCATCTACAAGGTGGAAAAATTATTCATTTGTAGCAAACTTTAACTGATGATGCATGTATTGATGGAGAAGTAATGTGAACCTTCACTAACAGAGAAGATGAAACCGTTTACGAAGCTTCTCAACTAGATGTAGAATTTTCTTGTTGAGATTTCCTCTTTACATTATGTGTGGAATATGAAACATTGTTAGAGTTTGGTGTATTCTGGCTGATACTGCCCCATTTGCGGTTTGAGAATCACTGCTCAATATTGTATTTTTTTTTTTTCACTCTGATCCCTTACCATTCGGATACTTCATGGGTTTTAATATCCTGAAGATTCTTGTTTTCTGATCCTGTCAAAAGTTTGCCTTTATCATTGAGTGGTATTTTCATGCTGAAGATTCCCTGAAACATTCATAATTTCTGGTGTTACTCAACTCTATATTCTTTCTGACGTTCTGTCATAATGTTTGCAGTTATCAACTTGCAGTTTCTATGGGGATTTTCTCTTATTAGACCCATGCGATGCAGAAGCTATTCATAATTTCATAAGTGACAAAGACAAAGTTAAAGAACGCAGTGTCACTCATAGAGCTAGTATGCCAAGGATGAATGCTCAGAGCTCACTGCATTCTCCTTCAGAAGAGCAATCAGCAGTGAAAAGTCATAAGCCAACTGGAATGAAGCAAGATGTCGCTTTTGATCAGCCTTTTGAAAGCAATTTCGCCTCTGGTGTTGGTCTGGATGACACGTCTTCTGGACCAAATGCTGGGCATGATTCTCCTGAAAATGATGGCGACCATCAAGATGAACCAGAATTTGGGTATCCAGACATCAATGATGACAGTGATGAAGATGATGATCCATGGAAACCTCTGAATCCTCACGAAGCTGGAAACCTACGGATAAAACCATTTAAAAGATGTATGTTAACATTGCCCCATATTTTCAAGGATGTTATTCTTGTACAGGTCATCATGGTTGTTCCCATTTGAATCAGGTAGTATTTTTAGAAGGAAGCTTGCAAGTTTCAACAAGCGTGAGCCTGTCGTTTTGCAATTCCCAGTGGCCAAATTGGATGGGACTATTGATCCTGAATTAGCCGAAATGTTTTCAAAGCAGCTTCGTGCCCAAGCCAGCGTGCATTCATCTCAATCACCTCCATTCTTTGAAAAGGTACACTTGGAGAACTTCCTTTGAACTTGGGTTATTTCCTTTCTTAGTGATGCAATGACATTCAAGATGATCTGTGTGTTGCAGCTCAGAGAATCACTCGTATGGGGAAAGCATGAAGCTTATGATGTCCTGCATGATCTTGACGATGAAAATAATGATGCTGAAGATGACAGTGATATTATGGATTCTACTGAGAAAGATGATATCAATCTCACACAGAACTCTATTAATTTTGATGCAGAGGTACCTCTTAATGATGGAAAGGTGTGTGTGATTTATATCTTCCCTATATTATTTCTAACAAAGAATGCATAAATGATGACGCGTTGCACATTGCTTGTGTGCAGCAAAGTGTAGACACATCAGAATTTAATAGAGGTGAAACTTTTGGAAAGAATGATGTAGACACAGAAAAAAGTCTTGAAGATCTTTGCCGCTCTCATTTGGTAATAATGGGCAATTTCTATCTTCTTGTCTTCCATATTCCCTATTTTTCTTCGTCTTTCTGTTTTTTATGCTTCTGATGCTTAAACAAGAGGGTGAAAAATGCGAAATTTAATGCTCTTTGCTAGCAACTGCAGCCAACCTTTGTTTTTCTGCTGCATCTCTTAGTTATATCAACTCTTTGACAATCTGGGCTGGAAGTGGCAATTAGCTGATCCTGCTTGGAGCTCGGTTAAGTGTAGCACTGTCTAAAGTGGACCAAAAGATCATTGTTTCGCAAATAATCATGGTCATGTATCTCGGTCTGGGTCAAGTCTGGTGCCCCCTCCTCCCCCAGAGAAGAGAAGAAATAAAAATCTCAACTCATCCATGAAAGCAATAGATATATATATTGCTGTTGGATCCTTTCAGCCCTACTTACAAGCAAAGTCGGCTTTACAATGGTCCTACCGTTTGTAGGATTCGCTTCTTGCCAGCATTGTGGAAGCGGAGAAGCAGACAGAGATAGCCACTCGTGTTTCAACATGGAAGCAGAAAATCGAACACACATTAAATGAACAAGTAAGTTGCCTATTGTGCTCTTATTCTGTAAGCAGCTGAAGCAACATCATATCTTGTTTTTTGCATAATCATTTACCGGCTAATGGCTTACCCAACCTCCAGGACTCTCACTGTCCATTTGATATTCATCTGTACGGAGAAAAAATTCTGAGCAAGCTGTCTGTGGAAGCTGACGACGAAATGAGCATGTGCTTCACTAGCATTGTTACGGGTCAAGCAAAGCATGACATCGCAAGAACATTTTCAGCACTTCTCCAACTGGTGATTCTCTTGTTCTTGATATTCTAATGCTCATATGTTGATTGTTAGAATGTCTCACATTGGAATGAACATAAAAAATCCCGTATTGGGCTCCCCTCATTTCCAATTAATTTTGAGTTGAATGGCTGATTTTTCTTTTTCAGTTGACATCAAAACATGGTTATAAGATGCTAATTAAAAACTATATGCTAATTAATTTTAGGCTCGATTAATTGGAGATTAACTTTCAACTAGATCCTGCTCAGTAGGCCTCAGAACCCCTGAAACAATTCAGCAATTCAAGATTAAAAAAACCCTGCTTGTCCAAAAACGGAAAACCGATCGCTTCACTATCCCTTGGTTTCTTTTAGTCGGACATTCTGATTTTCTTATGCCAAATATTTAATTTTTGTTTATATATGCCTTGTATAAGATGCTTGAGGAGCTAAAGGTTTCCATTCTCTTGGCTTTTTAGGTGAACGATGGGACTTTGGATCTGGACAGAGGGGACTCCTCAACCCAGTCGACATGCTTCACATCAGCCAACGCGTTTCAGGTGAGACTCGTCAACCCGGAAAGAAAGGAAGAGCTGCAGATCCCCCGCTTGAAGAAGAGAATCAAGTCTCCTCCGAGCAGGAAGCCTCCAAAGCCTGATGACTCTGAAAAATATCCACTGCGGAGTGGGAAGAAGGGTGGTGTCAGGTGCACCCCCGAGGGCAAGAAGAGGCGGCGATCCGGATTGGTTGACTTGCCCTCTGCCAGATGACGAGATCTCCAGATGGACCGCGTTCTAAACACTTGATCCACCAGGTAGGAGCTTCTGCCACTCCTGCAAAAAGTCTTTAAAAAATGTCTTAGATTGTGCAGAGCGCTTGCAGCATCATTCAGTCGTCTAGTGGTCCTCTTTCTCTCTCTCTCTCTATCTATCTCTGTCTGTCTGTCTGTCTGTCTCTCTCTATACAGCCTCTCCTCTTAGATTGTGCAGAGTGCTTGCAGCATCATTCAGTGGTCTAGTGGTTCTCTCTCTCTCTCTCTCTCTCTCTATCTCTATACTCCCTCTCCTCTTAGATTGTGCAGAGTGCTTGCAGCATCATTCAGTGGTCTAGTGGTTCTCTCTCTCTCTCTCTATCTCTCTATCTCTATACTCCCTCTCCTCTTAGATTGTGCAGAGTGCTTGCAGCATCATTCAGTCGTCTAGTGGTTCTCTCTCTCTCTCTCTCTCTCTATCTCTATACTCCCTCTCCTCTTAGATTGTGCAGAGTGCTTGCAGCATCATTCAGTCGTCTAGTGGTTCTCTCTCTCTCTCTCTATCTCTCTATCTCTATACTCCCTCTCCTCTTAGATTGTGCAGAGTGCTTGCAGCATCATTCAGTCGTCTAGTGGTCCTCTCTCTCTCTCTCTCTCTCTCGCTGGTTGCTTAAGTCTACTGGCTATTGTCCTAAGCTTTTATTCCACATTATTAGATTAAATAAATCTGTGGGCTTGATTTTGACCAGGTTGGACTCAGAGGAGAAGCGGGGTTTGTGGACGCAGACCCTTGCGATTCATCTCCATTAACAAGGTTAGGGGCTTCTCGCTCACCCCATTATAAGTTAACTTCCCCTCCATTGTACAGTGTATGTAGCATCATCGTCTGTCACCTTGGTCCTCATCTTTCTCTCTCCATCTCTTACTAAAAAAGGCCTTTGATGACGCGCGCTGATCCCAACTGTTGTATCATATTGACTAGTAGGGGGACACCAAGATCATATCTAGCATGATCAGTTCATACGATTCAGCTTAATCATGCCCGATTTCAGCTGGATTTTCTAAACATTTGAGTAATTATTGGTTGGACATTGTTCCCTAATTTAGTAAAGATCTGATGGAGGACCCCCAATTTATTCGGCAAAGCAATGAATTATTTCATTAAATTCTTAATTTATTCGTTCGTGTTAATCCTTTTTTTCCCCCTAATTTAACAATAATGTAAGGTTAAGATAATATATTGCTCCATGAAATATTTCCTCATTTAGACAGGTAAATGGTCTATTATTTGCCAAATCTGTCCCATTTATGCTGGTAATATTCGCTAACTATAAGGTATTGGATAGCATATGTATTTAATAATATTAATTTAATAAATAATTGGTGGACGAGTTTGGCTCGGCGGTAATCTCTCCGCTTTTTGTGGGTTATATTATTCGATTATTCATCAAGCTTAACCATTAACTTCTTGCGTTGACTTTCATACCAAGAAGGTGAGGTGGACTTCCAATGAGGTTGCTATTTTTGTGGTGAGCCCGTCATGACAACTCTTCTTTCTGGATGAAGAACATCGTCCCAATCGTGTGTATCGACGATCATGATCCTGATTGGATCGAGTAAACTGAGGATCTAGGCCGTCGATCATCCATGCGATGGACATAAGTTTCTCAGAATCAGACGGCTCGATAGTGATTATCATGGGTATCAAATGATCCCAATCTTGGCCGGGCTATTTGATGGGCTATAGAGAGAGGAGAGAGAGAGGGAGAGAGAGGGAAAGGGGGAGAGAGAGGGAGAGAAGAGAGAGAGAAGAGAGAGAGAGAGAGAGAGAGAGGGAGGGAGGGAGGGATGTAGGGAGGGAGAGGGGGAGAGAGAGAGGAGAGAGAGGCAGAGGCAGAGAGAGAGAGAGAGAGAGAGAGAGAGGCCGGTCATGTGGCAAGAAGATGATACTTAAATGGGACGGCCCATTCTCTTAGCTGGGCCTCTGTTTGAGGTCTAAACTGTCCAAAATAAATCTGGCCGGGTTTGTCGGGGCTTTCCTTTGCTGAGGGCAAGAGGGTCTTTATTTGGACTCGTTTTTCCCCCCTTGACATTCGTTTTCTCTCTCATCTGCCTTTTGCTGACGGGAAGCTGAAGGGGATCGGCCATGGCGAACGACAGCACCGGTGGGGGTGGCGGCAGTAGCAGTGAAGGCTCTGCGAAGAACACCAAGAAGGCGAACTTGCTGGATCAGAACTCCGTCAAGCATCTTCTCGATGAGACCATCTCCGAGGTTAGGGAAATTTCTGAGGTTTTTTGGTTCCCCGGTGTGTCTCTCTCTTTGTGGGACTGATTCTCTTGGCGGCCAGATGGTGACCAACAAGGGCTATCCGGAAGACGTGAGATTGAGCAATCTCCGGCTGCTAATCGGGGCGGCGATCATCGCCACTGCGGTGCTCGCGCAGTTCTACCCGAAGAAGTACCCTGGGAACAAGGACATTTTGTTCGCTTGTATTGGATTATATCCTTCATCTCGTTTTCTAAACCCTTCCCCTCCATTTCTGTCCAATTATTTTATTTTGATTTTTAAGAATTGCTGCCATGTCGGAGGCCTCGGCTTACTCTACGTTTTTGCGATCTTTGACTCGATCCCCGTAAGTATATCGTGTTCAACGTATTCCTTCTGATCATCAGCTACACCAAAGAGAAGAGCGCCATCCTTTTCACCCATCCTCCTAGTGTAAGTTTCTAACCTCACGAAATGTACTCTTTGTGCCTCTTATGCCGATTTTTAAGGCATTGTTCGTTGGTCTAATGAATTATGTTCTGTAAGGGTGAGTCTTTGTACAGGACGAATCATTTTCTTCAATTGTCTATTCACGGAAATGGGAGGACATGGGAACCTGCCTATTTGCCCTAAATTTTTGTCAAAGATCAATCTTTTTCCTGATGGATCTCTTGTTATTTTTCGTTCTGACCATTAATAATTCCTCACGTGAAAATTTTATATTTTTTATCATTTTATTAGATCAAATATTCTAGTATTCTTCAAATTCTTCTCTGAATTTTCTAACGTATTCAATCCTTGTCCTATCCATGTCTTTCCCTCTGAAATTGTCGGATATAAGGCTTGATCTGTAAGGTCGAGGGGAAGACTGAAGGCAAGAGTCAATGACGAGAAAAAAATTCAACATAGGCTTTCAATAGTTCTTCATTGGTTATCGTCATACTAAAATTTAGACTAAGAGGAGGGTAGTCACTATTTTTTGTGATTGTATGAGGAAGTGGAAGAGGACCTTTTATAATTATGAAATTACCACAATACTCGTCTTCTTGGTGTTAACTATGCATTTTTTAATATTTGATTTTGAAGTTTAGTGAAATTTTGTTGTTGCCAATATTCAAGGAAAACATTGAAATAGAAATAAATGAAAGGGAACTTTCAGCAGTGAAGTTCAAACTTTTTAATGTTGTTCTGTGTTTGGTTCAAATTCATGCAATCGCTATCATTCTGTGTATGGTTGCATTTATCTGATTATACTACGTGACACGAATTTTGAATCTTCGTTTGGTTGACTAACAGATGCAACTTTTCTCATCTTGAATTAATGCTTCACGCAGGAATCTTTTGTTAGCACTGGGCTTGTGGTAGCTTCTAAGTTTCCTAGGTTCTCCGACATGTACACCCTGACAATATCAAGTGCAGATCCAAAATCAATCTTAGCTAAGAAACCAGTCCATCTCACCAAAACTGTTACGAAATGGTCAGTTTGTTTCTTTATGTAATGGCTTCTTCTTTGAATCTCGCTTTTTCTTAAATACAATGCACTTCGTGAACTAGCCATTAAATCCAAGCATTAGTTGTAAAAAAAACGCACTTGATGATGGCATACTTTCCTCGCTTTGTTATTCCTCATCTTTTTCTCATCTCACCACCACAATCCAAATTAGGAATCTTTTACCCCATAATATTTTTGCATTGGCTCAGGTTCCTTCTGAACACTAAGGGTGCAGTATATTGACGTATGTAATGACCAATTGTGCTACACTTTTTTGGCAAAAACCAGAGCCGACCTGGATTTCGAATTCAGAGTTGGAATTCAACAAAATTCAAGAATCTCCTGTTGTGATTAGAAACGGTGCTGCCCTCTTTCAAACAAAAATCGCATTAACAATGGAATGGAACATAATTTTACTTCGTTTAGACTCGTTTGATACATTGGCGTTTCTATTCCATGCAAGCCCTGGCAATAATTTGAATTTATGACCTTTTGATTGCCAAAGCAACCAGGATTCTTATAATCCTTCTACATACTGTTTACTTTATAAACATATCCATGAAGTCAGTGAAAATATCCAAAATCTTGCACCAACAAAGTTGGCTGGTGCCATATCCCATCCTTTTGAATAATCAGAGGAACTGAATCCTAAATGCTGACCATAAAATGTTAAATCGGCTGTTTCGTCGCATCCCATTTTTTGAACCATCCAAGAAACTGAACCCTAAACCCTAACAATAAAAATGCTGATAGTTTTTACTGTTAAACCCATTCTTGGAAAATCGTATATTATCTTCTTGGACCATCGAATAAACCCAATCTGATTCCTGAACTAGAAGCTGTTGATACTTTTATAACTGTACACAGGGTTGGCTGTCAGTCATCTTATTCCATCGTTTTGAATCAATTATGAAATTGAGCCCTAACCGCTGAACAAAAAAATGTCAATAATTTACACATAAACCCATGGAATTGGTTGCCAGTCATCTCATCCTATCTTCTTAAACCGTCCAACAAACTGAGCCCTCCTTTTGTGCGTATGTCTCATTCCTCATTACATTTGGGTCCCAGTGTTTGTACATATTGACATCCTTTTTCTCTTGTAAATTCCTCGTCCCATACATTTGAGTTCCAGTGTTTATGCACATTGTATCATTTTTCTCGTGTAGAAGGTCCTCCATGCTTACCCAAACTACTGAAGATGAACTTAGTTCAAGACAATATCTCTTCTGCTGCAAGCACACAAAGTAATTTATTAAGTGAACATGAAAACGTCAGGAACTTCGTACCATTAATTTGTTGAACAATCTGTGAAAACCCGTGTTACTTTCTCAGTATGTGATCTAACCGGCCTTTGTTGACTTTCTATCATTCCGGCACCTTAAATCTTTGGAGATGTCCAACCGTAGATTCGATCTAATCAACATTCATTTAATTTAAATCAATGAATTAGGAACTTAATCGTCATTATTTGTTGCACCGTAAAAACACATGATATTTTCTCAGTATGGATATAATGAACCATTGTCGACTTTCTACAGTTCCGACACCTGAAACCTATGAGGCTCGAGTGGTCGAATTGATACAATCAACATTATAGTAGAAAACTGATTCACGCACCATTTTAGCTCTGTTTCTTTAAATTTTGGAGCTTAATTAACTAAAGTAATCTCATATGTTCTTCTCTTCAGGTTCACCAAGGATGGGGTTCTTGTGGAAGCCCTCCTCTTGAAGGACGTGGAGAAGCTGATTGATGACTACACCACTGACAGAAAGACCAAGTAATCTCCAATGTACCGTTCTTTCATTATCCAGTGTATTCCATGTTCATGAACTCCCTCATTGCTGCTATCACTCAAGCTGGCTGCTCCCCCTCCCAGCTCTTCTCAGTATCGCACATTGGAAATCCGGTGAAGACCTCCACTGATGAATCTGGACTAATCATCTTGTCTGTTGACTTTTGGGTTTCAAATCGGAGTGAGATATGGTTCTCTACTGTGATGTTTCATTGTGAACGATCATATGTTATGGATGAAGGCCTCCACTCTGATTCAATGAACTGGTAAATCTGGTATGTTCGGGCTTTTGAATGAGATTAGTTCATATTGGTCAGCTATGATATCTAATTGTGGACGATTATGTGATATATGTTACCTATAAATGATGTGTGGTTGGGTTTTGTGAAAGAACTCGGTCAAAATCTGAAGGCTCCACACGGTGGTATACCCAAATCTTGTGGATATTCAAACTATAGATCATATTGTAGCTTTGTCGATCTTTGGGCTGCTCATCTCTTTAAGTCGTCTTAAGTATTCTTCTAGGTGTTTCTTGAAACCATGACATACTGTGGTTTTTATGTTGTCAACTCAACCCTTTTACAGGTCTTATCCTCCCTCTATTAGGAGACCAATAAACTGCATAATCTCACTTTTTTTATTGAGGTATTTGAATTTTTATTTGAAGACGAGATTGCTTGCCCATGAACTAAGTTGGTAATTTAGAAACTTATCTAAGTTGGTATTCTAATGATGTCAAGAAATCACGAATCAAATAATTTTAATGTGGCCAACTCAAATTTTACAGGTCTAAGCATGTGCAATATAATCTTTTTTAAGGCTACTGCATTGTGCAATATAATCTTTTTTTAAAATTGAGGTGGTTTTGAATTTTTATTTGAAGATGAGATTTCTTATCCATTAATTTGCAAACTATCAAAATTGGTATTTTAATAATGTCAAGAAATTAGGAATTAAATAATTTTAGATGTTCTAAATATTTCAAGAAGTTCCTTTGGAGGTACTTTGGAGGTACAATCTTGAAGCTTTGAAGTATTTTATTCTAACATATGTATTTTGAGAGGTGTTGTATCAAATACTTGTTCAAATCCATTTTATCCTTGAAGTGAATTTAAAAAATTGTTGAAAAGTATTGAAAGTTGCTTTTCATGTAATTTTAAATTTAGGTAGGTATATCCATTCAATAAGGACTGCAAGTACTATTGTAGTAAACCAAATCAATTAGAGCACTTTTGGTTTTCATTTTTGTTATAATTCACATGTCAAATTCAGAGGGAAGAGTTGGCCATGATTTCTGGATCCCAACATGTTGCACAACTATAAAAAATGGAAGACAAGATGAACGGATGATATGGTTAATAGATTCAACTGGTATGCTAATAGGCCCACTCATTTGATCACTACAATAATGCCAACTTTTCATTTGATTTGTAAGCCATCGATTTCATTTTGTAAGGTTGGATATGGAGATAAATCAAATCTCTTTTCTAAAATTGAAGGTCTCATTGATGTTGGCCTTCTACTTCATGCTAGTTCGAACACATCTTAGTTGGTATTTTATAAAAGTTAATATTTAGTCTTGATCCATAAACTATTGATCCACCCCAAAGAAGAGATGGAGTCATTTCAAGTTTAATTATAGTTAGAGGATCTCAATTGTAAATCATGTTAAAATGTGCTATTGAGAGAATAATGAAAAGTAGTGTTTTAACAAAATTATGCCCAATGAGCTATTCACTCTAGGAATTAGGTTTTTTCAAAGCACAACACCTCAAATATGTCCTAGATATGTGTTAGTGATTTATGATTGCTCATTTCTAGTTTGACTCTTTGAAACTTGAATAGTTCTATCTAAAAATGACTAGTGAATAAGTTACCTTGATTAAAAATTATTGATATAGGTAACTCATAAAGCCTAACAACATCTTTGGTGAAGATAATTGTGCACTTTAGAGCCAAGAATAAGTGTTTCAATAAAATGACATCACTATATTTACTAAATCAATTCATAAAGACAAAAATAGAGTAGAAACCTTTTGATCATAGTAATCCTTTGAAAAAATCTATTGTGATGTCTTCTCAAAGACATTTGGGTATTTACAATGCTTAAAGAAGGTCTACTACAACAAGTGAAATTGATTTATGTTTGTAATATAGTTAACAATCATTTTTGGAGATCATTTAATGGAATGAAAAAATATAACATACCTTCTGATAGGTCTCTATCATAGATTTATTGTAAGATGATCGGAAAAAGTGAAACGTTGTGAAAGATTACCAACCGTTATATATAACGCAATGTTTTTTACTAAAGAAAGTAATTGAGATGAAGTAGATGGTTCTTATATTGACAACAATGTAGTTGGAATTGTGATATTGACATCTTTTGTAATTTAGTTATGTGATAAAGATGAGATAATGTGTCAAACAACTTATTATATTTTTTCTCTTTAGATTTGATTTTAAAATCAAGATTTATTAATTTTATCAATGAGTGATGATATAAAATTCTGCACCAACTTTTATTTAAGACCTTCAAAGATTTTTGATTTGTGCAAATGACAACTTCAATGTATGAGATAATGTAATCATTTTTACACTACCTTTAGAATAGTAAATGATGATCATTTGTAAACTAATTTTGCTCAATAATTCTTTGATAAAACTTAACTAAAATATCTGACAACTCAATCCTCTTACATTAAAATAACTTTAATGTCGTGGTTAGGAACATCAATTTCTATTATTAAAGAGTTAAATAATATCTAGATAGACAATATCAGTATAGTAGTTATAGCCACCTATAATTGATCAAAAGCTTTTTGAGTGTTAAGATTCTAGAGGAATGAATCTTTTTTTAGGAGCCTAGTCATCAGTGTTGTAGTTGATGCATAACTTGCATAATAGAGGTAGTAATAAATAAGACTAAATAAAGATCATAATTCTTTACATTTCAAAGAATTAGTCAATTTAATATTTTTAAAATTTTTCTAAGTCATTCTATTAAAATCTCATACCTCAAGTGTAATAACTTACCTTGACTTAAATTGATATTTATTTTCATTCATGTGCAAATAATTTTCGACCAATTCTTGGAAGATTTAGAGTAAGAATTATTCAAAAGTTTATAAGAAAGATGAAAATAAATCAATAGTGGTAAGGCTTGAATATGTTTATCAATGATTAAAATGTAGCAAGAGCATTAGATAAACTAAATGACATAACTACAAATTCATAATGACCTTAATGAGTTTTGAATGTAGACTTTGGAACATTGTTTTGTTTCATCCTAATTTAATAATAGTAAGATTTTAAGCCAAGCTTAAAAAAGATCAATGTATCATGTAATTTATTTAGTAATTCTTCCACCATAGACATAAAATAATGATTTGAAATTGTTATCATATTTAGTACTTGATAATTAATATTGAACTAACACCATCCATCATTTTTTCACAATAATTTCTAGATTAGCATATAGGCTTTGTCTTGGTTGAATGACTTTTACTTTTCTTAATTCATTAAGTATTTTTTTGATTTCAACCTTTTAATAATATTAGTATTAATAAGGTAGAAGGTTCACTTGTTAAGCTATTGGATAAAAATAGATACAATCTAACTTGATTTCCTTGTCCCTTGACAGTATGTTCATTTCTTATAATTATCACATAGCTCAGAGATTTAGTTACTGGTAATTCAAATTTTTCTAACAAATCTTTTTACATGAAATTACGTGTGATATCATAATTAACCATAATCATGATTTTTTATCTTTGTAGAGTTACATTTCATTTTATTGACTTTAACTACATGTCTTATCACTGAATTTGAAGATATGAAAAGTAGGTCACGTCTTTTTTTTTTTTCTTCAAAAGTAGTTGAATCTAGTTCTAAATCATCCTTTATAAATTTGTTGTCAGAATGAACTACTAAGATTTGTAAAAGTGTCTTAAAATAACGTCCAAACTCATATTTTTTGGCATAGCAGAAGCATAGAGCTTTGTTTTAACATTCGTGTAATTTCACCTCAATTAGTTGAATTTGTCTTTTTAGTTTGCTATGTACATTGGCAGTTTTCACCACATTTTTTCTTATTTCTTGTTGAGAAGTTATCTTATGAGGTGAGTCTAGTCTCATTTCTCTATTCTATATAAAATTTCCTCTTGAGGATCATAGTCTAATTACTTTGTCTTGGTGAATTTGTGTGCCATGATTCTCACTTAATATGTTAATATTTTTCAGCTAGCAATTAGGCATTCATAATCTCTAATAAACCCACTAGTTTAGTCTTAAGTAATTTAGACTAAATTTTCAATTTTAACCCCTTCAAATGTCTACTTTATAATATTCTTCAAAATCTATTAAAGGAAAGTAAATAATCATTTAAATTCTTTGCTATGTTCTACTATAAATCCCTCTCAATTGAGATTGAGAAATTTTTTATATGCATTACAAAAAGCACAATAACGCTTCCTTAATTGAAATATGAAGTTGTACTAAGTTGTAAACGATTATCACTTTAAACATTGAATCAATTCTTCTAAATTGTGAATTCACCTCTTTTTACCTATTTCACTTGATTGATATTTGGATTGGTCCCTATTGATGAAGATTAGTTCTCTAAAGTATTTTGTATTGAATCTAATGTCATACATGTCAATGGATTTTTCTTCTCTCAAGTTATCAATTTTTGTTGACAAAATTCACGAATTCATCAAACTTCTCATTCATACATTGAAGAAATTTTTATAGGAGATCAACTAATTTTGTTCTTCATTTATACAACTTCTTTCTTATGCATCATTGCTCTTCTATAAGATTTTTAATGTCCACTTCTAGCTCTTCTAGTCTGGCTTTAGATCCTTAACACTGTTATTCAAGGGTGATGCTCTAGTGCCACTATTATGGATCCTTTATCAAATACATGATCCTCATCCACTCTATTTAGATTGATGATGAGAGAAGAAAAGAAGAACTTCAAGAATTATTAAGTGGTTTAAAAGAGAAACATGGTGAGAATTAATTCAAGAAAATTTATAGACTCTTTGGCCTAAACATTCAAGTAATCAATTTCAATCCTCATGTCTTCTTTGTGAGAGTTGTTATTAATATGATTCAATTAGCTTTGGAGATTTAGTTCTAAACCTTCTAAAGTGTTCACTTTCAGCATTCAGATGTTTTGGGAAGTATCATATCAATATTGCTCCCTTTTTTCACTTTTTTCTCTTCTCTATTTAGTTTAATTAGCAATTAAAAAGCTATTAATCTTAATATTTATGAAGATCTTATTTTTGTTTAGACTTAATGCAAATGTCAACACATCTTACCACTTTAGTAAGCGGTTTCATTTTCATTATTAGGAAGTAGGTACAAGGAGTTGACTTTTGGATGAATAAATCTATATCTTACATGGCGATGATAGTGCTTGTTTGTTTAGTCTCACTTCTAGTGCAAAACATTTCAATACTCAAGATTTTTTTAAAGTAACTTTTTACAACATATCTTGACATAAATGTGATTGCAAGATTAAACTAAAGATAGAAATTTCTTCATATTTCGAACCCAACATCTTCAATGAATTGCTCAGTTGACTTAAAAATGGGTTTCCATGGACCCGTATGGGCCTTAGTGGGCTTTGAAAGCCCATGCGGGTCCATTATCCCCCGCTTGTATGAAATGAGAGCAAAAATATAAATTAAATTTTTAATATGGTATTTATAGAAGGAACAAATATTTTTGGATTTATTTGTCAAGTTTTTATTGGGCCGGCAAGGGGCAGTACGTTTTGGGCCGAAAGATCGGCCCATTAAGATGCGTCGTTAATCACTTCGCCGCAGCTTCCTCCTTGATTCCCTCTTCCCCGGCATGATTCCGCCGCCCCCCGCTGCTGCTGCCGCTATGAGGGGGACGAGGAGATGACGCCTCGCGGAGGTGGCCGGTGGGAGGAGAGCTTATAGGTTCAGCGCTAGAACGGTTTGTTCTTTTCTGATTTCCCATCTTTGGGTTTTTATATTGCTTTGATTCTTTGTTCTTAGGGTTTAAATCCACTTAGGGGTGGCTGTGGTGTCGTTGTTCTCTATTGGTTGGAATTTCCGGTGCCTGGATTCCGAGATCGTTGTAGGGTAACTCGGTTCGGTTCCCTTTGCTTTCTTGTTCTTTCCCGGGAAATCCTTGGGATTATTTCAAGAACCAGACTTTGTTTCAGTATTCGTCGGTTTCTGGCTAATGATGCTCCTTAATTCCCTTTCGGTCCTATTTTCTTGGAGTTTGAAAATCCTATGGAGTCATATATCGATTTGTGGGTCACAGGAGCTGGTTCGGGGTACGCATGTTGATCAGTCTGCTGAAACTAGTCTATATTTCCTTACTTCCGACATTCTTATTCTGTTTCTCGACCCAGTAGTTCTCGTGGGCAGTGTGTGGAAGACGACTATCAAAATATCCATTCACTTCTCGTAAACCATACAAACCATTTCTTGAGACCGCCTTTGACCTTGGTCTCGTTCTAGCCCTTTGCAAAAGTGGGCGTTGAAGTTGGAACGTGAAAGACCCGGTTTTTATTTGTTGTTCCCCATATGCTCTCCAATTTTTTTCTTCTGGGTAGTGGCTCTTTCCTATGGCGGCCATTCTTTTTTGGGTGCCCTGCTGAGTGCGATATCTCGTCAAGGTATCCTGGGTAATCTTGCAAGGTACTTTCGCTTTGAGCACGATACTTAGTTTCTTTAGTCAGTATTGTAGACATCCATTTACAATTTAATCAATATTTAAGTTTAAACAGTTTATAAACAGTGTGACGGATCATGAGTTCAATCCAGATTTGTTGTCACCTCCATGAATGCCATCGTTCTCATATCTTTGGTAAATGGTTTCATAAAGTTGGATTTCTATTACTCCATTGTACTCTTCCAAACTTAACATCATTGTCTTAAAAATTCCAATCTAAGATTTATGATGTAGCCTTACTCGTCAACGAAAGGGTCTCGAAGAAATCAAGTGGGATTTTTGCGTATTTTAGCATGTTGCTCAACACTTCCCCCTGTTAATATTGACAAATTCTTGTTTCTAACGTTGGTTCCCATGTAATCATTATATAAAATCCACACTAAGCTATTTAACGTGAACTGGGGTTTATGATAGAAGTGGGGCCCCCAATGATGGAAGTTTTAGCAAGATTATTGCGAACAACAGTCTCTTGCTTTAGAGGGTATAACCTTGTATTATTACATTATAAGATGTATAAGCCTAAATGGATTTTTCTCGTTTAAAAATATTTGTCCTTGGCCATACCTTGCATCGAAGACTGATCTGTCAACTACGTTTTTATTGCAGTTTGTTGGTGGGTACATTTTCGATGGTTTAGCAAGAACCCACAAGTAGCTGACCTGCTTGGCATATTCAGGCGTCGTTTTCCCATTCAAGGAACTGAATGGACTTAAATATGTATGGTAAATCTGCTCTCTGTTTGATGGCGAACCCCTTGTATAGTTTGATGTTACATTCAGAAAATTTAAGATGAGCTTCAAAGCAGCTTCACTGAATATCAAGAAATGAATAAATCATTAAGAGCGGAGAAAGATTTTGCTTTGATAATTATTTTCAGGGCATTTGATCATGCTAGATGGTGTATTCACATAATTTTTAAAGTTTTTATGCTGGAACGTTGATTGTGGGAAAAAAGAAACATGTTATTTTCTCCAGATTTCTAACAGGAGAATTCCTGATGTCTGGTGGACATTGGGATAAATGCAAGTCACAGGCTTTCATCTCTACAAATTCCTGTTTTTACCCTCATAAACACTAGTATCATGGGTGGATCAAGTTGGCCTGAATCTTGATAAAATATTTATTGTTTATCAAGAATCTGCCATTTGGTGCGAGCTAAGTTTATGGATCTTCTCTCTAGATCTCGTGGGGTAATCCCATGACTTGGATGCTGGTCTGACGTATTAGGCATGGCGGCTGTCATCAAGATACTTTCATTTACGGTCATGTTGCTTGTCTTTGGATCATGGTTCATAATTGAAGCCTTTCCAGTCAGGAAATTTGGTGCAGCGTCTTTTCACGCGCTCCCATTAATCATTTGGAGCCAACACTGATTGACACTCAATGAAGCTTTTTTGCTTTAATGGAGTTTGCATCTGGTAGGCTAATTAGCAGACTATGTTAGACGATGAGACTTGTGGGAACAAATCCTGGCTATATGAAGTTGATGCATGTGGTATGCTCTTCTGTGAGAATCAATGGTTGCTTTGATCTGTGGTGTTGAGGTGAATATGGGCTTATTTTCAAGAGCATGTGATCAGTTGTGGGAAATATATGAAGGTTCTGGTTAATCTCATGGAAAAATATAGCTTCCAAATTGGGTCACGGAAGATACTGGAGACAAACATGGTGACCACAGAAATGTTTTTTATGCCCAAAAATATGATTGCGGATATCACTTGGGTAGTTACTATGTCATGTAGCTGCATTGCCTGTTTGGGTCATCAATTTTCCCCAAGAAAAAATCTGAGTTAAGCATTTTCTTTGAGTGAACCTTGTAGTTCCCTAATGATGGAATTTAATTGTTTGCAGGGAATTTTAATTCAAGAAATCCTGCCTTTTCACTCCAACAAGAAAACATTGCACCACACATGCCTTCTTGATAGACAGCTTTGCTAATACATAGTTATCATCCAGGGATTGTTGAAGCTACTGATGATGGGATTCGGACTTCCACTGAATAGGCTTTCTTCGTAGGACCAAATATTGAATCAATCCGGGAAGTCCGGCCTATGAATTTTGAGGCCTATGTAATTTGGATTTGTAAATTCCGTTCTGTGCATCCCCACTTAAAGGCCATTTGTTGCAGCCAGGGCAGGCAAAATAATCCCTGTGTATTGACTTTTTTGCCATCAAGCAGAATGTATTTATTGACAGATGGATCTGATTAAATATGCTCTCGTTGAAGAGTTAAGGATGAGATTGGTTTCTTGTCATGACCATCATAATCTAATCTAAACGAGTGACAAATTATTCCCTCCACTTCCATTATGGAGTTATGGAGTGACTTAAATTGTTTGGCCATCTGACAATTTAAAGTCAATGTGCCTGTAATCTGTTTAACGGACAATGATAAAATTAGTTATGCAACTCACTAAAATGGCTGCCAATATTTCTTCTAGTCAGCAGAAGCTGCTATTTTGGTCTTGAATTTACGGAACCATACCTCATTATTATTATCTTGCCAAATAATATTTGGCATATATAAAGAAAGAAACCCAACATTCTTTTAAGCCTTCGTTTACGTCTTATGAAGCCCCAACCTCCCTCATTGACCTGTATTTTATCCCTCATAATGAGCCATTAGCTAGAAATCTCTGTGAGGCAGGTTAGCTCCCCACAGATCTAAATTTTCCTCTTCCAATCCAGTATTTTTAGGGTTAGATAGGAGAAAGTATCCCAGAGTTAAAATTCTGGTGGGCTCTTCACACAGATGACCCAAGCTCAGGCGGGCCTTGCCCAGAAAGACCATTCTTGAGGCATCACCCTCCTCAACCTCTCCACACCACCAAAGCAGCAGGGCCCTTATCCCCCGTACATAAAACCCATCTCCACAACCCCAACACCCAGTCAAAACGAACCCATCCTCGCTCTTAATGCCTCTCCACACCAGGGCTGGACTGACCATGTATTTCAGACTTGCTTCTAGGTTGGGCTACCCCACCAACCCCTTTGGCTCCACTTTGGCACCATTCATTTTTAATGCAACTGACGATAGCCCTGGTTTTCTTTGCCCCTTCTCTCATTCTTATGATTTCTTCTCATCAGTGATCCTAAATGCCTGACGAACTAGTTCTACCTACTTGAGAAGCTCTCATCGGTATTTTCCTGGACAATCCTTTTGATTTGGTGCATAAAACATCAAATCTTCTTTAAATTGGAGGTGAGAACTTGTTTCATTCTGATGTTCAGTTTTAGTATGCCAGAGAAATTAATGACAAAATGTCATTTTTAAACGTTTTGAGTGTTCTGATGCATCCCATCCCCATTAAAAGTGAAGGTTTTGGTGTGAAGGATCTCGTTTGAGTGATACTTCAGATATAACGTCAACTGAGCTGATGAGGAATTGGGTCTGAGCGCAAGTAGGTCCTACCTACGGTTTTGCAATGCTCTTCATGCAACCCTCTGAGCCCCTCAGTTTTTACGTATGGAAGCTAAAATTAGCACTGAATGTTTTCGAGCAAAAGATTGTACTGATGTGATTCGTAGCGATTACAGCTGCTAGAAACATGTACTGTCGATTAGCACTTGATTATTTCTCCAGTGTTTCCCTGTTCATACAATTAGACACTTGATCTTGTTTTGAGTGCACTTATATGTTTGATCATTAAGGATATTAATTATCTCTTGTTGGGAATTGTGGTATAAACTTTAGATCTTCTGCTGCTTTCTATGTTGATTTTTGTGATTGCATTAGATATCAAACTAGTTGACAAATTCCTTTTCAAATCTCTTACAGAATCACTGCAAGAGGAGCTTATAGCTCAATCTCGGATGCTAGAACTCGATCCAATGCTGTATAAATACACCCTCTGAGTGGCCGTGGAGGGGATATCTGATCTATCTGGCTTCCCAAGTCGAATAATATTGGTTCTTCCTGAATATTTTTGGTAAAAGTTCTGGCAGATCTTACTCACTGCCAGTACGTTTGAGTCGATCACAATGCCAGAAAATATCAGAAAGCGCGGTTCAAAGTGGGACTTGATGCCGCAAGAACACGCCCAGCCTGCCACAAGGGATGAAACTTCTGGCAGTGCATCAAAATTGGATCCCAAATCTCTAAAAGACAGTGATAATCGGAACAGCAGCAGGTGGAGTCCAGGCCGTGACCAGCACAGCAAGAGCATGGCCCCAAGTACAGATTCTTGGAATGACCAGAGTCGCAACATCTCTCCCAAGGATGGTTGGAGCAGGCAACTCGGGTATCATTTCTTAGTTAATCACATACTGGGGAGCTAAATTTATCTAATATTTACTTTTTTAAGGTCACCTTGTCCATTATTGTTCTAGTGAATTTCCATTTCTAATGAATGTATGGCGCGATCGGCGGTCGAACTTTTGTCTCACCATTGATGTTTATGATTTTTCTTGGATGCTAATGAACATGCAGGAGCAGGAGTAGCAGGAGCAGGAGCAGGAGCAGGGATAAGGAGGACAAGGAGAGGAGCCGGCGTCAGGGTCGGGGGAGGAACAGAAGTCGGAGCAGGAGCCCTATTCATGGCTTCAGGAGTGGTGATGAAGGGTGGGATGAGAGAAGGTCTGGGTCAAGGGCCTCATATAGAAACAGTGCAGCTGGAAGATCTAGTAGAGGCTATCCTCATGAGGATGGCACTAAGAAGAACCCTAATGGGCACCATGAGAATGATGCAGTGGAATTAGCGGGGAGCAGATTTGAGAGGGGACGGTCCCCCAGATACTACAGCAAAAAGCACTCAAGTGATCCAGGAGCTCATGGAGAATACCCAGAGGAGAGGTCTCCCCATGCCCATGGCAGCCAGCATGCTGGGGCCCGGCAGAAGCCCGATCAGCCTAGACCCGGTGGGGATGGTTCTCCCTCGTTTGACTTCAGGAAGGGTATGAGTCAAAGAGGATGGGAGGCCAAGGGGCAGACCAGGGATAGCTTTCCTCATCGGGATGTGGTTCAAAGTCAACCAGAGGGAAGGCCGAGGGACTGCTCACCTTGGGAAAAGAGACAAGAGTCTATGGAAATGGATGCAGAATGGAAGAGGGATAGCAGCAGCTCAAGGTCAACTCTGGCCTATTCTGCCCTGGGGCATGAATCCTCTCATGACCTCCCTGGTCAACCACTGCAGTACATTGGGGATAAAAAATATGCGGCGTTGACCCCAGACAGCTCCCAGTCGGCCTCAGCTGCCCACATTCAGCATTCATCTCAGGAAGTTCCTCCCAGCCAGCATCATCCGCAGCCCGTACTGCAGAACGCATTCCTGGAGCAGCGTCCTGCTGTGGACAGAAATGGAAGGTCAACCTGGGAGAGCGACCGCATAATCATCAACACATCAACATCACAGGACAAAGTGGCAGCTCCAGCGCTCTACGAGGAAAAAGCAAGGCAATCTCAGAAGGAGGCGACTTTCTCTCATCCAATTGGCCAGAACCAGTTCGTCATCTCTCAGCCTTCCGCTGCACAGGGGTTTGGTGCAGCTGGGCACAGTAGTCAACGGGTGATGCCTTTCCTCAGGCCAGCTCAACAGCCGCCCCCCAGCTCACTTCCCTTAAATGGGCAGGCCCAGTTCGTTGTGCCACAAACAGCACCAAACATGCAGGGATTCCAAATGGCCGGCCAGAGTCATCATCTTCCTCCACCTTCGCTTAATGGCCAGATTCGGCCCATATTATCTGAAACCCTAAAGACTGAGGGTCAGATGCAACTTGGGCAGGCGGGGCAGCCTTCTTATCAAATTTCTACCTCTCTATTTAACCGGCAGGCTCAGCAGACCACCCATTTGCTGCAGTCAAGCTTACAGGGTCAATTTATAGCATCTTCAGTCCCCCAGATGGCCAACAACTTCAGCATGGAGAAGCAGACCCAAGTCAACCCCTCTGAGCCCCTAAATAAGGGTCAGCCGCATCATCAGATTCCTCCATTCATTGGGCAGGTTCGGCCGCAGGCTATCCATTCATTGCCTTCAAATGAACAGACCCAGTTCATGGCAGCATCTCAGCCACTCCAAGATGGCAACTTGGGAACTGATCAACACAAAAACTCTGAGCCCGTGAAGATGGCAGAACATCTGGAGATTGATGCTTTAAAGGCAATCTCCAGTAAGCCTGCCAGCCAGAGAGCTGCCGCCAACGAGAAGGTGGCTCAGTTATCGAGCCTCACAGCTTCTCTCTCCCAGATATTTGGCAACGGGCAGCAGCTGCCACAGCTATACGCCGCTCTGAACCCTCACCATGCTCCTGGACTGGTAGCTCGCCCATTTTCTCATCCGGGCCCTGGATCATGTCTCCAACCTGACCTGGCACCACTGGTGGCGCCGGCAAATGTTGGAGAGCACGGCAAGGCAGAGATCTCCCGCATGTCACCCGGGCTCCCATCGAACCCTGCAGAGCAGCAGCAGATTGCCGCACCGTCCATGGGAGAAGAAGCCCAGAAGGCCGAGGATCCCCCCAAGATGGCTGCCGTCACTGATCCAGTGGAGAAATCTGCTGCTGCTGCTGCTGCTGCCGCTGCCGCTGCCGCTGCTGAGAATGGAAATTCTGCCGCCACCACCACCACCGCTGCTGCTCAGGAGAAGGAGAAAGAGAAGGATGGGGAGGGGAAGAAGGCCAAGGAGGGGAAAGGGGTGAGGGTGTTCAAGTGCACGCTGGTGGAGTTTGTGAAGGAGGTGTTGAGGCCGACTTGGAAGGAGGGGCAGATGAGCAAAGAGGCCCACAAGACCATCGTGAAGAAGGCGGTCGACAAGGTGGTCAGCACCCTGGATGGTAATATTCCCCACACAAAGGAGAGGATCGATCTCTACATGTCCTACTCTAAGGAGAAGCTCACCAAGCTGGTGCAGGTGAAGAGATCATCTTCACTGACTCTGTTTCTTCCTCTGTATCTTCATTGACTTTGTCCCCGTGGGAGTTGACCTCTGACTTCTCACTGGCGTTGACTGGGAGCTTTCTCTCTCTCTCTCTCTCTTTTTTTTTTCTTGTGCAGGCGTATGTGGAGAAATATATGAAGACCTGATCTCCAGTGGGGCTGCCCGTTTCTTTATGACCCTGGTACTCGCTCTGGCTCTTCATCTTCTGGCTCTGCTCGTTCCTGTGCTATATAGCTTGAAATCTTGTGAACTTTGCTGAGTTTGCTTAATTACCTTGCCCAGGATACATAAATTTCCAGCAAGTTATGTGAGAGAGAGAGAGAGAGAGAGAGAGAGAGAGAGAGAGAGATTGGCAAAAATAAGGCCCCATCAAAGCGAGCAACCACTCTAACAGCTCGTTCTTTTGGCTGAATAGGATGACGGCTCCACAGTCGTCTGCCCCGCCCTCTCAGTCTTCACCGAAGGACTGACTAGAGAGAGAGAGAGAGAGAGAGAGAGAGATGGAAACAACAGCAAGCACTCTTCAGAATGACGATGATTCACCCATCATTTTGGGCCCTCGGCTTCTCCTGCAATGAATGGTCGTCATTCTTCTGTCCTGCAATGTAAGAAAAACGGTGAGTTATATTTTATGATCTCCCTTCCATGTGGAGAAGCAGAGGTTTCACACCTCTCTGTTGAATGATCTCCTTTTTCTCCTCTCTGGAGTCTTCCCCCCCTTCATGGTGGGGCTTGTGGGAAAGGAGTACTTCTATCAAGCCTCGGCCCCCCAGCCTGGGGCAGATGAAGATTGCAGGGTGGGAGAGAGAGAGAGAGAGAGAAAGGGTCTTTGGGGTTTGACGACTGCGCCTGATTTTCTGTGGGTTTGACTTTAACCCCCAAAATTAGAATTTTTTCTTGTATATCTTTAGGGTTTGAACAGATCCCGGGGTGTTTGGGGTTTGATTGCGTCTGATTATCAATGGGTTTCATTCTGATGCCCCAAAATCGCATGTCTTTTTATATCTTTGGGGTTTGACTGCGTCTGATTTTCTGTGGGTTTGACTTTAACGCCCAAAATTGGAAGTTTTTCTTTTATTATCTTTCGTGTATGAGCAGATCCGGGGTGTTTGGGGTTTGACTGCATCTAATTATCAATGGGTTTCATTCTGATGCCCAAAATTGCAAGTTTTTTTATATATTTGGGGTTTGACTGCAACTGATTTCTTTCGGTTTGACTTTAACGCCCAAAATTGGAAGTTTTTCTACTAAATCTTTGGGATTTGAGCAGATCAGTGGTCTTTGGGGCGTTGACTGGGTCTGATTTTCTGTGGGTTTGACTCTAAGGCCCAAAAGTGCAAGTTTTTCTCCTATATCTTTGCGGGTTCGAACAGATCAAGGCTGATTGGGGTAATTTCACTGTCAAGGCTTTGACTTTGATGCCCAGATGGGAACCAGGTTGATCCATGGGTTTGACCAAATCGGGGATAATTTTTTTTTTCTTCACTTCTTGATCTTCAATAATTTCATGTTATGCTCTGACTTCGTTGCCCAAAGTGTAACTAAGTTTATTATCTTGGATTACGACTAAATCTGGGCTGATCTTTCTTAATCTATCAGATGGGGAATGTTTCCATTTTAGGCCTTAATTTCATGCCGTAATTGGAAACTGATCTGATCTCTAGGTTTGACCAAATCTTATCCAAATCAGAGCATTAATTAAACTTCCCCAAATCTTATCCAAATCACTGTGCCACATCTGATCAATACACTGATGTTACATCTTAGATGTATATGAGAGAGAGAGAGAGGAGAGAGAAAGAGAGAGAGAGGGACATCCCATAAATGCATATAGCTATGTTCACTGGATACACGGCTTCCTTCTTCCATCCATTAGAGGGAGAGAGGGAGAGAGGGAGAGAGATGAGAGAGAAAGAGAGAGGGCACAAAAGGGAACTACTTTACATGATAACCTCCGATTGAAGCGAGAGCTCAAGTGCTCTGTAGTCAACCAAAAAAAGAGTAAGGAAACAGCAACTGTAAGCCGTATATTTGGAAGAAGAAAAGGAAAAAAAAACTTCCAAGAATTCTCTTTCCATAAACCCTAGATTAGAATACAAGAACCCACCGCCGCCGCCACCAACCACCACCACCACCACCGCCGCCGCCGCCAGCAGCTCTGTTCTTGAGTCCATTCCACATCAACAAAAAAGAAGAAACCAGACCCTCCACTAACTACCTCCCCCCTTACAAATCCGGCAATGGGACTGCTGCTACTTACAACCCGCCGCCACCTTGTCAGAATCCTGCAGTTCAAAGACCCCCTTTCTCTCTCTTCCCTCCCCCTTCACTTGAGCAGGGTAGAGAGAGAGAGAGAGAGAGAGAAGGAGAAGAATGGGGGTCTAGGGAAAAACTGGCTTTTTTTTTTTTTGGTTGGCTGGTATCACCTGGAGAGGCAATGGGCAAATGATCCAGAGCGCCACCGGGAGGATTAAATCAGCGTCAGGAGGAGAGAAGAGAGAGAAGGGGGTGGTGGGCTACGAGTCCACCATCTCGTCTTGGAGCTCGCTGGGAGCGATGAGGCCCGGAATGCTGAGCATCCGCTGGCGCTCCCTCTCTCTCTGCGCGGCTGCCTCCTCTGCGTACAGCTCCTTGTTGTCCTGTGGGGATCGATCGATTGATTCCCAGAAAAGAAAGAGTTATAGACTTTCATGAGAGATGGATAAATTGATAGAGAGAGACAGATTGATGGGGAGATGGAGAGAGAGGAGAGTTGACGATCTTGGAGATTTGGGTGAGGAAATGATTGATAAATCTATATAGATGGAAATTAGAGAGAAAGAGAGAGAGAGAGAAAGAGAGAGAGAGAGAGAGAGAGAGAGAGAGAGAGAGAGAGTTGACGATCTTGGAGATTTGGGTGAGGAAAAGATTGATAAATCTTTATCGATAGAAATTAGAGAGAGAGAGAGAGAGAGAGAGAGAGAGAGCAAATGATTGGTAACTATAGACTTATCCACAAAGATCTTCCATGGACAGAGATTAAGAAAGGTAAAGAGCCATATTGAATATAATTATTCAAGGAGATTAATCTGCCTGGGCAAGGATTTCCAAAGTTGAGTAAAAGATGGCGTATCAATCAATTGACAGGAAGAATTTTCAAGAACAGGAAAAAAGAAAATTATAAACATTTTTCTCAATAAATGAACACTTAACACGGCAGAAAAAGAGGCAAAATCATTATATTAACTCAAACGGATTAATCTACCTGCGCGGAGAACTCCTTCGACTGTACGAGGAAATCCCGGATGTGATTCTTAAACGATGGCAGGTCGTTTCTCGACTCGAAGAGGCCATTAACAAACTGGGTTACCTGCCAAAAAGGGGAAAAAAAAAAAAAAAGAAGATCAAGAAGATGAACTCAGCTGACTGAACGAACTTCTGAGGAAGATCATTCACCTCGACGATTGTCATGTTCGGAAATGACGAACTCAACAGTTTTATGGTGTATTCTCGCACAAACATCGAATTGCTGCTGTATGGGTAGGCAACAGCCGACGCCTCGTAGAGCGGCTCAGTCAATGATTTGGAGTCCAGCTAGAAGATGAATGGCCAGGATTTTAACCCATATAAAGCAAAAACTATATACATACATCAGATGATAGGATGATGATATTGACAAGAATTACCAGGCAGAACAGATGCTGGAGTATAAGAACATGGAGCTTGAAGCCCGGCTTATGGAATGTGTCCGTCAAGACAGCGAAAATCTCCTGCACAATGGTCAGGAAGTAGGTCCTATGGAACTGATTACAGAAGTCTGAGGCCTGCACAAGAAGCAAAGCGAAGATAGTGAGTTAGGGTTTATCGTTTATCTTTCAGTAATTTAACTTTTTCTGGCTAAGTGCCCTCGTAGAGACTGCCACAGTTCGATGTGTGATGAAGTTGGAAGAGCAGAGGAAAGGGAAGGGAATGAACCTGAAAATTTTTTAGCATCTCCAACAATAGGTTGAGACCCGTCTCGGCAATGTTTCTTTCAGTGTGCCGGAATGCCCAGTTGATGGAATCCATGACAAGCTTTAATTGCTGTAATAAGTAAGCGAGAGAGAGAGAGAGAGAGAGAGAGATGAGAAAAGCTCAAAGGACTAAATTATTCAGCATTCAATTCTTTATGAATGCAATGACAGATATATGATTATAAAGCTTTTCGAATATCTCATTTGACTGAAAACATCAACAGCCGACGTATTTCAGATGAGTACGATGCATCTTTCTGCAAGGTGTAAGACATTATCAGTTCCATAAACAGTGTCTTCAAACGAACCTGACTGGACAGCTGAAATAATGCTGGAAAACAGTAGGTGGCAATAGCTCTGAGTAATGAAAAGAATTTGAGACGATGTTCTGGATAATCCTCGAAATTCTTGGTAATCATCTGCACAAAAAGGCATCCATATGGTATTTATTTGCCCAGTCCCAGGCAATGTTTGGACGTCCTTATCAAGGTTTTTGCAGGGAAATTTACTGTAATATACCTCCAGGGTGCATTCAAAAACAGCCTCAAAGATTCTAGGCACATCTTCTGTCATAACACCCTTGTACCTGCGGCAGTAGACAAGAGGGAAGCAAGGAAAAAAATGCAATAAGTAAATCGTGGCCATAATCCTTTTAATGAAAAGAATCAAACATTTGGAAAAATGCAACCCATCTGAGAAATATTTCGTTCATTTCACAAAATTATGGAGGATTCCCAGCTTATAAACATAGGTATTATGCATCGAATTATTTGAGAATATCAATTCAATAGTACGTGGCATGCCCATATGCTTGAACAAAAATACAGAGGCTCTTGTAGATATTATATTTGCAACCTAGTAATTATTTAATTAGTTTCGGTCGCGTGTCTTGGAAAATAGAATTTATATATAAGTAATCCTTAGCGATGCCACTATGAAAGTAGGAAGCTGATGAGGCATTGAGTCGCCGCAGTCAACTTTTCAAACACGTCCACCGTTTGACAAATTCAGCATTCAGATTAATCCTCACCTTCATAAACAAGGCTACTGATATTTTCTAATAATGTTCTCGAGAAATGGTAGTCAATGGCCACAATTGAAGGCAGTACAACAAGATCCAGTTCACTTCCCATGAGGTGTAATTATCAAAAAGTAAACCCTTCGGGAGGAGAAGTCAAAGGATAGAAATAGAAAATAAGACGACCAAATGACAGAAGACTTACTTGTTTATGATTGTCGCGAACAGTGACAACACCTCCGATTCTCTAGCATCAGGCACATTTCTAGAGTAGTCACCAAGAACAGGATCCATCATTGGAGGCACAAACTGTTTTCCAATGTGTGGCTGGTCTTCAGCCTTATCCAAAAACGTCTCAATCAACTTAAGTGTTTCCCGCTTAACAGATCTGTGACAAATTCGTTCAACCAAACGACCAGTGACACAACAACTCCTCAATCAAATGATACATGAAAAGAAATGAAGAAAATAATAAGTTACCCACCGAAGAAGCTTGACATATGACGTTTTTGAAGCATAGGGGCCTCCTTCTGCTATACTACTTGAAACAAGTTCACTATACATTCTGCGGAAATAAAGAATTTTAAAAAATTCATTATGCACCTTATTATCTGGCAGTAGATCATTATCTCTCTCTAAGTATACCAAAAAAATTGAAAAGCTGGCACGGTTATATCTAGAGCATAATACGAAAAACGTTTTACCTGTACACTGTCAGCATGTCCAAAAAAATCACTGATATTTGTGGGAAAAAATAAGTGCCAAGACAGCCAGCAACACTGGTGTTTGTCTGCAAAAACCAAAGAAAACATAATAAGTAATATTCTGAATTCTCTAGAACATATTCCATGATTGGATAGCAGTTCATTTGATCTAGACACCATTTCAATTTCAGCTTAAAAAACATTCAGGACTTGCATGTTGGTGTTTTATGTATGAAGAAACAGATTTACAGCGCCCAGAAACAGATTATTGACAGCTACTTTATGATCTACATACTTTAGATGTCTTGATATTAAAATTCATGGCCTCTAATTGAGATTATGATCCATTCCTATTCTCGAGTCAACTCCCCGCAATCGCATCAACCAAACAGATTTATATTTGGTCACATCGAGCACATCGACTTTTAAACAAAGACCTCTTGTTCTTGGATTAAACACAGCGTAAAAATTCTAATTGGATGGCATTTGGACAGCCATGGATAGTCAACGTAAAAACTACATCAAGGTGGGTATCTGAATCTGGGGAAACCATGCATAATACGCATTTTTTGCATGAACATGATGCAGCCTGAAAGAAAACTAGATAAATTATTTTTATTCGCATACAAGCACACTATTAACTTCAAAATGCCATAAAAATCTGCATGCTTCATATATGCTCTAGCCTGCAGATAACGAACACCCTCTCTCGATGTTGATCGCAATGCTTTTTTCTTATTAATAGGAATAACCCATAATACCCATTACAAAAATGAAAAACGAATTCGAAAGGAACAGGCAAGCAGTTTCATAGTGTACTATTGGGCATTAAAAATAAAAATGAATTTATTTACACAGAGATTGAAGTTTTGCCAAAAAAATATCACTTAGCCACTGGATGCTTTATTTCAGATATTCTGTTAGAAAATTCAACAAGAAAATTCGACCAAGCCTAATGGATTACCTGTAGAATATTTAAAACAGTCCTTATAACATCCTGATCCTTCAAGATATCAACTCTCTGACTTGCTTGTCCGATAATTTCGGCCCATTTCTGCAGCAACAGGCAATCACATCACCACTCATTCAGACTTACCGCATAGGGAAGGAAACGGACTGTAGCTATTTAAGGGGTTAACAGAATGTTCAATGTGAGTCACCCAACCTGGTTTGGAAGATCCATTAACCTTTTCAGGTACTCGTCCCTCTTGACAGGATCGGATTCAGCCTGAATCATATGCCCAACCTGCAAAATCATGACAGAATGAGAGGGCATCACGCAGGAGGGAAAATAGTAGAGCTTGCAATAAATATTAGCGTGCTGTCATTTACCGATTCATAGAATGAGTGAATCTGATGAGGCTCTAGATCCGCCACAGTTACAGGAAGGCTAGTCAGAAGTTCAGACACAAAGGGCTCATTCTCCCCCACCTGAAATTTTTGCAAGTAAAACCATCTACATCATGTGTTGTACCGTTTACATGAAGGCACACATTGACCGATTTATATCTAAGCTGGTCAGTAAATTAAGCGAATCTGGAGAACCCGAGCAGGTATTTAAAATTTATCACGACGCAAAAAGATATTAGATCAAAACAATAATTCGGATAAGTTAAGCAGAAAAAAATCTGACATTTCAACAACCAAATTCAAATTTTTAGCGAGTTTCAAAGCTGGTTTGACTCAAAAAATTGACGAGTACATCCCGAAACTGCTGCACGATAATCCATTTCTACAAATAATGGATTCCATCTCATGGAAAATAATTGTTCGCAATAGAAAGAAGATTGCAAGTTGTGCTAGGAAAAATCATGGAAAATAATCGATGAAAGTGCATTCTCACCTGTGTAACTACAAACTTACGCTTGCATTTCTGAACAATTTTCAAGAATGTATCACATGCCATGTCCTGATAACAATAGTGACATATTTAGAAATCAAGATAAGACAAAATAAGCACCGACAATTGAGAATAATAAATGGGCACTGCAGGCAGAGAGGGAACTGCTCATCAAGCACAATAACTAGTAAAAATCGAAGGAAATGATTACCTGAACTCCTGGATGTGTTTCATGCATAAACTCAAACAATTTATTGACAACTGTTTTCAGAAATTTCCAATGAGCACGGAGAAATCTTGGATACTGGCCCACTACATACCTGGACAATTTCAAGAAAATTATAATAAGAAAAAGGACGGCAACACACAATTTATCACTCCAGCGATACTCACATGATATTACTAGCAATAACTGCTTTGTTGTCTTTCCCTTTCGTGATTTCACATAAGTTCAGCAAGTCACGGATAACCATAACTAAGAACCTGTTTTCCTGATATATCCACGTAATAAAATAAATAAGGCGTTGTCAGCTATACTTTGTTAACAGGAGAGAAAATAACATCCAAATTGCAAAAGAAGATAAAAATTCGTCGTCACATAGTAAATAGGGTATACAATATATCTGCTCATTACGTTCATAAACAGGTAGACATGTTGCTTCCCCAGAAAAAAAAAAAAGTGCAAAGGCCCCAGCCTGACAGAAACTTGAAAATAAGAGATGAAGGCTCAGATTAAAAGAAAAACGTCCAGTAAATACCTGTTCCTCAGCCATAGATCCAGATATTGATCCAATTGCCCAGCACAAAGTATTCAAGTTGTTCCACGTCCACTCCTCACCACTAAGCTGTTTGTTCAATTTCTTCAACATCTGAAATATGCAATTAGAAAACACAGTTTAAATGATCAATTTCTCAACATGCATACAGAAGTAGGTGTCAGAAAGTATCATTAGTAAGCGACCAAAGAAATGACAAGAAAATGTAGGTATAATTAGAAAAATAGGAGCATCACCAATGGTGAGGGGAAATATACCATGACAAAATTCAAGATTAATAAAGTTGTTACCTGTTGTTCAGTATCCTCATGGTCCAAGTGTGACAAGTAAATTAGCGTTTCTCTCATGATCTGCAAGACATTGGAATCAAGGCTTGAAAAAATAACGAGGTGCGCGCTTGCCACATAATGCTTAACAATGTAGGACAAGTACAATTCTTGGTACGCCAGTGAATAGGAGAACTAAAAGGAACTGGGAATATTTCTTTTCAGGTAACCATCATCGAGGTTCCCCACAGTATAACTCAATAGTAATCATGAAAAATGAAAAGTGGTTCCATTGCTCCACATTCACAAACATAGCAGAAAATATAGGATAAAAGTTACAAGCAGTTCCATGAGCTCAATTGAACTGAAACAATGGCACAACAGCGCTTTAATGCAAAGGACACGTGGAGGCAGCTTTTCTAAAGGAACAAACAAGAGAGAAAATCAAGTGGACCACAAAATACTGTCGCTTGAATGGTCACCCAAAATCTGTTTCTTGCTGCTACATGTAGCGCAGAAATGCCCATCTAAGCATGCACGAGCACAGAATGGGGAAATCATGAAAATAAGACATGAACTAGACTAATTGATGCGCATTCTTATCGAAGTGCATACGTGTTTAAAATAGATATTTTCAGCAGCAGTGTAAAAAAGTTCCTTCAGGGCTTGCCACCCTAGATACAGTTATACCATGAAAAACACAAGCATAGCACATCCAAAAATCACAGCTCCGAAATATCTTTGACAAACGGTGACATACAATTCAAACTATAATCTAGAACACTTGAACTCCTTCCACACATCCCTAATTATCCATTTCTCATGTTGAATGTGACCACTTACACGCCCCATTCCATACTTGGGAATGTACATTTTTTTTTGGTTAATTAGGTGTTATCCTTGTTTGAATCAATGATTCCCAAGATCACATGAAAAATCAAGATACCTTACCCACATATTCAAGTATAAATCAGACATTTCTCACAAAGTTCATCACGTCAGCCAGTAATAAGTTATTATATCTGTCTAAAAATTCAAAATTAACCCCTATAACATGATTACAACCCACAGCAAGCAGTCCTACAGTCAGCTCATTAATCCATAAAGTTAGTAGACAGACAGGAACATTCTTTTTCTAACGGAGAATACAACTCCACGCACATTAATTCCATATTAAATAAAGAAAGAGAAACGCAAGGATTTAACAAGAACCATGTCATATATACTTCAATTCCATATTTATGCATGAATTACAACTGAAGCCCAAAACAAAAGGAATAGTTGTATTAATTAATCTTATTATCGCACATGCCAATTAATACAGATGGAAAACAATTAAGTCACTATAAAAGTTCCAAAGAGAAATATCATCATAATCACCTTCTTTCAAAAATAAAGACGCGTGATGCAAAATCAACAGAATAGTTGTCAAATTTTAGGAGTAAAATCCAACAATACCTTATACTGAACAAGAACATCATTATCTTTCATGGTTTCTCGTACAATATTTCCATTCTCATCTTCTACAATAAGGACTTCTTCAGGTTTTGCCATACGACAAATCATAAGCATCCTAAGCTTTGACATAGGCCCTGCATAAAGTTGTCGGCGTTGCAAAATCTGCGAACCAAGCCCATCAGGCATCCCAGGGATCAATGGCACCTAAGAATTCACAGAATAAAGCGTGTATGGTATCAATAAGACAAACAACGGATTATGTTACATAGTCGGTGGACCTTAACTGAAACGAAGTTCTCATCACAAACATACAACAGATTTCAATATCAGGAAATAACTGGAAAGGCATATAAGATATCAAAAAGAAAGAAAGAAGATTTAGATACGAAACCACAGAATCCAATACATCAGTAATGTTGAATTCGGATATAATGAGATAACGCGGGTTATAAGCAAAATAACTGTGAGAAAGAGTGATAAACAGAAAAAATTGCATTTATATAATTCCATTTCTTGTAGAGCATTTATTCCATGACAATGACATAAGCATCAAGTACTATGGGCAAACATTTTTACGATTGATCTGTGCATGTTTTTTGATCAAAGTACCTGAGAGCGACAGATCTTTCCAAGAGGCCCGTTTTTCGATTACCCAGGAATATCATGTGGAAAGTCAGATGGTCTACAACAATAGTCCCAACAAATAAGATTTATAAAAAAACTGTGACTATTGACTATGTGACTTATGCACAGACCAGATATGAGCCATCAGCAGGTGACATCCCTCGAATCCAGGGTCTCAGAAAAAAGATTAAAAAAGATCTATAGACAGGTTTCCTGCACCTGGTTTCAGAATTTGCCCATAGCTTCTCACGATTGTGGCAGCCCATGTATAGTTGGCTCGCTGAACAAGGCTGATGACGCTAGTGATTGGATAAGAGATACAGATCTTTCCAGACCAAGGATCATGGCGTACGTGACACAGCTAGGTTAGACACGGGTTACCCGACCTCATGAGAAAACGATGCTGTAACTAATACCTACCTAGTGTCCACATTCAAGTCCACAATCATGCTCTTCCCATAACTCAACATAAGTCCAGTGGCTTCTTCTCAAAGTTCAAACATAATTCTAGTCAAGTATAACTGCTGCAGGAAAGGTACTAGCTGGAGTAATCTGCAAGAGGTAAGTACGTTTTTTGTGCACCCAGTGAACATAGTTGAAAGCCCTTATTCTATCATCTCAGAAAACTAGTCCTCTGTCGCACTCTATCAGTATGAAAATGTTTTGAAGCGTCTTGCTCATTCAACAGCAAAATTTGCTGGAGACAAGACATGCTACGATCTATCCTGTCCATCAATCATTAAAGCATTATCAAGCAACTGGAGCACATTATCCATCTATATATCAGCTTTTAGTATCAATAATTTTGGAAACTAGAAAAATTAGATGCAACCACGGATTTTACTCATAACAATATTGAGATAAACCATAATAACCTGGAGTCCCATCATGCCTGCCGTAGCAGCAGGATTGTCCATAGTGTTGTGTGCTTCGAATAGCTCTAAAACCAGCAAGTTCCAATAATCCAAGGAAACCTGCAATTCATGCAACAATAGGCATGGTTTCAATTATTTTAACAATCTGAAAGTAAAAGAGGATGTACTAACCTTAAAAACTTCTGTGTCATCAACATATGAGATACTGATCAGATATTCAAGGCCCATCAGTAATGCAGCTCTGTTCTCAGCAGTGGATTCAAGCACTCGAATATGGGACTGCATAAATAAGAAAGCTTACGGATTGATGAAGAGTAAATGAATGTATTTGAAGACATAACCTAAAGAAAGAAACAACTGGATGAACTGTCCAATAAAAAATTCCTAAAACCAAATAACAGCACATAGGAGGTCAGAAAAACCACATTCCAAAATAAACCGTATATCACTAGAAAGCATGCACAAACAGATTTTAAAATGAACGCATGCACAAATGAAGAAAATACCATTAAGGAAACTTGCCTTGAAAAATGATGTAAAAAATAGTGCAAGATTCTGAACAAATGCCTGAAAGAAGCAGATTAAACATTAATACATAATTAAAATCGTCAGAAAAAGAGGAAACGTTAAAATTAACAGCAAACACTTGTCGATGTCTCACAGTGTAATAGTAGTCCAACATAGTATCTGCCATAAAAGTTTTTTTAATAAGAGAATTACAAGCAATAAACAATCCTCACCTGCTCTTCACTAGATCCATTTGCATAAACATCTGGAATATTTGTTCCAGGGGGCAAGACAACCTGAAAATCACAACAGTAGCAGACAACTTAAAGAAAATTCGAGATTTAAGCATCCAAAATGATATCCGAAAAATTTTAAATGATGCAAGAGAGTCCAAAAACTATTTAGCAAAATACCTGTAGTTGAATCATGAAGACAGTATACATATTAACATACTGCATATCATAAAAGTCACCAAATTGAAGAGCTGCAATCTGCATACATCAAAGTTAAATGTAAACGTTGGATTCACTTATATAAAGTACAGAAGAAGAAAGTAATATAAAAAGACAAGGTACATGCCTCAGTTAGGCACTGGAGGGTAAGGTTCCTATACGATGCCATGGGAAAGAATTTCAAGAGTGTCTCAAGCTATTGCCAAAAAAGGAAAAATATAAATTAGCACTTGATAACAGAAACAATTAGACCATATGGCCCAAACATGGCATAATAACAACAATCCAACACCTATATGAAGGCCTACCAGTGGAGATTCAAAAATATAGCCAAGAGGAATCCAGGATAAAAAAGCATGCAATGTTGCCAACGTAGCCCGAATGAGTTCTGCCCTTTGTGATGCCGACAAAACATATAAGCACAACTCATGAATAAGTTGAAATTCGCTGTGGACAATCAAATAAATTCCGTCAGTGCTGAGTTCCACCTGATCAAAAGTATCAGTAGTAAAAAAATTAAAAATAAATCAAAAAATTACACAAAAAAAATATTTGCCATGAGTATAAGGCAAATGATTACAATAAAATACATCAAAACATAAAGAAAGCTTAGAATATCATTTTAGAAAGATTATATAAACATTTTGACAAGCATCAATGGACTAGGCAGTCAAACAGCAACAGTTTAGTGTTCCACACATTTACCTGTTTAATGACTGCTTTAATTCTTTGATCTTTTGCTGTGTCATTTCACCTCTTGAAAAGTCAAAAACTTCCTCACTGAGAAGCTGGAAAATTTGCAGCGTCTCAGTTTAATTCATAGGGCCAAAATTTAGCACATAGGGGACCTCTATTCGGAGAAAATTACCTTCAATATTGCCATACAGTTTTCACATATCGTTTCACTACTCTTTGCGGCAGAAACAAGATCAGGAATAAAAGATTTCCATCTGGCAGGCCATTCATGCTTCAAAACCTGCATTTAAGGGGCCGAATATTCGTTAATTAACTGACCAACCTGGTAGACGCTAATAGGACCCAATGAATGAATTCATCGCCTCACACTTCAGACTTTTAACTTTCATGCGTCAGAAAGTTTAGAAAAATCTCAAAACCAATATGTTTCAGGATGGAAAGATATCAACTTAACACAAACCAATTTAAAATGTTCCAAATGCAAACCATCCCTCAGCTTACAGATATTTTAAAAATAATATCTAGCCCTGGCAGTAACCAGTAATTATTAAGTCACATGAGACGAGTCAACTCAATTGATTACCTGAACCAGTATAATGTTAAGTTTGTTGACATAGAGTCGTTCCCGCCGAAATGAGGCCTCGTTACTGGAAAGCTGAAAAATACAAGAAAAAGAAGCACGAACTAAGTTTATGCACCATTAAGAATCACTACGTTGTGCTAACACATGACAAAACACTGAAGGAAAATAAGATGATTAAAAGTTAAACACAATAAAAATCTGGAACATTGTGGTGTACCTGTACAATAACATCCGATATGTAATTCTTAATCCCATCACGTTGTTCAACAGGCAATGCATTCCACCGGTATTTGATAACACCTTCAAGAACCTGCAAACAGGCAAACAGCATTAAAATCATCCTCTGGAGGGAATAAATAGATCAACTAATAAAGAAAAGAATATGCAAAAATTTACAGCATTAATTAAGAAAAAAGAATAAAGTGGCCTGAGAACACAGTCGAGACTTATGCAGGGCATATCCCTTCAGTTTAACAAAAGTATTGCGTAAACAGGTGTCGAGTTCGTAAAACATTATGATAATTCTGACCACCAGTGAAGCTTTTACCACACTCAATCCAGAAATGATCTAAAACCTTCACCACTGATCCAGAACATTCCAATCGACATAGCAGCCTTGCTTCCACCACTAACAACAACACAGCTGTGGTACTGGACGACACCAAAACGTTGCCTCCAACTCAGACAGTGACCCTTTAAGGAGACTAAACAAAAAATCTGTTTGGATAATATGCTTAATAAATTAAAGATGCAAACATTTATCAGCCTTGGCTTTTGAGAAAACTCGAAAAGAACCTCCATCTTATGATACCACTGAAACTTCAATATTCAGGGAGGCTGACCATAAGAGATTTTCCCAATTTTTTCTTAGTTAACCTCTATGGTCTGCCATAATAATTGCATCTTGTGACCTAATTGAGATCACCACTCCAACCAACTCTCCAGAAGTCCTTCCAGTCAGCCATACTCGCATCTCGAACTCGAAAAAGACCACCTGGATCATAACCACGTGCACCACAATCTGCCACAATATTGGAGGCGTTAAAACTATAGTCAATGGACATACTCACCCACAGGCCTCGTGATCCACAATATGCTTGCATTCACCACTTGCCACAAACCGGTATACTTCACTTCCCACTGCAATCTCATTTGCATATGCATACACCTGAATACAGAAATGCATACCCTTCCCAAGAGGTCCTTCCGAATCTTACGCACCAATTCTCCTCAGGTCTCCACAGTCGAAAATCAGCATGAGCATCCTCTGCTCCCTTGAAAAGTGAAGGAAACAACTTGTCTATGAATGAGAATCCATATCATCCACATTTTTAAAGGAGAACGCTATCTTCAATCTCCAGGTTAGGCTCAGCCCACAACCAGGAGATATGATCCACGAACTCAACCCTTGTGTAACTCAAAAGTCACCCCTTCAGTCAATCACCTCACAACAATAATATCATCAGTAGACATATGTGATCTTTTTTGCTCCGCATCACAAATAGTCCAAGAGTGCCCTTCTTCTCCACCAACCAAACACTTAAATGGTCCAGTTTTTATCCTCGAGGTACAGTTTCCCCAAACATTGATGAGATGAGTACCCTCTAGAACAGTTATGTAAAAGATGCCTGGCAAGTGAAGGACAAGCATTCTCAAGGCCACAGCTAAATATTTCCTCCCTAGGAAGACCATGCAGCTTCATTGGGGAGAAGAAGTACCATTTCAGTTAATAATATCCCTGTAAATTCTTCTTAACATATTTACCTTGTTTAGCACGATTTAGTTCTGTCACTATCTACTGAAAAACAGAAAGAGCTAATGTTCTTCCCTATGAAAATGTTAAGATGCACGTAATCAAATGTATATCCTACATCGAAAACCTTAGTTCGTATCCACAGTAAATATTATCGGTAGTTAGTCTTAATTATTTGGGTTTGGACACCCCAATATCACGAAAGGAATTTCCATGTAAACCACACCATTTGCCATGAATGTGGAAACAGTAGCTGCAAATTGACTGTGATCCTATTAGAATGTTACATGTCAAAAATGCAAAACACAGTCACCACCATATAATCATAGAAAACAACAGCCAGGATGACTGCATTATGCAAAATTCGTGTTATTTTTATATTGAGACGAAGTCACCTGAAGTGCAAAGAACTTGGTATTCAAGTTCTGCGAGTTCTGCAAAATGTGGACCACTTGCAGCCATGTATCTGGGTTATTCTGTAGTTCTCTAAGTATCTGATCAGCCGCACTTCTCTGCAATTTAAAGTAGTGGTTTATCAGAGAAAATATAAATCGACAATGCAAAGCCCCCAAATAAACAAAGATCAAGCTGTAAAACACAGACACCCAGTCCAGCAGAGACCATTCTAAACTTAGCTGCTACCAGGAATTTCACAGTAGTACAGTTGTGTAACACGAGTCGATCGAATAGTGCCTATGCCAGCAATCTGTAACATCATAATCGATGGCAAACAATATGACCAACAAAATGACAAAACCCTTTTTTTTCCCTGCTTCGTACATTGCACGACAACCTAAAAGAACCGGCACCTAGAAAAAGCAGATTAATGAAGAGAAATCCCGATGTCCTCCTCAAGGACGACGTAAAGACCCGCAGGTATGATCCAAGGAATAGAAAATATCCGAGTCAAGAAAGAAAATCCCGCAATGAAAACTTTTCACCGTCCCACTCAAACACAACCCCCTCCCCTCACGCAAACATCAACCGGAAACCGAGAAGCTCGCCAACTCACCTCCTCCTTCGACCCCGTCCCGTAAAAGGCCGAGACAGTGGCGTCGAGGAGCGGTACGTCGATCGGCTGGCTCAAATCCCTCAGCTTCTCTGCCGCCATGGGAGAGCCACCAGCCGCGGGCCGGTCGCAGACCCTCAGAAAACCCTACCAACACCACTCTCCGCTGCCGACTCGCCCTCCCCTACTGGATCGGCACTCCTCACCCACAACTCCAACTCCGACTCCAACACCAACGCCTACAAACCCTAGTTCCCTCTCCCTCCGTACTGTCCTACTCCCCCGCCCCCACACTTCTCTCCTCCTCCACTCTTCTCCCCCTTTTTCCCTCCCCTTCTGCCTCCCCACAGCCGACGAGCGTAGCGTAGGAAAGACGGTGATGGGGTTTCCGAAGGCAAGTCCAGAGAAATTATAAGAGAGAGGAGAGAGAGAGAAAGAGAGAGAGAGAGAGAGAGAGAGAGAGAGAGAGAGAGAAGGTGCTGCCTGCGAGGGACGCGGGGGTTTTAGGGCAAGAATATACGAATAGCCCTGTTTTAGTAATAAATTACAAAATCACCATCATGGGTAGAGACTGGAAAACCGCCACACGAGGGGGAACTCGTGTCGCACGTGCAGCAGCTGACTGACGTGTCCAGTGCTGGGAACTGGTCGGTCCGTCGTTTGAAGCGGCAGGGCGGGCGCGGGCACTGTTCATGTTTAATTTAACTCCTTGTAAAGTTTCACATTTTAGTTTATACCCATAATTATGAGTTTTACTATAATAGCCCCAACTGGCCCTTACCAGTCGGGGCTATTATAGTAAACTATTGATTATTCTGGAAAAATCGTTATTTGTATTCAAACATGTCAACGGCCCGGGCCGGGATGGTCGCGGGCCTTTCCAAAGCCCGACATATTATTTAAGGCCAGATTAAATCAGTGCACGTCTAATCCTTCCTCACACGGGCCCACTGGGGCTAGGCTTGAACGCCAAAAAAGGGCCGTGTTTCGGGCTTTTTTGTAATATTTTCATAGGCCGTGTTTAGTTCAGGATGTCTTAAATGAGACTGGCCCGACCAGCCCGGGCCCAGACGAGCCTTTACATTAAGTACACGTTAGTTTTGAAAATTAATCTTTTACCCTTAAAGAAATATATATCATTTTTATTTACTTAATACACCGATTCACGACGTCCACTGGATCGGTCGATCCGATCCCCGACAAGCTTAAAGTCTAGGGCCAATGTTCGGTCCACTAATGGGCCGGAATAGTGGGCTCAGTGGTGTAGGTAGTTGGGCCCAATACGAGAATCTTGTGGGCCTCAGCAGACTTATCCTATTCCTAATGGGCCTATCTGGTTCGCTAACAAACAAGAGTTGATCCCCTTCGAGCGGTAGACAGGCGGGTTGAGGTCTCTCTCTCTCTCCGTCTTTCTCTCTCTCTATCTCTGTCTGTGTGTCTATCTTTCTCACTCTCACTGTCTCTTTCTCTCTCTCTACTCTATCTTTCTCCCTCTCACTGTCTCTCTCTCTCTCTAACTTTCTCCCTCTTTCTCTCTCTATCTTCTTCCTCTCTCTCTCTCTTTCTCTCTCTATCTTCTTCCTCTCTCTCTCTCTTTCTCTATCTCTATCTCTCCCCGGCCAGCCATCTTCTTTATCTCCCGTTTCCTGGGAGGAGAAGTTTCAAATTCTTCACAAGTACTTTCCTTTCAGGAGAAATATCAGGGCCAGTGCCCCTCATTGGGACCGGCTGCGGTGACGCTCCGTCGCATCGACGCGTTGCTGTGCCTCCAGTGGGTAAGTTTCCCGGCGACGATCAGTAATCGGTGTGTCCGGAAGATGTTCGCGGAAATGTTTTGGCAATAAAGCAGTTCCGCGGTTGCTCTCGGCAATTTTAGGGGAGGGGATCTCTCCCCTGTCCATCAATTGTCTCCATGCATTCTGAGCTCTGAGCGGCGCGCCTGCATTTTATGGATATCATTATGGCATTTCTTGATGTTGCGAAGATATATATAGTTTTCAGGGAATGAAATGCTTTGTTGAAAGCGCAGGATCTTCGAATCGTCATCATGTGTTGTCTGCTGCGTTAAGAACTAGAGGAGAGAATGTTCTGCTTGGGAAGCGCCGAATGCTTGGGTACAGATCAGAAAAATACCAGTAGTTTCCGGGTTTTTTTCACCAGAGGGTAGATTCCATTTAGAGATTTATGTCAAAAATGTGACTAATAAATGAAATAGATCAGCTGTGAATTATAGTGTAGTTATTAACAGCTCTGTAGGTGGGGAGTGTTAGTTTGGGCAGTAGCCTTCTAGGACTACTCGGAAACAAAGGGATTTTTTGTTTTTAGTGGAAGTTCATTCAGGTGAGACGAGGAGCTCGAGTTTTTACCCAGACTAGAAGACTAGAAATGTGCACATCTAATACAGGGCATGTAAATTAAACTTAATAATGCAAATAAGTGAGGGGAAGGGCTGCCACATGACACCCTGCTCATGTGTCAGCCCATTGTTCGTGTGACCTAAACCCACTGTATTACCTAGAAAGCCTGATTTGAAAGCTATGTGACGTTGGATTGATATTGTCATCAACATCCGCTTTGAATATGTTCTGTAATTTTTTATATGTTAACTTAGCCCAGTAAAATAATTTTGTTGTCCAAATTATTTGCTGTTAATTTTTCAACTTGACTTTCATAATTAACTGATTTTCAATCTAGACTTCCAGGTTTTATTTGATCTTTCGAACTTCATTTTTTGTCATTTTTCCATCGACATTGGTTGTTCAAGTATGATATAATGTTTTTTTCTCTATTAGTGCACTTAAAACTATTTTCAGTTCTCTTCAATCCACCAATTTTCTCATGTCAACAATGTTTTCTTTTGTACTAGTAAACATTGGCCATGGAGTGCTCAGGAATTACAGGGGCTGTGAGGTAAATTTATTGGCATTTATATGATGCACAGTTTTTCTTTGCCGATCACCTTAATTGAACTATGATGATCTAAATTATGTAGTTGTATTGATCCTGAAATAATTTTTTATGGCAAATATATTCGCATAGGAATACATTCACATCTCCACGTTGAATTTTTTAGAAAAATACCCATATTTTGGTCATATTTCAATTGAGATTCTTAATTCTTTGTTCAATTCCAATCTCCGATTTTTATTTTTTTTCTAATTCATCGAATTGTTTCAAGGTGTTGTGCATGTGATGCCCTTTATTTTCCTCTTACTCTTTGACCATCCTAATTTTACCTTTATTTTAAATTTGTTTTATAGATGTTGCTCTGAAAAGGCATGGTCTCATGGCGACACTCATTCTATGCCATTCGGCAACCTGTCTATGGCATCCACAAGCTCAGCTTTCCTGCAATTTTCTCCTCTGACTGTCTCGAGAAGCAGTAAAATCCCCAGGGTGAAATGCCCCTCTCTCAAATTCTACTGGGGACAACCCTCTTCGAGATCTCTCTCCGTACATGTCAGTTTAGATGAGGAGGCTCCTCTGTCTGCTCCAGAAGAGTCACCGGAAGAGTTGCTCCCAGACAGCACGCAGGTCAAACATTGTCGACTATCTTCAGTTTTACTTGCCCTGTTATTTTTTGAATTTTATGGTAGCAAGAACGGTCTTAACTGCACCCATGTGTGAATGATTGAGTTAATCTCTTAAATTTAATTTTTTTTGGGGGGATTTAATTATCTCCATCAGTCATATCTTAGACATACAGGAGTATTTATTAAATTATTCATGCGTTTCCTATTTCCAGGGAAATGGGATATCAATCACATAGTCATGCTTATAGTCATTGTGATGCTTATCGTACACACCTGTGGACCTCTGTCTAACATTCTATGATTACTGGATTTCATATATCAGCTCAAGGAATTGTTCCTCGACTCTGAGAGAAGGCGGCTCATCACGAAACTTTCTGAAGCTAATCAGCACAACAGATATCTTAAAAGACAGGTTTCATCATTACGTTCTTCCTTATTTTTCTATGCCTCAAAGGTCTAATTTTCGAAAAGAAAACATCAGAATATAGACTGTGAGCATTTTATGCTGTAGAGTGGCGTGGTTGGTGAGAATCCTCAAGATGTTAGTGGCATGGTTGATGTGTATCCTCAAGATGTTATCTCACAGAGATCTTCTCTCTTTTTATTAGCTTCTCCATTACGTTTTTCATGTCAAGGTCAGGGAAACATGCGAAATTCTTTCATGTAGTGGTTTCCTATCAGACTTTTAGTATTTTTCTTTTTTCTCATATTTTCTCATCATAATACAAATAATATAATCTACCATGTGCTAGCCATTTATCAGGTAACATTATCTGGAGGCTACTGTCAATGATTTTTTTTGTGGAATAATGGATCATCTTCTACTTTCTGTCCTTTATTTGCAGTTGATAGCAAGGGATGACGATCTGGTCAACATCAGAAGTGAACTTGCTTTTCTGGAATTGGAGATTCAGGTATGCCTTAGAGATGCCCTTCTCATGATTTTGCCCCACAATTTACTCATAGTTTATTCCATATGAATTATTTAGGGATAGTTTTGACAGCTTCTCTGATGCGTGCCATTCAGCTAATTGTATGGTACTTGGAAGATGGCAGATGGCAGATGGCAGGCATGATGGTACACAGTCACTATGTCTCACAAGCATGCCCAGCTTTTACCCCTTGGAAACCCAATGGATGATTAGGTTTTCTTGTAGAGCCGGTCTCATATCAGTCAAATGGATTAAGATTCATGATTGTCTTTTCTGGTTGTTTAAATCCGTAAAATATCTTTATCATCAGTTTTTACTTCATATCAACCTGTTACAAAGAAAAAAAGCCTGTAAATTTTTCTGATACTTGAAAATAGTATAGTTCATGTCAGTCAAACGAATGAAGATTCATGATTTTTTTTTCTGGTTGTTTTAATCCGTAAAAGTACGTTTATCATCATTTTTTAGTTCATATCAACCTGTTACAAAGGAAAAAATTGTCACTTAAAAAAAATTCTGATCTTTGGAAATAGGATAGTTCAAATCAGTGAAATGGATTAAGCTTCATGATTGCCTTTTTTGGTTGTTTTAATCCGTAAAAATATCTTTATCATCAATTTTTAGTTCATTTCAACCTGTTACAAAGAGAAAAAAAACTGTCATTTCCTTTAAATTTTTCTGATCTTTGGAAATACTATAGGTTTTGAAGGAAATGACTTCAGATATTTTTCCATTTAGATATCGAAACGAACTGAAAAATGATGTGTGAAAATATTTATTGTTTCCTATCTTATAAATCAAATGAGAACGAAGTTAGTTTTCCGCATTAATCAGAAACTCTATCTTTCTTGCACAGGTGTTGACTGAATTGGCAGAAGAGATAGCAAGCTATGGCGTATCATCCAGTTCAAGAAAGATTAAAGGAAAATACATCCAATCCCACCTTGTTTCCAGACTTCAAGGTATGCTCATGCTTTTAATAGAAAAATTATTAGTCAAATAAGATGCTTATTTATTTTCTTTGCTGAATTCTCTCTTTACTGAAACGTTTTGTAGCTCTCCAAGGAAAAATTGAGAAACAGAGGAAGGATGTTGATGCCGTCAAGTTTAGGGAAATCACCCTGTACTGGATTGGCATGGCAGAGGTAATGGATCAATCCATCAATCTGCTGTTCTTTGAATTTATATTTATGTGGGTTTACTTACTTTAATTGGATGATATCTTATAATTAGGAGTGCCAAATGATTCTGCTCAACTGTTCCAAACCCGTCTCTCAAAGTCGAGTCTAGAGAGAGAAAATAGACCCATATCTGGAAAGAATCTACCCATGGGAAACGGCCCATTGACTCCCCTATTTATCAATCCATCAATCTGCTGTTCTTTGATTTTATAATTATGTGGGTTCAATTACTTTAATTGGATGATATCTTATAATTAGGAGCGCCAAATGATTCTGCCCAAGCTTTCCAAACCCGTCTCTCAAAGTCGAGTTTAGAGAGAGAAAATAGACCCAAATCCAGGAAGCATCTTCACATGGCAGATGATCCATTAACTCCCGTAATTATCAGTCCATCAATCTATTGTTCTTTGAGTTAATATTTATGTCGGTTTAATTTCTATAACTGGATGATATTTTATTACTAGTAGTGCCAGATGACTCTGCTCAAGTTTTCCAAACCCGTCTCTCAAAATCAAGCCTAGAGAGAGAAAATAGGCCCAAATCCAGGAAGCATCAAGCCATGGCAAATGGCCCATTGACTCCCCTATTTATCAATCCATCAATCTGTTTTTTTTTCGAGTTTTATATCTACGTGCTCATGCATTTATGTGAGTTTAATTACTATAACTGGATGATATTTTATTACGAGTACCAAATGAGTCTGCTCAAGTTTTCCAAACCCGTCTCTCAGTATCAAGTCTAGAGAGAGAAAATAGGCCCATATCCGGGAAGCATGTACCCATGGCAAATGGCCCATTGACTCCCCTATTTATATCAATCTGTCAGTGTGCTGTTCTTTGAGTTTATATCTACGTGTTCATACATTTATGTGGGTTTAATTACCTCATCTGGATGATCCAATAAATGACTCTGCTCAGGTTTTCCAAACCCGTCTCTCAAAGTCAAGCCTAGAGAGAGAAAATAGGCCCATATCCGGGAAGCATCTACCCAAGTCAACGGCCAATTGACTCCCCTATTTATCATATTTTTTTTCCAATAGTGGCCTCAATTTTAGATACTAAAGATGTCATGTTTCCATGTTTGTCATATTTTTTTTCAAATATTTTGCATGAATCTAAGTTGCCAGAGATAATCATGGCTTTGCGTTTTCCGTTTGCCAGAGTGTGCAGGTGATGGGGTCATTCGACGGATGGAGCCAAGGAGAAGACATGTCTCAGGAATTCACCGGTGCCTACGTCAAGTTCTCTGCCAGTATGAAGCTCAGACCTGGCCGGTAAGTCTCTCTCTCTCTCTCTCTCTTCCTTCTCTCTTTTCTCTCTCTTCTCTCTCTCTTCTCTCTCTCTCTCTCTAGATATATATCTGTCTGTCTGTCTATCTATATATTTATCAAGCTAGCTATCTCTGATCGCATGTATGAAGCTCAAACCTGGCCGATAAGTCTCTCTCTCTCTCTCTTCTCTCTCTTCTCTCTCACTCTAGATATCTATCTATCTGTCTCTCTGTCTCTAGATATCTATCTCTCTCTCTCTCTCTCTCTCTCTCTCTCTCGCATCTCTCTCACTCTAGATATCTATTTGTCTGTCTCTCTCTAGATATCTATCTCTCTCTCTTGCTTCTCTCACACTCTAGATATCTATCTATCTGTCTCTCTCTCTCTCTCTTTCTCTCCTCTCTGTCTGTCTCTCTCTCTCTCTTCTCTCGCTCTCTAGATATCTATCTATCTGTCTCTCTCTCTCTCTCTCCTCGCTCAGTCTAGATATCTCTGTCTTACATCTCTTCTCTCTAGATATCCATCTATCCGTCTCTCTCTCTTCTCTCTCTCTCCAGATATCTATCTATCTTTCTACCTGTCTCTCTCTCTCTTCTCTCCAGATATCTATCTATCTTTCTACCTGTCTCTCTCTTTCTTCTCTCTCTCTCTCCAGATATCTATCTATTCATCTGTCTCTCGCTTTCTCTCTCTGTCTCTCTCTCTCGCTCTCTAGATATCTCTCTGTCTCTCTCTCTCTCTCTCTATATATGTCTATCTATCTGGTTATCTATCTATGATCGCAGGTATGAGGTGAAATTTCTAGTCGATGGGCAGTGGCAGCTGTCACCGGAGCTCCCAACCATCGGAGAAGGCGAGCTGAAGAACAACCTCTTGATCGTGGAGTAGCTCCGGCCCATTCCCTTTCAAGAAGCATCCCACTGTAATCTGTTATGGGCCCGAATGAATTTATTGGGCCCATATTTAATGTGGGCCTCGGGAAAAAATCCATACAATGTGGCGCATATTGATAAAAATGGGCCCGGCCCATATCAGATAATCGTCCGGCCTATGTAGGGCATGGTTGCGGGGCCCAAACCCATAGAAAAATTTACCGGGCGATTAATATCTGGGCCGGACGGGATTCGGGTGTGGGGTCCACTTCATGCCCCTCATTCAGATGAATCGTTGAGGTCCACGAAAGTTTCACTGAAAGTTGTGGGCCCCACTTAGCTGGGGAAACACCTGTGGGGGCCCAACACCGTTGGATCATCATAAGAGACATGATCGATCGTGATTCAGGCTCACATCTCTACAGCCGTCCAATCGATGTTCCAAGATGATGTTCCCTGCGATCGGCAGATAGATTGACAGAGAGAGATCTTGGCAGTGGGTAAAAAAATTGACTTGGTGGGGCCCAAGTGGGGTCCACGAATCAACGACGGTGCACTCGGTGCAACGAATATTGGAAGCTGGGAAATTAAGAACCAGAAGAGAGAGAAAGAGAGAGACGAAGAGAGAGAGTGAGAGGAGCGAGACGGAAGGGGAGAGAGAGGAAGAGAGTGACGAACAGAGAGAGAGAGAGCTGCTACTGCGAAAGTTCTCGCCGGATGGTCGCCCGCCGGTTCCTCCTGCGTCACGATGACGAGGAGTATCTCATCGACTACGACACCGAAGACGGCTTCGAAGTCTCTCTCTCTCTCTCCCCTCTGGTTCTACGCCGAACACGGCTTGAAACTCTCTCTCTCTCTGTCTCTTCGCGTGCACCTCTTCCTGCGTCAGCTCGTTTGGTTCTTCCTGGCTAACTGTTGTCTGCTCACCGCAGGTCCTCCAATTCCAGATCTTCTCCCTGACCTCGGTCCCCCCCGATAATCAGCAAGTCTCTGCCGATCTCTCTCTCGTGTTCCTCTTCGATTTACTTTGGGATCTCCAGTTTCTCCCTTTATTGCTCTATGAAGAGTTGTACTGATGGGATCGGTGGGGGGGTTGTCTGCGGCGGGGTACTTGCCTTCGTCCGGAAGATCTTGGTGGAGGAGGGCGATGTTGTCCTCGCCGAGGGCTCTGACCTCACCGCCGTCTCCGACAAGCTCCGCTTGCTTTCCGTGCAGGATGCGCCGGTGCCGAAGGCAGCGGCGGCTGCGGCGGAGATCGGTATGACCGACGAGGAGTTGGCTCGTCTCTTGCAAGTACTCTTCTTCTCTTCCTGGCCCTTTTTCCTCGTTTTCGCGGCATACGGCCGGAAGTGTGATTCCCTTATGCTATTTGGTTCAGGCTGAAGAGGAGGCATTGTACCTCCAGCAATTCCAAACCGATGGGAACTGGGTGGAATTCGAGAATAGAGTGCGAAGTTATGTCCCTCAGGTTCTTCTGGTACAGCTCTCTGGATTCTTCTGTACTCGTTTAGCATCTTGTAATTCAATTGATTTCATATATGCTTTGTTGCCTTTGGGTAATTCAGACTTTTCTGCGACTGATTCATAACTCAATTCCTCCAACTTCAGTATGAAGACCCGATTCGGCAGGAGGCAGCCCGCAAGACAGTTCCAGTTGATGAGATTAAGGAGAAATCATTGATTCTACTAGCAAAGGTTCCTCATGATACTTTCCTTTTCATTTCTCTACTACTTGCTTTCCACCCCCAGCTTTGAGAAATTTTCCCAGAAGTATACATTAGAAGCCTTTCTAGGAGTCTGATGGATGGGATTCTCATCGAGGATTGATCTGGTTTGCCTACATCAAACAAGCTTCTTGAGAGATCAGATGACGCCCCGTCAAAACTTTTTTCTAGTTTTGCTCCTAAGACGGTGATCAAGAAGCTTTTCCGGTTTGGTTATCCCTTTTCTATGAGAAGTAACCGAAAATTTTTGGGTGGTTTCAAGCTAAATATTACAGCAGGAATGGCCGAGGGAATAGGATCAAAGTAATAACAAAGAATAAGAGTCAGTTATTTATAGTACATCATCACTGCTAATATTTCTTCTTACATGTGGAGAAATCCTGCAAGATTGACATGTCCCGTTTGAAAGTTGTGGGATTTGTCTGGTACCAGTAAAGGACATTAGTTTTAAGAAGTGGTTGGTTGAGAGCTTTGTTCTTCACAAAAAATTGGCAACTTCCTGAGCTGCTGAAAATCCTGACATAATGACTACTGCGGCTTTTGATAGTGCTGTGGTGACTGGATTTGATGCCTATGATTCATTAGGAACTCTCTGGACGACCGTTTTTGACTTGGGATAGCTTCTGTTAGAAGATGGTTCTCTTTGATTAGGCGCTAAAGATCTGTTCTGACTAGATTCTCTCTTTTGCATCACATAATAAGAAATTTATGAAACTAGACGAATTTCGCTCTAGTTTTTTGGTCATGTCGGGTGGCTAAGATGTCGCATGTTTTTCTCTCAGGAAGGAAACTTCAAGCCTTCAGACGATGAGAAATCTCATGTCTTCTTGTTGGAGCTACTTTTTTGGTTCAAACAATCCTTCAGGTATCACTATCAAGAATATGATGTACCTTCATGTAGCGATCAGTTCATCATCTATTATATAGCATCGTTCTGGGATCTCTCAAGATTATTTCCTGCTGCAACAACGACATTCATTTGTTGATCCACACCTTTTATTCATTGTTTTATAGTGTACTGTTATATGGTTCTGTCAAAGTAATCCTCAAAATTTTATTTTTTTAATGCATTTCGACATTTATAAACATTGTTCGAGTTGGACAGTGTTCTCACCTTGATGAATTCTGATCTACCTGAAGTATAGGCGACAAATTCAACAATGGTCGGATTAGGATCTTATAAGGTTAGATTCCTTGAAGGTTTAGTGCCGGGTAGCACATTGTGTGTATCATCCAACTACGACTTAAGGGCATATGTATTGTGTATTTTCCGCCAAAATAATATCAGATCCATTTTCAACATCTACAAGCCATGCTATTGAAGAATCTATTGGATATACTTTTTGGAAGCTCTCTATCATGATGTGAAGGGTACAAGGGCTTTTTGGGTTGGATCAACTTATGCCACTTATTTTTACTTCAACATGAAAAAAAATTAACAATTCATAGATAACTTCTTTTATTGATCTTCTGATTTGCCTTTGTTGGCTTCACTTAAACAGAAAAATAACTTAATAATTCATATATAGCTTCTTAGTTCTTCTGCTTTGCCCTTGAAGTCTAACAATGTCAGAAGAAGAAAGTCTAGGAATAGGGGTACTAAGAGTTGGACCCAAAGGATATGTGACCCTTCTCCTTGGTCTTAAATTTTGAAGGCGTTTTTTCAAGATGTAAATCCCAGCAATATTCTACAACATGATTTGACTTTCCACAATGAATACACTTTCCCTTTATTTTTCCTTTTCCTTTTCCTTGGACTTTGACTACCTGACTTTTTTTGCCATGAATTACCAGAGCTGAGTGTTCACCTACTTCAGGTTCATCAGCCTTAGGTGTTTTATCCAACACTAATTGTCTCCCTTCTTTACTCAACACATTGTAATAGGTTTGTTGAAGAGTGGGAATACGATCTAAATTTAGAATCTGTCCTCTCAATGCTTCAAACTCATTGTTCAAGCCCGAAAGGAATATGTTACTTCTGGTCCTCTATGAAATTCCATTCTTTCATGCTAAAGGAGTCCAACTCATCCCATAAACTCCGTAGAGCTACAAAATAATTTGTGGCAGATGTTGATCCTTGTTTAATTTCGTGAATATGATGGGTCAATTGGAAGCATTTAACAGTGTCATCGTGGTGACCAAACATTTCTTCTAGTATTTTCCACATTTCTCCAGCTGTTTGTTTTTACAGAATTATATGTGAGTCATGCACTCATGCACGAAGACAGATGGAAGGATCTTGTCATATGGGGCTACATTTTGGTTCATCCAAGCCATACTTTGGCCGGTTTTGTTTTAAGTAATTGCTCTTGATTCCCTAGTGATTGGCTAAATCGTTACATTTTTTCTATTTAGCTCTAATACTGTATCAAATACAGCACAATCCATTGTCCCTGTCATTGAAATTGTTTTCGTAAATGAATGGACTGAGTTGTGAAATTGATGGAACATCCAAGGATATTGTCTTATTAGGGGAACTATTCTACAAGATCATTGCACTGCTCTTAATTTGGTCCGTTTATTACCATTTTATCATAAGTATTTGAGAATTACATATTGGTAACGACTCGTATTCATTCTAGTTGGCTTTGATTTTGGCTTTGATCTTCACATTTTTTTAGGTGGGTTAATTCACCACCTTGCGACAGTTGTGGTGGTGAAACCAGAAACACGGGCATGGGTGTCCCGCTTCCAGCAGAGATCCAATATGGTGGTTCTCGAGTCGAAATATACAAGTAAGATGAGAATGCGTGCTATCTAATAGATGTTGTTGGTGTGGGGCCGTGTAGCTTCATACTTTTTCATTAGTTTACCAAGTATCACTTGTCAAATTTTCTTCATACTTTCACCGTCATGTTTTTATTAAAAGAAGAAGTTTGGTGAAGAATATACCTTACTGCAGTGTCTATCTTTACAGTAACATGAACATATGATTAAATGACTTCACACGAGAGCTTTTTCTTATCTTTGCTGAAATGAATAGCTGTTCTGTTGGTTCGTTTTCATTCAAAAGTCAGAAAAAAGCCAATTTATTGGTAAAATCACAGGGAGCTCACAAAATGATAGGTAAACCTCTAGAAAAGTAAAAAAGATGTCCTATTAATCACTGATGTGCTACATCTGGGGTTGTTTACTAAAATCTCATAGAGGCGTCTATAAGGCCGAAATAGCTGCGTATGGCATACAGGCTGCGAAATCATTAGAAAACCTGATGACTTGGTCTAGTAGCTGGCACCATCTTTTGATTTTCTGTGAGAGGATATCATTGTCAAGTCATGTTAATTATAATTTAATTACGGCCTTGGACAACATTTTTAGCTCCATTATGATGCGTATGAGATTATTTCCAAACAATGCTTTTCTCCCTGATCTCGGGATGGCCCACAGAGTTGCTGGGACCAGTAAATCCCTCCATTCGTTGTCTCCCAGCCTGCGAATAAATCATTTCATTACGATTTCATTTAAATTTTCTGAACCCAAGTACAAGTGGGTAATCAGCCAGTATTGTGAGTTCATATGTCAGCTCAAATCTTCTGAATCTAGCAGAATCTGGTAAGTCAGTAAAAGAAAAGGGTAATCTCCACAGCTATTTGTACTGCCATGGGTTTTTTTTCCGAAAAGGTTAATCTTTGGAGTCACCATTTGAGTTTCCTTGTGAAATCCTTCACCCAGTAGACCTGAGTTTGCTACTGGGGTGTCAGCAGAAGTCTAAAACCAGTGAATTTTACCAGTGTAGTGTTTCATGTTTTTCCTAGTATAGCTTTCTCCAGCCCTATTTCCACGCGCATCACCTTTTTGATACATCACTCCCACATTAATTAAACCACGAAGTTTTTAATTGTATTGGAACCTATTCCAGGAATCCGTCATACACTCAAATTTGTTTTTACACATGTTCAGGTGCAAGACATGTCCAAGAATCACCCGTTTTCCACGCTATAATGATCCATTGAAGGTGCTGATCCATGTATCTCTTTTTTCTTGTGGAGTTGTGTTACATGGGTTGGGTTGACCCACAAAAGCTCTGGCCCGTGCGCTTGGCTTTGTATATCGTGGGTTAGTTTTTTCATTAACTTGAAATCCTTTTATAAATCAGCTTCTTGAAACGAAAAGAGGTCGGTGTGGAGAGTGGGCAAACTGTTTTACACTCTACTGTCGAGCTTTTGGTTATGACTCTCGTCTGGTTGGTAGCTCCTGACATTGTTCTCTTTCGTTAGTTTTAATCTACTCTTAATGTTATGTATCTTTCATGTTACTGCTTGTGCACTCCTAGCAATGCCAAAGTATTCCATATACTGAATTTATTTTGACATTATTTGCCACAATGGGCTCCATAGTATCTGTGCTCCTAGCATATGGATTGTTTTGCCAATGAGCTATTGGACTACCTACTAACCTGTTTTTTTTTCTTAACCAATTTTAAGTACATCTACCCTTTGTTGCCTGGAACCTTCCTTAACAATCATGCTTGATTTGCAATTTCACATTGCCATTGGATTTTATAACAAGGTGGAAAATATTGGGAGGGGTGTTTACCATACTATTTCTTGAGAACGCTGTTTTATAATAGAATTCGCTTGCTCTGAGAAAAAAAGAGTGATAGTTCCTTTTAGATTGCCATTGGATTCTTTCCGTGAGGGTGTCATCTTTTATCCAAAAATGTCTTTTTTAAGGACCCACACGGGAAAAAAAGTCTGTCAGTTCGTTTGTAAGTTGACTAATTTGCATAGTGGGTTGACCGTGCACTGTTTGATTCCATGAGGGAAAATCTTCCTTTCCCTCTTGAAGTTGGAAAAAGAAATAATAGAATGTAAAAGAAATAAGGTTATATCACTTTGATCAGCTGCTGTTGAAGGAAGAGGAGCAGCTAGGGAAGAGTTGCACTTTCTATTGTAGAAGCTAAAAAGGGAAAGAGAGAAGGAGAGGACAGATGATGAAAAGGGCAGAAAAATGATAAAAAAAAAGATTGTCCCGTCTCCTGCTGCCACCTACTTTCCACTGTAACAAGCATCATTGCTATCCGCTGCTGCCATGGGCTGCAGGCTTCCACCTCCTTTCCGGGAATTTCCTTGTTTCCTTAAAAGAATCTGACCTTCCCCTTTTAGATATACCCATCCATATCAAAGTATAGATTAGTTGTGCCTTTTTATTAGAAGTGTCCATGCACTCACAAGCTTTGAAAATCTGTTCAATTTTTTCGCCCAAGTGGGGCTTTTCTTCTGAACCATCCGATTTTCCTGATTCGATCCCTTAGCAGATAAAGGGAATTCACTCAAAAATTGATATCTTTTTGCCATATGAGATCAAAGATAGTTTCCCGCTTCTGACTGGACCGAGAAAACAGTGGGAACACTTGAAACCCTTTTCCCCTGGTCTTGACTTGGAGAATTTCACCTCTTATCATTAAAGTATTGAGAGCTATCCTTCGACCTCTTTCATAAATCCGAAACTAATATCATCCCACTAGACAACAAGCACATATGTTGATCGATGCCTAGATTTCACAGCTTGTAACTCTTAAGTGATTGCACTGATTTGGATGACGCATGACTGACTTGTGAAACTGAGGAAATGCTATGCATTCAAAGATAGATAATCATCTTTTTCTGTGTACAGATCTTGGATTTCACAGATCATGTCTGGACGGAATGTTTTTCACATCTCTTAGGAAGGTACAGTTTTTTTTTTTTTTTTTTTTTTCCTTGTTTGCTCATACCTCATGTGCTTTGCTGAAATAAATTGCTTTCCCTGTATGATTATGTTAGGTGGATGCATCTTGATCCATGTGAAGGAGCATATGACAGACCACTGCTATATGAAAAGGGGTATGGCCCAGATCCTTTTTGCGCCAGTAGTTTCCCTGAATTATATATCATCATATTTTACCCAATAGCTGCTCTAATTGTTGAATTAATTATTTTTCTGAAGGTGGAATAAGAATCTGAATTATGTCATCGCGATTTCGAAGGATGGGGTTTATGATGTTACAAAGCGTTACACAAGGAAGTGGCATGAGGTAAACAGATAGCAGAAACTCAGGGTACTGAGCATGTTTGAGTGCTATTCATGCTGTAACAAAACTCTGCTAGGGTTCATGTTTACTGTCAACTACAGGTTCTTCAGAGAAGAGACATCAGAACAGAAGCTGTCGTCTCTGCTGTGCTTTCCGATATCACAACAGAGTGTCGGCGTAGTTGTTCTTCTGAGATGATCTCTGCACTTAAACACCGCGATCAGAAAGAAATGGAAGAGCTTGAGACCAATGTGCATCTGAAAAATGATTCATCCCTCTCACTGCCTGGGAGGCAGAGTGGAGCAAAGGAGTGGCGGATAGCAAGAGCTGAGTGGGGCTCAGATGAACAGAACTCTCCCACTGGTTCCTCATGTCCTCCCCGGAAATGTGCTGACAATCATGTGACCACCATCTGTTCTGCCTTTTCTCTCCTGGTTTCTCATCTTTCCAAGGAAGAGGTTTCAAAACTTGAAGCTGCTAGAATTCTCAAAGCACTCAAGCAGTTGCTGCTAGATCTTCGAGCCTCTCCATTTAAGCAAAGGAAGGCCTTCCTAGATTCACAAGGTTCGCCATTCTTCAGGCGCATCGTTCCACCCCTGAGTAACTTGCTCGAAGCTATTTCCCTCAAGGGGTATGTTCTTCCAGATGGTAGAGTTTCCGTTTCTTTAGCTGGAGATCCAGTTCTAACAGCTCTAGCTTTGCCTGTGGCTTTGGATGTCATCGAAGAAATGGTCAACCAGCCAGTTACCAGTAGCAATCCTGGCACAGATTCCTTCCTCCGATTTTCAAAATCCAATCGAATATCATCCGGAATGGTTCTGGCCAGCGGTGAAGAGCTTCCCTTTGGAATTGTAAGTTGCATGTCTTCACACGGATTTCATTTCATTCAGTTGTTCATCACAAGTGTTTTGAATTCTTTTTCTCCATTTGGGTGTTGTTCAATTCTATCAGGCTACCGCAGCATTTGACGGCGTCTCCTCGTCCAAATGGGAGTAACCCAGTGGAGCAAGAGGTATAACCAATAAGCAATCTCCTCCTCATCTTCCCATCAACCTGATCCATATATCTTGAGAGCTGGAAGCTTGTATCTGCCTTCATCTTCAGCTAATTTTCTTAGCATAAATATTCTATGTTAACTTCTTTTCTTTTGCATCGTTCTGAGTTCGGATTTGTTTAACAGAAAAGTTAATTTTTTATTCATGGAAATAACTTAATGCATGATCAGCATCTTTTTCTAATCTGTATCCATTGCATCTGACAAGCATTCATTAAGTTTCAAATAGTTATGGAATTGGAACATGAACTTTATTAGAAAAATGATCACAAAGCACTGGAAGAATCATTATAACAGCATTACTCATTGAATTCATCCAATGATATACACAACTAGTTGCATATTCTCACTAATCGATCTATTTTTTTTATTGGAAATGGTAAGAACCGTTTGTTCCATGAGGTGCACCCAACTTTGATGTCCCAAAGCAATTAAATTATTCTGTCAGAGCACTACCTATACTGCATGTGTTATTCCCAACTTAACCCCCCCCCCCCCACGTATAATTTTTTAATCAATTTTTCCACCTTGTTTCTGCATCAAAAAACAGGTTGTTGGCTAATCTACAGAGTGACAGATGGAAAGATGTACGATCTTGAAGAGTATGAATTGATGTCAGCCAATGATGCTCCAGAGAGGGATCCTTATGACTGGTACGACCCATTTCCTGTTAATCTCTGCATTTAAAGGATCATTCTCTATAGTTTCCCCTCTAACACGTGATCAGCCTCCTAATCTTGTAATGACCCTCCCTGAATATATAGAACAAACTCAACATCTGAGAGGGGAAGCTGTGGATGATGAACAATAGGAAAAGGGGAGATCATCTCCCCTCTGACATTAATTATTTTATGGTCTATTCATTTTAACAATGGAAAAATTCTGATATCAGGCAAGAATCTTGAACATAATCATGCTGTTTTAGAAAACTGGAAAAAAAAATCCTCTTTCTCTAGTTCTAAGAGTTTCTTTCTGAAAAAAAAAAGGAGAAAATGGCTTTTAAAGATTTCAAAATAAAAACCAAGATGGGTTGAGAAAATAGTTAACTCTTTGTCGATCCTCAGTGGATGCTCTACCCATTCCACATATTCTGTTCTTGCACGTCTCTTAAAAGCACAGAGATCAGTAGTATGAAGCAACTCCAGTTTGGGATCTTCCTCCTTGATTCAGCCATGAATTTCTGCTGCTCTACCAGGATCTTGGAAGGAAGCAGAGACGGAGGTTCCAGCTGGACAACTTTGGATAGCCGGAATTCCCAGATCTTTGAAGGACGATTCCAACGGAAGCTGTTCAAGATCGACAAAACCCATTCCCGCAATTCATTCAGGTGGTTCTCGGCCCATCCCTTCTCTCTGCATTGACATTGACATTCTCATGCGTATGGATACATATTTATGTATTTATTTACATATTATTTCATGACGATTGATCGGTGGGTGGGGCTTTGCAGGTTCAGGTTCTTGCGGGTTCGAGACCCCGAGGCAACATCAAGATTCCAGATCGGTTCCATCGACCTCTTTGGTGACACCCACTAATTCTCTCTCTTCCATTGGCACCTGCATGGGTTGAATACATCAATGTGCTTAGTAAGCAATAAACAGGTCAGAGGCAACTCGATGATCTTTCAGATTCAGCATTTGAGTAAGAAAAATGTTGACTTGAAAACTGGCTTTGCACTGTGAAGATTTGTGTTATAGAAGTCGCCATTCCCTTTGACAATTTCTTTGTTATGGGCATAATAATCGATGATGATTGTCAGATTGTCACATGAACTTATTTGTGTTACTAGTTTGTGCCCACAGTTTGTCAAATGTATTGGACAGACGGTTGAATAAGTGATGAGAGAGAGAGAGAGAGAGAGAGATTATTGAAGAGTCTTTTGAAAATTATTTTCTGCTCATAATTAAGGAGTTTTTCACCAACATGAAAACTCTAAAAGGTTAGAATTAATTTATTTTCAGTATGATAATATGTATACATAGGTTTCACTATTCATTGACAACAAGGCTAGGAGAGTGAGGACTTCTCAACACCATTAGAGCTTCTATGGGCTGGATCTGAAAGACTGTTAAACAATCCGTGCATATTCTAACCATTTTTTCTATGACCATAATATATGAACATTTATTTCTGTATGAAAAGTAATTTTTTGCAGGGATCTTAAAGGGGCACCTTAGAACAGAAGCAGCTCTGTGCAGAAGGGACCTAAAGCCACACCATGAACGTATGAACATTCATCTCTTGGCCTTCTTCCTGGAATTCCCTGAGGACCTCTTTCCTGTTCTTCGAGATCCTCCGATTTCCTACAGAGTAAGACTTTCTAATTCAGAGAAATTCTCCAATGCACATAATTCACAAAAAAGAGGCAAAGGGTCAAGAGAAATGATGGGAAATTTTCTTTTTGCTCTTTTTTTTTTTTTGGCTAGACTCGGAGAAGACTCCCAATTTAAAAACAGCCTATGAAACTCTGGGCTAGGCCTATTTCTTCTGATTTATTTTGAGAAGGCATCCCATTTAAAAAAAAATTAAATCAGGTAGGATCATAGGCTGGGCCTCAAGCTTACCTAGCCATTGAGTTTCCTGACAAGAACACACACATACACCATAATTACACATAAACCAATCATTCAGGATGCCAACTTGCTCAGTTCTGAGAAGGCGGGGCTCAGCACAGTCAACCATCTTTCATAAGATGATGGAAATACTAGAAAAGCCATATTCTTGGTCCCCTGGGGAGTTAGACACAAGCCCAGCTAGCCACATATACTGGAGGGAAGGCGCTGCACCTGGGCCATTACTTGCCTAGACAAGTCTTATTTTCTCTCTCTACAAATGGTTTTGAGATCCCAACCCCATAGAAACCAGGTGAGGCATCCCAAGGCTACCCATCATGTTGACACCAGCTACATGGAAATATACATAATATAGACCATATCTAGTTATTCAGGTTGTGGCCATACCTTCTTATATTGCCTGTAGGCAATCTGACCAGACAACTCTTGCCCGTTTTTTGTGACATAAACCTGAAATCATCCATGATCATGGCCATGTAAAAGTAGAAAACCATGCAAACGTAAAAAACCGATGGAGAAAAAAAAAGAAAAAAAGTTTCCAATTGACCTTTCTTCCGTCTTCTCCAGTAAACCAGTGACCACAAGAACCAACAGCAGAGACTCGCCTCTTTGCAGCATCCTTTGGGATGGCACTAGAGCTTCCAGGGGTATCAGAAATCTTACTGCCCTTTGTATTCTTTCTGTTTCTTGGCCTTCCTCTTGTGCTTGGTTCATCAATTCCATGAATCTGGGAAGGTCCCTTCCTCTGGCCAAATTGATCCCTGGTGGCAAGATATCATATGCTTAAGCAACGAATAGCAAGACCTTAACTATATGAATGATTGCGGAGAAGATAACATAAGAGAACTAAGTACATGTAATCAAGAGACTCCGCATTCTGCTGTCCATTGCCTGTGGACTTCACATCTCCAATGGGTGTGAAATGAGGTAACCTCTGCTGGACGAGTCTCTGGATTCTGACATCTGGATGGAAAAAGTACTGATAAGAAGGAGGCTGGTGGCCTGGAAGGTTGGGACAGCCCTCTGTATCATTAGTTCCAGCAATATTACGAGGAAGAACCACGCCTGAGGTAGTAGTGGCTGATGACTGCTGCTTTGATTGCTGACTTACATCCCTGGCCTTTGCTTCTTTAAAGTAATCTTCACAATATTGATCTAGAGCAGGTGTTGGCAAGCTGAGATTTTTTACAGGGCTGAAGTCAACCCATAAGCATTCGCTCTGGAGCCTACCAGATGATTCGGGTGTCTTTCCCTGCTGATGATCTCCATTCACTTTACGCTTCTTATCTTCATCGATAGAAAGGTCATCTGAATCAGAATCCAGGAGCTGGATTCTCTTTAGAGGGCTGACTGTTAGCCTGGGGAAGATTTTCTTGTTGCTGCTGGCCTCAACGCTTGTTGGAATTGAGACACCAGAGGTTGGTATGATCTTTGGAGCCTTGGACTTTTTACCAGACATAGTTGTTAGAACGCGTTGACCATGCAGTGAGAACTTTGAGCTGCTGCAAGAAGACTGGTTCTGTCTAGAAGGAAGTGCATCTGCAATCCATATAGATAATTTGTTTCACAATATCAATCAAGCAATGAAAGAAAAAAGTTAAAGATGCAAAATTTTAACTATTTCGAAAACGTTTCTCAGAAACACATTGTTACTGAATATAGAAAATTAGGAACTTAATGTGTCATTTGGAATATAATAGTTTCTGGTCACTGCAGGCGCTCTAACCAAAGTGATGAAAGAAGACCTTGAAACCATTTCTTGTAGTGATGATTATGTATGTTCTTATGGAGGTGTAAATTCAAGCGTTGGCAGGAATAGTCACTACTACGTTGCCAATAAAAACCATGATAAAAACTCCATGAAATGCGAAATAAATAATCTAATGTCAATCATTACTAAATCAGAAACAAACAGACATGAAAACCATGAGGAAACAATCTCGAGAATGAATCAAGGTTTTTAATAAATAAATGACACTGAACATGCGTATTTTCCTAATACTTTCATGCTTATTTTCTTATACCATTTCTGCAGAGTTTGTGATAACAAATTCATTAGCCTAGGATGTGCACTAAACATATTGTCTATCTATTCTGACAGATGGTGGCCTTTTTCATAGTAGGATAATCAATTACTTTGCCTTTCTAGGAAATACTATGATCAGGTCTATAACGATGCAATAGATTACAAACAAGTGAAAAATTGAAATCATTGATTGGGTTTGAGCCTCCAAGCTAAACCCACTAGGATTCTGAAAGAATAAAAAATGCCAGACATATGCTTCTCTTGATTGGATTTGTTACAAAGTGGCACATTTCAGCTTATGCTTCGATGAACAATAATTCTAAAAAGAGGAAGCATTTTATTCTAATCGTCCTTTTTTTGTACTTGGCCAGTCTGCATTATATTATTGACATGAGGATTGCTATTACATCCTGTCATTGCCTTTAAAAGCATTCCAATCAGTCCATGGCATAAACGGTGTAGTCGTTTCTGTCTTTCATTTTTCCTACTTTCATGAAACCAGTTCATATCGGCCAGTTTCCTATTGAACAAATTCTAACACTGGAGCTCAGTTCTCTCCAAGTTCGCAAACCCCAGGGGAAATGCCAAATAGAGCAGATCCGAATAATCCTGATTTCTTTTCGTTGTGAATTCAATCATCCTGCTGATAATTTCACAACGAAAGAAGGGCATCCATATCCGCAATCCAAAGATTTTCCGCATTAGATATATTGAATTCAGCTACAACTCTCTTCAGCCAGTTTCCTATTGAACAAAATCTAACACCAGAACTCAGTTCTCTCCCAGTTGACGAACCCCAGGAGAAATGTCAAATAGAGCAGATCCGAATAATCCTGATTTATTTTCGTTGTGAATTCAATCATCGTGCCGATAATTTCACAACGAAAGAAGGGCATCCATATCCGCAATCCAATGATTTTCCGCATTATATAACACCCAATTCCGATAAAAGTTGCCAAATCAGTCAAAGCATAACTCTAGAACGCAAGATCCGAGGAAAGCAGAAGCAACCAACCTCGTACCACGCAATCTTCCTGCGATGAGAAATCCTCAATGTCGTCATCCAGAGCGGAGAAACGGACAGCGGCATGAGGAGTGAAGGGGTCGGGAGGAGATTGCCGCGGTGTGCCTCTCCTCAAGCGCTTGAAAGGCCCAATCCTGGTAGGAGGATCCTCTCCAGTGGATCTCCGGTAGAATCCCCCCTCCCCCTCGTCCTCCCCCGACCAGTGCGTCGTACATTCAGAAGACGACGCCCCAACAAACGTCGACCGCTCTTCTCCCGGGTGGACCTTCGGACGCCAACCCTCCTCATCCCCATTGCCCTCCTCCTCGGTGGAAAGATCGAGACCAAGGTCGGGATCGGGATCGAGATCGAGATCCAGCCCGAGAGAAAAGGATGGACCCGCGAAATCCGCCATCAGGTGGAGCCAATCAGCCGAGCACCAGGGCAAAGAGGAGCAAGAGGGCCGACGCAGAGAAGCAGAACTTGGATCAGCAGAGCTCGGATCAGCAGCTATGGATTTGATCTGTCTTCTTCCTCTCCACTTCCTCCGGAATGCTCGACGATGGCGGGGAGGTTGATGGAGAGCGCGGGAGAACGAAAACACCGCCTCAGTCGGGGAGGTTTTCCCCCTTTTGAACTCCCGATAGACGCGGCGAGCCGCATTTCTCTCTCTCTCCCTCTGTCTCCGGATCGGGCTGGTTCGAACCGGTTAAACCCGGTTTAATCCGGTTCGCCATTTACAAAATCAAAAGAATATAAACAATATTTTACCATGATATTTTTTAATTAAAGAATAACCTAATATGTGGAGGGTGTTTCTAAAATTTTCCTAAAAGAAAACCCCACCCTCTACGAGGAGTCTGTCCTACACAAATGGTTCATATTTTAAAAACACGGCCCACCTAAAAATGTCATATTCACGTATTAGTTACTAAATAAAACATCCCTAAAAAATTTTAAATATTTTTTTATTATTTCTGTATAATTTATTATTTTTAACATTCAATTGAAGTCAAAATCCTATACCAAGAAATATTATATTAGTGTTATGCCACCAAATTTTACTATATTTTCGTAATGGTTCATTTATTTGAATGTCATATAAGAGTGTGTTTAGACTATAGTATTATTGTTGGAATAAAAATAAAAAAAATATTTATAAAGAAATTAAATACAAACTACATGTATCAATATTGAAGGACATGTTAAATTTACATTATTTTCTTGTGATGTAAAAGTCATATAATATAAAGTCCAAAGTCTAGATCAAGAAATCACTTGCCAAAGTCTTGGTGTGCAAAATTTCTTTAGTATGCTTTATGTGGTTACAATAATCTCATTGATTTTAGTGTAATATGGTAGCCTCTTTGAATCACTTAAGATTATTTTGGGACAAAAGATTGAAACAAACTTATAATCGAGTAATGATGCATGGCTCCTATCTTATTTTCAATCAAGGTTTCTATATTTAATTATTGAGATTTGTTTAATAATTTCATAACATCAAGTCTAAAGTTTATATTCTGAATCTTTTATGAGTATTTTTTCAACTAACAATACTCATAAAAGATTGAGCAATGCCATCTGGGTGGCCTAGGTTTGATCCCTATGTCTTCCACAACTTAACCCAATAGAAAATAAAGGGATGATTGCAGAAATGCTCGAAAAAACCCTGGAAATACAAGAAATACCCAGAAATTCCCGAAAAATCCAAGAAATCCTTTGAAATGATTGGAAAATTCTAGGAACAATAGGAATCGATCGGAAAATTCAAAAAATTCAGGAAAAATCCTAAAAAAATGAAGATCTAAATGAATCTTGATTCAAAAATCATGATTTCTCTGCAAATACATGTCTAATTAATCTAAAATTTGAAATGAATCTTTGTTACTTATAGATGAGTGCATGAATATATTAAAAAATATAAGTTTTGCTAGGAATTAGAGCAAAAAAATACAAGTCAAAAATGGTTGAATCAAAGCTAAATGAGAGATTTTCTACATATGAGGAAGAGAAAAGGATATTTCTTGCTCCTCTAAGGGTGCTGATGGAAGGTTGGACAGAGGGTTGACTAGTGGGCATGAGGTCATCAGGTAGCAAAGGAGGCTGAAGAGCAAAAGGAAGGAGGAAGATCTCGAATCACACCTTATTTCATTTTTTTATTTTCTTTTCAATTATCTTTCAATTATTTAAACTAGTTATCATCATCTTTGAGGATCTACCTAAACTTGTACCACTACTAGAGTTTATTTAGAAAGTTCAGTTATAAATATTGTTAATTTTTCATACATTAAAACCAAAAATCAATGCATTATCAAGTATCAATGTGTAATTTATGATAATAAATAAACATTGGTGGGAAGTTCTCTTTAAGACTAGAAATAGCTAAGGGGCAAGATAATGTAAAAATCTTGATATTCTTTATGAAAGAGAGTTGAAAATTTTTATCACAATATTTGTGCATCAACATAGATTGTGACAGATACACATAGGTTCTGCATAAATCAAAAAGTTTTAAGAAATTCCTAAAACCCTAATTCACCCCCACGCTTGGTGTTTCACTTCGTCCTATAGTTCCAACATCTTCAAGAAAATTACTAATGCTTTATGCCATGAAAGATATATTCCATAGGGCTCAAAAGTTATTTAAGAAAGTAGGTTTCACAACTCTATCTTGCTACACTATGTTAGAATTATATGACTAGTTGAAGCACCAAGATTGAGGTCAATTTGAGTTTTTATAAGTTTTTATGGGTTTTTTATTTCTAGGATAATTTCCTAAATATGGTGGTCTATATGTTAACTCATCAGGTTTTTTCTATATTTTATGTGTCAATACAAGTGGTATGTGTCCACATAAGTGGTTTGTGTGTCAACACATACATGAATGGTTGTTCATAGTGGTAAGATCTCTAAGCAGCCTCTCACCAAGAAGACAATTTCTATACTAGTTTCGCTTGGCAACTTCTAGTCCCACAGGCAGTTATCTTTTTCAGGCTTAACTATTTTCATTAGAAATAAATATTACACTTAATGAGATAAGTGGCTTAAATCTCTCAACATCATTCCCATAGAAAGCTAACTTTCAACACATCAACCCCTCTTGGGTCAAATATGGCTACAAGCACCAAGTGTCTACGTCAAAAATTACTCTCCACTCACAATCTAGTTATCTCAAGGCTTGATGAAGAGCATCAATTTCAATTGAATAGTCATTAATCATCAGATCCAGCTGATGAAGAGGATGTTTTAATTCACACATTGTTAAAGCTTGTAATGGGAAGATCTTGATGGAGAGCTTTAAAGTTCGCCAAAAGTTTAAATAGGAGAAAAACTAATATGACATGTCCTTTAAATATTTTGATATCATCTTTAGAAACCAATACTTGTTACCTTTAAGTCTCAACGTTTATATATAAAGCATATCAATTCAATCAAGTCCATAAGGATCCAAGATAAGGATCAATAATACATGTCCAAATGTAGTTAAAATTTGACATTTAAAACTTATTCCAATTGCCTCAAATAAAATATGTTTCTAAGTAGATTGAATCAAAATTTCAACTTGTAAGTTTACAAGTTTAGTGATACAAAACATTTATAACATTTTAAAAGGATATTCATTAATATTAAAAAAATATTCTTCAGTAGAAAGGACATTATAAATTAAGTCATTTATTTTTTTGTCAAAATATTCAAAAGTTATGATTTAACATCATGAATAGATACTAGACTTAGTAAGCTTTCATGGTGAATTTTTACTTAAGAATGCTAGATGATCTAGTTGTGCTAATTTTCACTTTTTCATTGTTGTAAATTCTATAAATATTGATAGTTTTCAAATCAGTATACAAAATAAGAAGTCCATATGATAAAACGTACTAAATTCAGAAATTTTATATAAGAAGTTACTCTTTAGATTACTATTTATATTTTTGATATTATTATTTTATTTTATTCTTAAATTAATTCTTAATTAAGTTCATTTGTGTGCATAGTGATAAGGATGTATAATTCAATCTTTTAATTGATCTTATATGTACTTTTCATCATCAGAACAATGTACATTTAATGCTACAACAGTTATTTCATAAAAAAAGTTCTTACATAATGGCATATGAAGTTAGATATACTTGACTAATCTACAAGGTAGCTTCTCACGTAGTAGTGCATGAAACTTGACATACTCTATTAATGTACAATATAATTTCTTATTATTTACATACGAAACTTGTACTCTATGTTATTACGTGGCATGAATTCTATGTATTGAGAGGTGATGATTGATTCATTAGACTCTTTTGAAACATAATTTATTCAATACCTAAATATAAAACTTTATATATATTTCACTATTATGCAATGTAACCTCTCATATGCTGATATGAAGTTTGGTATATTACATCATTCATGGATGTCATTTTTTCTTTTCTATCTTTATTTTCTTATAATTTTAAGTCACCATAGATCTTTACTTGAAAGTCAAGCCATCAAATATTTTGATTCATCGCAGATTTACATGAGACCTTTTCAGAGGTTTGTAGCAAGAAATATTGTTAGTTTAGCTTTGGCAGCATGATAGTTCAAGAAAAAAAATATAGAATTATTTTTTTTATATTTTGAAACTCAATATTTTGTAGTAGTTTGGTGAATTCGACCTACTCCACTCTATAAGGACAAAGTACTTAGGTTCTACTAAGTTACATATGAATATCAATTTTAGCAAGCCTCCAACAAATGTACAGTCCTCAATGAGCCTCTATGCTGGATTCTACAGCTCTAGGGACCAACCACTAACTATGGAGACTTCAGTGAACCTATATGTTGGATTATATAATTCTGATGAGCAACCACTAAATATGCAGGTGGTAATGAACCTCTATGTTGAAGGTTAAGATATCAACCAGCTTGCTACAGAGCTTGTATCTTCTTTTACTTGTAAAACCTTTCTCTTGAATTGGGGAAGCAAATGAAAAGTAAAATTATTGAGGGCCTGAGCTCAAGTAAACTTTCTGCCCTTTGGGTGATCAATGATGAAGATTTCACTTTGACTGCTTAAATTAAGAACATAGAGGAATGAAAAGCTCTCTTCTTGATTCTACTTTTCTTCTTTCACTGACTCCCTAATATGGACACAAAGGACTCATTTTATACTTCATCTTAATCTATCATAAAGGTCATAATGGTCACCTATGGATAATTTAGTGAACCTTATTGGGTCACCTTCACGCTTGAATTTCAAATACAAAACACTTTCATATATCTTGTAAAATTCAGAACTAAAAATGTTTAAATTTTGATACTATTGGTTCTCTTGTGTTTTCTTTGAATTATTTTTCCAACAATCGGATGCCCATATCCATGACAATATATTGCAGTCAAAAATAATTTTAATCATCTGGATTATAAATGTAG